TCAGCAGTGATTAAAACAGACGGATAGATAATCATCCATGTTATTAAATTACGAGTGTGTACCACTTGATTTCAAAAATTGCTTCCTACTTGTGTCACAAATAGGAATTTAAGTTGATATAAATATGTATGTAAATAGGGATGAATATAGTTCAAAAATGCACATTTTGCATTTTGTGTAACCAAATTCCCGAAAATGTTTCAAATTTTTCGTAAATTCGTGAAAATTAGTGATGATTATACGTCAAGAATGAATATTTTGGCTTTTCTACAACCAAATTTTCGAAAATATTTCAATTTTTTTCGTAATTTCTTGAAAATGAAGGCAGAATAGTAAACCAAAAGCTTAACAAAATCAAGTCAAACTTTCCCTATAAATATTGGTACGGATATTCTTCAAAACTTTGCATCTTATCAAGTCCCAAAACACTATGATAAGTCGGGTCTCGAACTCTCATCTTTTGTCCTTTGTTTAAAAGAAGTAACAAAGCCTTGTTACAACGAGGTCGAGGGAAGGTCAGAGGATTTTTATGGGAAAAGCAAATGTAATTCTCTCCGTAGAAAATTAATCCTTTCCCATGACTCTGATTTCGTAAATCCTTTCAACAACAATAATCGTGCACATTCCGACTCCAAGTTTATGTAAGGCTTGACTATTTCGTCGTTACAACGATTACGTATCATGAGTCAGTGGCCGCGGAAGCTGTGGGGACATCCTAAAATTGTAGGATAGGGGAGGCCGGGGTTTATATAAGATGGGGAGATGATGGGGACATCGAACAACCGTGGGGACATTGTCCCACCCTTCCGCGGCCACTGGTTATCGTTGTCCTAGTCTTGGATATTTTGTTAAAATTAAATTTGTCGCATTATGTATTTCTTCAGTTCGTATAAATAAACCCATAAATTCGGAAATTTCAAAACAAACAAGTTTTGTTTTAACATAAAATGACGTGCTTCCACTTTTATATTTTGATGTTTTCCACCATCTCGATAAATCTTGCAGAGATCACATCACATTTGCTAACAAGTCGAAGCAGAATTGTTGATTTATTCCGTGAAACAAAGTCGGTCGGCAGAAGAAGAAAACGTGTTGGGATATGAACAGCTATAAGTTTGCTCGTTAATACATGAGCATGTTTGTTGATTTGGTCGTGTTTAGGCTTTTATGACTTTAATAAAAACCCCACCTTCGTGAAATATGTAACTGGTTTGGTTTAGTTTGATAGATATTGAAATATTGTGCCAATCGTATCATGGGGTTTAGTGGTTTTCAATTTTTTGAAAACTTGTCCTAATTAAAATTTGAAATTATTAGATATGTAAATGGTTCATGAATCTTTACTAAATTTATTACATTTTTTAAGATTAATAAAAAATCTACCTTAGTTGGTGAAATATCTGGTTTAATATTGAAATATTGTCCTAATATCGTATCTTTGAGGTTAGTTGTTTTCAATTTTTTGAAAACTTGTCCTAATTAAAATTTGAAATTGGTTCATCAATCTTTACCAAATTTAGCATATTTTTCTACATGACGAATTTTTTACATGTTATTTCTACATTTTATCGTCCTAACTAAAATTTGAAATTATGATTTACTAAATTTATCGCCTTTTTCTAAATTACAATTTTGTGTGATTTCTACATTTGAGACTTTTAACATTTTTATCTGCATTCTGTAATTAAGGAAAGTTCGATGACATTTGAATGGATGGGTTAACTTGAACGTTGGCATGATTCACTTACATCACATCCGACTCTTTTATAAATAGGAAATTGGATCTCAAAGAATATCGGTAGCTATTTACATACGCCTTTATGAACAGAAGAGGAGTAAAGTGTCAAGTTTTTTTTCTCTTGTTTAAATGGACAATTAAACCGATTGGGCAGCTGATAACCTTGCAGCAATAAAAGTTGGTGTCGACTGACGAATGAATATTAAGACGGGTCCCTGACATTTTTGCATTACTAATCCCGTGAACATTAAAATAATTGCACATCAACCAACCAAAAGTTCTCAGAGAGTTGGTGAAATAAAAAATCAGACAAGAATTTGGGATGTGATTGAAGACAGTGGCCGCGGAAGCGGTGGGGACATCTGGGGACATTAACATTGTAGGATGGGGGAGGGATGGGTTTATATAAGATGGGATATGATGCGGACATCGAACAACCGTGGGGACATTGTCCCTCTGTCCGCGGCCACTGATTGGAGACACAAGGATGATGAATATTATGGTAAATAGGTATTTGTTCACGCTGACTGAGCGATGTTGGTGTAGCACAACTTAACCTTAACTTGGTGTTTGTCGCTGATTTTGAAATATTGATTATTGATCACTCAGATTATCGATTGATAGCCATACATAAGAAATACAAATCCAAATCTTAAACTCCTCCTTGGAAGAGTAAGACTTTTTTAGATTGTGTTTTGCCTTGCCAAATTTGTTAAGGTGAGAATGTTTGGTATGCCAATTTAAAAAGGAACTTTGTTCATTGTTACACAGTCGTCTTTGTCAATTGAATTAGCTTTTTTTGTATGGTGGGATGCAAATATAGTATGATTGTGGTGGTGGTGGTAGCCAGTGGCCGCGGAAGCCGTGGGGACATCTGGGGACATTAACATTGTAGGATAGGTGAAGGAGAGGGTTATATAAGATGGGCAGATGATGGGGACATCAAATAACCGTGAGGACATTGTCCCTCTGTCCCCTCAAGCTTCCGCGGCCACTGACTGATTGGTGGTATGCAGGGGATAAGCTCATTCTTGAGAATTTTGATAAGATGCCTACTCACTCGTGCACGTTGAAAACTTTCAACCCTGCATGTCGTTGGTCCCAATAGATAATTGATTGGATTCGATGCGATATGTGATTGAATATTCGATTTGCTCAGCTCCACCACCAACTATGAACTCTGACTAACAGTATACGCAATTTGGTTGAGATGCGATTGAGTCTATTTCTGTAAAAACATGATCGCTCGTAACCCCATAAATCCTTAATGGATCGATCCACACCTGGTGTCTTGCTGCGCTTACAAATTCAATTACAATGGAATACACAATTCAATTATTTTACTCATGTGCAGAGTTATTTTCTCTTTTTAACATTTCTACATTAGAAATACACAGTGGCCGCGGAAGCCGTGGGGACATATTATTTGGCATGGTTTTGTCGGGGTTGTCTCCAGTGGCCGCGGACGGAAGCTGTGGGGACATTAACATAGGATGGGGGGAGGGACGGGTTTATATAAGATGGGGAGATGATGGGGACATCAAATACTCGTGAGGACATTGTCCCTCTGTCCCCACACCCTTCCGCGGCCACTGATTATACATACTTTAGCTTAAGGTTACGTTATGCATATTTACTCCTGGCGAACTTTTGTGTGATACAAAATTTTTATGAAAATTTAAATTTTGCCCTTGTCATTTCCTCATCTTGTGTGGTTTTTCATGTTCCCATAATTATATCCAAAACTCCATTTTGGTCACAGTTTTGTTCAGCAGGGTGTAAACTTGAGAGGATAAATTGAGATTCAAATTTGCTCACTACGCAGTCGGTCCTCTGTGAAATAAAATTGCTTATGTCAAATCGAGCAAAGCCGGGGAGAAGAAGATGAGATGAAATGCGAAGATGAGTGACTGGGAACACAACACTTTAAAGCTTGTGAAAAAAAGCGTCATTGTCCCAAATTATGTTTGCCCACGGAGTGACCAAACATCATTTCACGATTCCCGTAAACGAAAAAATCCTTAAGAAAGGCACACTCGAGGTGGTGCTACACAATGCAGGCTGGCTGCTGTTTAGCCCGAGGAAGGCCTTATGTACGAGGCATGGTTGTCTGTCCGTCTGTCTATCGATTACACGCGTAAAAGTTTTCCAACCGACTTGAAATTTTGGATATACAGAGAATTTGCAAAATTTGGAATTATGATTGGTCTTATGTACGAGGTATGGTTGTCTGTCCGTCTGTCTGTCGTAAAAGTTATCCAACCGACTTGAAATTTTGGGCACACCGAGAATTTGCAAAATTGGGAATTATGAATTTCGAAGATGAGCAAAATCGTTTCCTATTTTACATTTTTATGGTCTAAAAATATTCGTATTTGCAATTCATGTTATTTATATATCACTTTTACACAATATTATCAGGTTGAGCCCGAGTCGACTAATAAAAATAAAAATATTAAACCAAAAAAAAACAGATTTTAACAAATTACGGAAATTACGGGACTTGAAAAATAAAAATTTTGTAACGAAAAAATAAAAATGTCGTAATCTCAACAATTAGTAACTACCTGGCTCGGGCTACATGAGTTCTCCACATTCCTCCACACGGGACGGAAAAAAGACTTTGTTACCTGTCTTGTGGGTTTTTTTCGCAGGCTAATTTCACTCCAATTTTATGAAATCAAGTGTATACATCAAGTCTTAGGGAAAGAACAGTGAGAATTGTGTCTAAATTTCTCGTGGGTTTTGGTTTTTGATGCAATTTTCTAATTTATTTATCTACTCTTGGATGCATTCAAGCAGACCATTGTCCTGAAAAAGTGGATGGAAGCGTGCCGAATCTGATTTTGTTGACAGCCTGCCTGCCACATTTTATTTAGCAGCAATTATCTACATATATTGCCACTCGTTTCTTTCGGCAAAGTAGTCGTACTTCTGACTTTTTTCTGACTTTATTCTTCTCCAATTTGCGATATCCAGTCAGATAAACTTTCTTTTCAATAGAAATTTAAATTTTCTTATCAAGTTTCACGTTCGCGTTAAAATTCTATCGGAAAATCGTCTGTCAAAGTTTACAAATTTGTGTAAAAGAACATGCTTTTACAATGCGGAATTGGATAAAAAAGTTGGATAAAGTAGCTGAATGTAGCTGCTGCTGAAAGGGGTAGAAGAGCCGAGTTCATGATGATAATATAATGAAGACGATGATGTTTTATGTATGATAATGGGATTTTAACATCATATTTTGTATAATGAATGTCAGCAGGTGGGAAGGTGAGCTCGGACTTGTTGCACGGGAACCTGGACACTCCCCCCGGACAATCCAAGGTGAGAGAAGCTCATTTTATACTTTTTGTAGATAGCTTACATCATTTTCCTAAAGCTAACCCTTTTTTCCTGCTACTTTCTTCCTCTCTTCCAAAGTGAGAAGCCCACTGCGGACTTATTCTTAATCACTACTCATCATTTTAGTTGCGTACCATCTCGAATGTGAATTTAATGAAGAAATTCATGTAATAAATCCGAGATCAATTTTATTCACGTTCAGACTGTGTGGTTCCAGCTCTCAGTTTCTATCCAAGGAACAGAACATGATTCCTATTTAATTTGAGAGTCAGTCAGACAAGTCGAAATTTTTGTGTATCTTTTACACAAATGTTAATGTATGTACAGTGTAAATATAAGAATTCGTAAGTAAAAATTCGATGGATGGACGGACGACAGCAGATTTCCGATTTCGAAGAATCCTTTTATCGATTGTCACGACACGACGCAACCGAAATCAAATTTGAGAACGATGAGTTGAAAAATAATGGGAGCTTTTTTTAACCAAAATCTCAAATCTTGACAAGTTCCTGATTGTCTATGACTGACTTTGAACTTTGTAGGAATGATTACATCGCATTGTGATTTTTGCCTGCTTCGTGGATAGAAGATTTTCTTGGTTGGGGAGCAGTGGCCGCGGAAGGTGTGGGGACATGTGGGGACATTAACATTGTAGGATAGGGGAGGGACGGGTTTATATAAGATGGGGAGATTATACAACCGTGGGGACATTGTCCTTCTGTTCCGCGGCCACTGTTACAGTCGACCAATTCTATTTTTATTATTGGTCGAGCGATGTAAAATTGTAAATTGTTGATTTAGTTAGGTGGGTTCTTCATAATAATGAAATGAAGTTGGTGGTGGACCGTGTATTGCATCATTTTAGTTATTTATTACCTTGAGGCTACAGATATTCCATTATATGCAAATAAGATTATTCTTCATTTTTTCCTCGATACCTGCCTGGCTGGGCCAATTTTAGGGAAAAAAGTGAATCTTTTCTAATTCAAAATTGATGAATTATTGTGACGCCATTAAAGTTTGGTAGTAAGTAAAAGGTTCGTTATTTGAAATTGTGGAAGGCTGTGAGTCGCTGAACAATGGGGTGGTTTCCAGTAGCTAATTTAAAAGTGACTGTAATATTGGATGTAGAATCGATCCAGTGGCCGCGGAAGGATGGGGACAAAAGGGACAATGATGTCCCCACGGTTGTTCGATGTCCCCATAATCTGCCCATGTTATGTAAACCCCTCCCTTATCCTACAATGTTAACGTCTCCAGAAGTCCCCATGGCATCCGCGGCCACTACATAGATGATGATAATACCAAAGGAACAGTGGCCGCGGAATACTGGTGACAGAAGAACAATGTCCCCATGGTTATTCGATGCCCCCATCATTATATAAACCCTTCCCTCCCCAATCCTACAATGTTAATGTCCCCAACGCTTCCGCGGCCACTGTATCGAATAAATCTGACGAAATGAAAATAGCCTTGTCCAGTTTTTCTCTAAATGCAAGTTTGAAGCTCAAAAAATTAAGGATTGGTTGGGTGGATGGCATGTTTCACGTATAAATACGATTACGATTACGGCTGCTATTGAATAGGTATTCTTTTTCGTGGATTGGATTGGATCGTGTGTGTGTAGCATTGATGTTCGTCATTGGTCCGTGTTAAATTAAAAATACATCTCGACTCGTATGTATTTGGTTGGATGGTTGGTAAAATATTCAAATTTAGATTGGATTTCTACGTGGAGCTGGATTTTAGATTTAGATTGATGAATTCTTGGCGCAGCTGGACTTGGACATTTGATCAAATCAAGGATTTGGGCTCTTTTTGTTTCTTCTCGGACAAAAAATACTCACCGTCAGCTTCAGCTCGACAACAATTCAAATCCAAATCCGATTCAATAGCACAATAAGTACTTCATGTATGTATTTATTACGTGGAAACACTGCCAGAGCTGAAAATGGTCTCCCTCTGGATAAAAACGAAATCCTAATTTTCCTCTCTTGTCCTATTTTTACTTGTGTTTCACATCTCGTCGACAAGATTTTGTTTAATTGCGGGTCTCATGTTGGGTAATAATAATATTGGATTCCAGCAGCAGAAACTTATTTTTTTGTCACTTTTTATTATAAGTTTGTATTGAATGTTTGATTTTAAAGAAAGATTAAAATTTCTGAAAATAAGTAGAAAACTTAGGATTCATTCATATACCTGCACTGTTAAAAATCTGAAAGAGTGACATATTGATTTGGTAATAATTTCTTGGTATTAGTTTGTTCCTGAAGGATAAATATTTCATTACCACGACCACGACATTACTAAAGGGTAATACCCGTTAATACGAGTCATATATGCACTCCGGTCAGTACTGATTTATTACCAGTTTTCTAAGTTTTTATCTCTTATATTATTTTTACTTGTGTTTCACTCACATCTCGTCAAGATTTTTGTTAATTGCGGGTCTCATGTTGTGTACATACATAAACGCTAAAATATTGAATTCCACTCTTGCCCATTATTAGAACCTGAATTTTTTCACTTTTTATCATAAACACAGTTTGTATTGAAATGCTTGATTGTAAACAAAGATTAAAATTTTAAAAGAAGCTGAAAAAATCATCATTATTATTAGGACTCATCCCCAACCGGCTCTTGTGGTCTTGTACATAAATAGTATTCATATTTATCTGAAAATACGTATCTATGTCACAGCATCATCATAGAAGTATTGTGGTTTATCTTTGGTAAAATTTATCCCACTTTTGACAAGGAGAATTTTGATGAGGATTTATGAATGCGTTTTTCATAGTGGAATACATATTTGCAGGATTTTTTTCTACATTTTCTTTCTCCTGGGTTGTATTTATTCCCTCATAGTTTTTATGTTGATTTGATAGAAATCTTTTAATAAATGGATCCTTCTCGTGTGGTTTACAAGGAGAGATTAGAGACACAAATCCGGGAGCTACATATCACTTTAGCTTATTTTTCTGCTACCAGTAGTAGTTCTGCAAGATCGGAGATCCGCTCGTATGAATGAGGAGGATAAAGAGCAAGTTTGAAATGTTGGAAATTACCAGTGGCCGCGGAAGGACAGAGGGGCAATGCCCCCACGGTTATTCGATGTCCGCATCATCTCCCCATCTTATACAAACCCATCCCTCCCCTATCATCCTACAATGCCAATGTCCCCACGGCTTCCGCGGCCACTGGAAATTACTGATGATCATCATGATCATGACACAATATACACTCCTCTTAATAATAACTACGAACAGAGCCATTCTTACTTATTAATGTCAACTCAGGCTACCCCGTATGCCCCGTCGAATGTTATCTTAATGCTAATAATAATAAGGAACAGAGCAGAAGAATAATAATGAGGTTGACTTATGGCACGACACGACGACTCCTCTCCTCGAGAAAAGAGAGACAAAGTGTGCAAATGGCAAAAATGGATTGGGACACTCAACGTTAAAATGGAATAATTAGTCTCTTTCAAAAATCTAAAACCCTTGTTTTGAGTTGATTCTGCTTGGCACGGAGAGCTCCATACACCAGCCAGAAAAAAAATGTCACATCGCTTCTGGGATATTTATTCCTCTAAATAATAATGAAATGGCTGCTCCTCGTTCCTCTGAAAAATGGAGACTTCAAGCACTTTTTCTTTAAAAAAATCATCATATCTCTTCTTTCATAGTACAAGAAATTTGCTCCCCCGTGTAAGAATAGACTTTAAAAATGTCACTTATCTTGAACCGAATGATACTCTAATTTCGTTTCCAATTCTTTTGAAACATTTCACTCAAGTTGAGAGGTTTAATTTAACAGAGAGTATAATGCAAGTCTTCTTCTATGAATCTCGAACATAGTGACACCAGGAAAGTGCACCTGACGACACATTTGTCATAGCCATCCATATCTTGTTCTTGCGTAGGAAAGAAAAAAAAAGTTACCAGCGCAGCGTTTGGCCCTTTCTTCGCTTTACGTCAACCGTTTACTTACTTTACCGACCGAGTTGACTTGTTGTCTCCGCTGATATCCAATTATTTTTACGTTTCGAATCGCATACTTTGAACTTTTTATTCGGAGAGAGCCAGCCAGCCATGTGTTCATTTCCTACTTCTTGTCATTTCATTCTGGTGGTAAATAGGAGTCTTGTCTTTTTGCCCATTTAACAGAGGCAGCATCCTCGACATCCACGGGCGTAAATATAATGTGGGTGATTAAGGAATTTGTTCCTTGGTGACGGAGGTTCACAACTCTGATTTGTTTGCGATGATGTTCGTAAGTAAGCAGTGGCCGCGGAAGGAAGGCGTGGGGACATGTGGGGGGATTAAAATTGTAGGATAGGGGGAGGGGGAGGGGTTTATATAAGATGATGTGGACAACCATCTTATAACATCTTATAACATCTTATGACATCTCATCGAACAACCATGAGGACATTGTCCCTCTGTCCCCACACCCTTTCCGCGGCCACTGTTCGTAAGTACACAAACACAAGCAAATAGATTGGTTGGCCTTATGTAATCTGCGAGAAGACGGAGAAGCTGAAGAAATCCGATCGTTTACTGAAATTTAAGGAATCTTGCTCCGATTCCAAATGTCATTTGTATTGTTTTTGAAGCTTTGAGACCATGTGGGCCAATTAAAGAGCAACATTTGTGAGGCCAGGCCAGGCCACCAGCAGAGAAGAGAGGAGAAGAATTTGATGCTTTATTGTACAACAACCCTTTTCTTTCCCTGTTGTCTAAATATCTATGCACCTCGTTATTTATGTACCGATTGTAATTACTGTCATCTCATGTAACCCCGCTACTAATACGAGTTCAGTTATTTCGCTACGACTACCAGTGGCCGCGGAAGGTTGAGGGGACAATGTCCCCACGGTTGTTCGATGTCCCCAATGTTATATAAACCCTTCCCTCCCCTATCCTAAAATGTTAATGTCCCCACGGCTTCCGCGGCCACTGGCTACTTACTACTACTGCTTTTTTTACATGTCTTAAAAATGTTATACATAATTTATTACAGTACTTTATACATACTAATTACTTTAATTTTCTCTTTTTTAGATGATGCTGCCCGAAAATATGGCCAGGTTTTTGGCCGCCATGCAAGAATCCGTCGTATCCGCGGCAGCTGGAGACCACTCGACGCAAAGTAGTCAATCCAGTGTCACGTCGAATTCGAAGAGCAATAATCCCCTCAACTTTGCCAACATTAGCAGCCTCGTGCAGCCCCCGTCGGGAGGGTCGCCGGTCCGATCGCCGTCCACGAATGGGTCGTACAGTAACCATTCGTCGGGTTTGGGGGGACTTCATCCCCAAGGGCAGCAGCAACACCATCACCACCACCACGGCAGGGACAATGGTAATGGAAACGGGCACCTTTTCTCACAGCACAACAAGCATAAAAGTAAGAAATCTTTGTTTAAATAGATTTTCTTTGAGCGTATTCACGTCAATGTTTGCAAATTAAGCAATATAACTTGCAAATTTTTGGGAAATTTCGTCTCAAAACACTCATGTCAATCTTCGGATATCTTGCAAATTGATTATATGTATGTAACTTGTGAAATTTTGCGAAACCTTGCAACTTTCGCAAAACTTTTTTCTGGAAAATCATACAAATGATTTTTTTCGCAAATTTGCCCAGAAATTTGCCATGTTTTTATTAGTCCAAAAATCACTCCAAAAATTTTTTTAGCTTCACAACTTTGCTTAATCCGAAATAAGACATAGTTTGACATGAATACGCTCTTCTTATTTTTGCTGTAAGGAAAGTTTGTCGGTTAAAAGTTTCTTTCTTCCAAAAAATTAATACAAATAATCCATCGATTCCTCCACAATAAATTTATTTCCCAATTTCATTTCACCCTTTCTTTTCTCAAGCTTGGGAAGAAGTTTGGTGGATTGAATTAATATATAAAACCGAGCTGGTTACATAAGGAAAGGAACAATATAAAAGATGAGAAGGGTTTTCTGATCAGAATTCCGAATTGTTGTGCCATTTAGCCAGATAAATACTGGGCGTTGACAGTTTCTGGTTTTACGTTTATTGTCCGTCTCTCTCTCCCTATAAATTATTATTATTTCCTTCCTTCCGAGTCTTTTTGTGGGAAAACGCATCGCAACTTAATATTTGGCTACCCATAAAAAAGAATGAAATGAACTCAACACTTTGATGGAAATGGGTTCGATCGTCCAATCCAATTTATTATTATTCCTCCTTTGTATCGCAGACTTTACCCTTTCATCTCACGTTATAAAATTTATTATTGCAAATATTGAATTAAAAAACCCAGTTTAAAAAAATGGAATGAAATGAAATGTATCGCTGGGAAGGTACTTACTTATTATTTACTTTGGGCTAATATGAGAAGAAGAAGGGTGGAAAAATAACTGGGTTACTCTTTATTATATGGATACATTCACCCTTTTTTTCACTCTCGAGTCCGGCTATTTTCCGTCGGAAATCCTTTCGGTGAAATAAAAAAACATTTGCACTTGTATCCATTCAATCGAATTTTAGATTCCGGTGAATTTTTACCCCGTTCAGTTCAGATTCCGGCCGGAGAGTCCTTTTCTTATTGGGAGATTTGATTGCTTTGTGCAAAGGTGTGTGTAGGTAATGGGGAGGATGAGGGTCGAATAAATAAGTACGAGTTTTTGTGAAGGTTATATATTATAGTGAGACTGAGATTCTGTATTGTTGGGTAATATACGCATATGCTGGCTTGAGGTCCAAGGGCTCATTGCCATCAGGGTCTTGTCGTACGGAAAGTTTTTCATAAGCATCCAACCAAACACACACACTGAACTGGTCGTTTTTTATACAAAATGGCTCAGAATTTTATATCAAAGACTTTCTTTCTTTCATGGTTTGTTTTCAAAGATGGGATTTTATTTCAAAGATTCTATTCAGGGTTGCATTCTTAATTTTGATGTTTAAAACCTGGGAATGTGATGTGATGTGAACCCGTTCGGTTGAATTTTATTCGTTTTTTTTCTGTTAAGTGCTGCACCTTTGATTGAGCAAATAGTGACAAATTTAGCCTGGATTTGTTATAAGAATCTTTTTTGGCAAAGTATTTGTTGAGATAGCTGTCGTCTCACGGCATGAATTTGTATGGTAAATATTACGCAAAACTAGATTTTCTTAAGACACTTTCAGTTTCATTGAATTTAGTAAATATGTAAGTAAATATGGCTCGTTTTTACCTTACTTTACGTCTTTAAAGCAGATTTTAAGAGCAGATGTACAATGTCAAAGTCTGGTCAAATAGTTGGCCCAGAAACTTAACTCTTTCCTTCACCGTGAAGACAAAATGTTTGAAGTGTGTAGAAAGAAGGGTTATTTTCATAGGTATTGTACTTATGTGCAGCTCAAACTGGTTGAAATTGGTTTTTCAGAGAGTTTTTAATCCTTTCCACCAGCTTTGAGCCAGTCGACATGAGAAAATCTTTTGTTTTTGTTGATTTTCTTAAAATAGCCTTGTACTTTTTGACCATATGTACATATCTTTCGGAACAAAAGATTGGTAAAATTGACGTGACCTTGTCCCTCCGAGATTGACGGGGTGGTAATGATTAATGATAAAATTTTAGTTTTACATGGCTGGACTAATCCTTAGTATTTATGGTGAAAGAAAGGGTTGAGGCTGGAAATTTAGGATCCCTACGGAGAAATGTAATTTCATCGCGATCCACTCCACTCCCGGCGGCGTAGCGTCTTTGTGCTTTGAGATGCTTGATTAAGGAAATTGGAATTCGGGTTGGGATGAATTCGGGGTTCGATTAATGATGAAAAGAAGGAGAAAAAATAGTTTCAAGCCGAACAAACGAGGAAATTAAGTCTTCTTCTCTATAATATGCTTGCATTCAGTGGCCGCGGAAGATGTGGGGACATCTGGGGACGTTAACATTAGGGGAAAGGGGAGGGATGGGTTTATATAAGATGGGGAGATGATAGCGACATCTAACAACCGTGGGGACATTGCCCCTCTGTCCTTACCACCCTTCCGCGATCACTGCTTCCATCCCTGTAATTGATACTAATCAACTCAAGTGTAAACAAGTACTATTTACGATTTTTCACCAAATTTCTCCCCGAAACTGAAAACGCACACCTCTTGAATTGAATAATGATAAAGGTCAGAGAGAGATTTGTGAAGTATTGTAATTCTGCATCCGCGTGGAATAATCAACAACACCCCATCGTCGTCATTTGAATGGGAAATCTCTCACTCTCTCAATTTCCGTTGTTGCTGAACCCAAAAAACTTGTAACACCAAATTAAGGGCTAAACCCAAAAATACATACGTAGCATACTACTTATTCCAGAAATGTGTATGTTTATAAAGATTAGATTAGCCAAGCAAAGCCCTTTTTTGATCCTGAGTGGGGGACACAATGAAACCGTGAATGAACGCTTTGTTGATTATTTGATGTGAATAATACAAAATCCGCAGTATTTTTGACACGTTTTGAGAGTTTTTGTTGTTCCCAAGTGGTGTACAGTAGGGGACCATGCTAATTGTTGGTTATATATGCTGACACCCTTAATTAAGTTGTGCACAGATATTTATTTCTGATCAATGCTACATTAAAATTTACCAAGTTAAATAATCATTGATTGGATCATTTATGAGCTAAATTTCCGTTTGGTTACAAAATCTGCAGTACTTTTGACGCATTTTGAGTGTTTTACGCTCTTAGAAAACTTGTATTAATTCGGAGTAACTCTACCGGCAAGGTAATAACGGGTATTACCGTTTAGTATGAAAAATTTACCCCTCAGTAACAAAATACTACCAGTCCGGTAGGAAGTTATTACCAAATCAATACCAGTACTGGAGTAAATATGTAAATCTACCAGATTTTTAGCAGTGTACATATTTACCCCGTTAATGATTAATTGGATTATGATGCTAATTTTCCTATTGCTAATTTCTTAATTGCAGGTCGTGGATTGGCAGCATTTCCCGTGATCCGAGAAGGTCTTTTAGGTAAAGGAGCAGGCCCCATCGACTACACGCGATACGTTCGACGCTTTGGCAACTCGATGGAATGCGGTTACCAGCAATGTCGCGAACTTAATTACAGAGAACATTTCCACTGTCAAGGTATGCAAAAATTTGTACGATTCATGAATTAATAAGTCGATTAATGAACACGGGGTAAAAACTTGAAATCAAAGATACATATTCCTCAACACTTTTGGGTCTGGTCCAAATCGTCAAAATATTTTTAATAGATGGCCAATTAACATGATTTTTGCAATGTTTTAACCTTTGCAGAGTGCAGCGACGGGACTCGAGTTTTTGTCAAGAAGGAAGAAATGATCCGACACTTTAAATGGCATAAGAAAAGGGATGAAAGTCTTCAACACGGGTTCATGAGGTAGGTTCAACTGTAAATATAAATATTCCTTACGCCTTCACCACTGCGGTTTTATGCATCATTTTGCATCATGAGACATAGATAATGTACCTTCAGCTACATACTTATATGCATTATAAGTAGGTGAGAAATTAAGTATGTGGGCCGAGTTTTACGTGGTTGGTGTGTTGGATTACAATTATTATTATTTTGGTGTGGTGTGGGCTATAATATTTGACTCTTTTTCAGATACTCCCCGATGGACGATTGTTCAGAAAAATTCCCAAACTGCTCACATAATAGGAAACAAACTCACTACCATTGTTTGAAGGTAAATTAATGATTGAATTGAATAAAATGTTCTTGTCTCCTTCCACCCATCAGCAGAGACGATAATTTGGTCACTTTAGTTTCTGTGTATTTCAAGGCAAGGGCGTTTTCATGGCTTGATGATGATTATGATGATGGTTGGTGTCTGGCTTGTCTTGTCGTTTATGTTGACTGTGACAAATCTTCATTGCCACCTAATTTAACCCAAATTACTTGTTGTGGGCAGTGGCCGCGGAAGGTGTGGGGGCATTAACATTGTGGGATGGGGGAGGGACGGGTTTATGTAATGATGGGGACATCGAATAACCGTGAGGACATTGTTCCACTGTCCCTATAATTCCGCGGCCACTGTTCTTTTGGTATTATCATCACTATAGAGCATATATATGCAGTGGCCGCGGAAGCCGTGGGGACATCTGAGGACATTAACATTGTAGGATAAGGGAGGGATGGGTTTATATAAGATGGGGAGATGATGCGGACATCGAACAACCGTGGGGACATTGTCCACACCCTTCCGCGGCCACTGGTTGTCATGTATTGTCACTTTGTGTATCCATATTTGCTGTCACTTCTTACATTACCTGTCGATATCGAATCTCAATTAACCATTTGGCTGGGCGAAACAGTGCAACAAAGTCTTTGCAGTGATTGATTTAGGGATAAGTACAGATCCACTTTCATTCAAGGCAGGGTGACGCTAACTCGAATCGAATACGATCATAATTCTCGGCACGTTATCCAATCCACTCATTGAGAAGCAATTCGTATGGGAAAAAAGTAGACAATTATGATGTGCAAATGAATTGACACCTTCAATCGTTGATTTATTGAGTTTCATTAATTAACGCGAAAAAAATGAGGGAGAGAGAGACTGCTGTTACAAATTTCCCTTTTGATTCCAACATGCATATCCTTCTGACCAGTGGCCGCGGGACAGGGGGGATAATGTCCCCACGGTTGTTCGATGTCCCCATATATCTTATATAAACCTCTCCCTCCCCCATCCTACAATGTTAATGTCCCCAGATGTCCTGACACCTTCCGCGGCCACTGCTTCTTTCTTATTAATGCGCATTTCATTGGACTTGATCTATATCTGTCGCATGTTCCAATTTATTATTATGTGACTGACGGACAGAAGCAATAATTGGAAATTGAATAATTTTATATGAATGTTTTTTTTCCTTGAAATTTTAGGATGCCTGTGAAAAAGTTTACATTAGCACGTCCGACGTACAAATGCAGTAAGTGTGATTTATAAATTTACATGGGTCGATTTTTGATAAATTCTATGAAATCGTAATTTTTAAAAATTAGTGCAAACTATCACCGCAAAGATTCCGCCATAATTCAAGAAGGGTTCCAAAGATTTCGAGCCGCAGGTAAGTTAAAAAGAATACAAAAAAATCTTCGGAAATACAAAAACTAACGACTATTTTCCTCTGTAGAAGATTGCGGGACGGACAATTGCACTTTCCGACATCAGAAAACGACCCATTTCCATTGTCGAAGACCCACTTGCTCATTTACATTCAAGAATAAAGCGGATATGGGTATGAAAACTGAAATTTGTGTATTTTTAAAACAATGAATGGAATTTTAAAATAAAATTTAAAACTTACAGAGAAACATAAATCCTACCACATAAAAGGTATATAAAATTTTCATTACATAGAATCATGAAATTCTCATCATTTCTGAAAATATGTCCATAAATTAATATATATTTCCTTCATTTAGACGAACAACTAAATCGTGACGGTTTCAAGAAATTTATGAAACATGAAGAATGCTTATTCGCAAATTGTCGATTTTCTCGCGTTTGCAATCACATCCATTGTATACGAGAAGGATGCAATTACGTATTGCATTCCAGCGGGCAGCTTTATTCGCACAAGGTGAGTATTGCTAAAAATATATGAATTTCGCAAAAATAACATGAATTTCGCAAAAATAACATGAATTTCGCAAAATTACGCAAATTTTGTACATTCCAATTTTAGCGCAAACACGAGCGACGAGACGCCGAGTTAGCTTACCGGAAGTATAAACTGGCTCAAAGTCTGATGAAAGGAAGTTTCACGGGAGACTTAAGCACGCTCAGTTTTAGCGATTCGTTCCTCGCGAATAAGTCGGAAGAGGAAAACAGTCGCTCCAGTTTTAACGAAAGTGGTGGCGGCGGCGGCGGGGGCGAAGGGGGCGAATCCGAGGATCGCATGGTTTCGTATAAAAAGGTCATCCAGATGTGCAATTGTGATGTCACTCAGCAAGAACATTTCCACTGTAAAGTTGACACTTGTCTGAACGCGTTGTTGGGGTATGTACTTTTTTTATATTTGACAAAATCTATCAGGTGTATGCATTAGCATAATCATGGTGCGATTTGTTTCTCAGGTCGGTCGACGTGGCAGCTGAACACTTTAAAAATCATGAGATGGAAGACAAGATTTCCTCATTAGCGTATTTTACGGTATGTCGTGTAGCATATTAATATTAGGCGGTTAGCAAATCCACGCTTTAAAAATGTACGTAATTTTTCCAATCTCTTGAGCATTCTAAATTTCCGGGGAACGTATGAAAACAAATCAGTGTTTCTTTTCTTGCTGGTTTGCTACATTTCTTGTACTGGAAGGCAAGAAATGCAAGAAATTCGAGGTGCAAGAAATTGGGAGAAAGTGCAAGAAATATTCGTTATTTAGCCACGCACAGTATGAAGAACAGCGGCGTAGTTTCTTGCGCCGGGCATTTCTTGCAGGCCAAAATATTGAGCTGCAAGAAACCACTTTCTTGCAAGTGGTTACTTGTACACCCGAAACACAGTGAAAATGTTCAAAGGATATTAAAAAGATACCTATTTCAATATCGGAAATTTTGACCAAATTCAAATTATCGGGAAATTTACAGATATTTTAAAAGCTTAGTTTTGTTAACAGCGTAATAAGTGCATATTTATGTACAGAATTAACCATGATTTTTTTGACTGCTTACTTAAAAATCCAGCGCACTAATTTATATACTCTATTTTTCCCATGTAGGTTGACCCAGCCAACTTTGACGCTCAAGACTCGACCATCCCTTGCATCTCTGCTAAATGTCCGTATCAGACGAGGGAAAAACATTATCATTGCTTATGGGTAAATTCACTTTGGTTTTAACGAGTTCCACTGAAAGATGTGTAAACCAGATAAGATAAAAAGTGGTCTAATGCGTTTATATTTATATTTTCAGGATGGATGCTCCGAGATCATTTTGGTCACTGATGAACCCTTCAAACGCTTAGAACACTTTAGAACTCATCAACTTGCTCCGAAAATGGACTATGGTGATAAAGAGGGTGAAGCCATGGACGGATTTTTCCGTAGGAAACGTAAGAATGAGTGATGGATTTATGAATTTGTTTGAAAACTTACAAATGTACTGAATTTATAGGAGGTCGTCCACCAAAGAATCGTGTTATCGAGGTCTCATCTGGAGGCAACGAGGCGATCTATACCAGTTTTAAATTACCAAAGCAAACCCCAAACATTGGAAATGGAGATGGTTCCGATTCCGATTCAAAGGTGGGTACAATTATTTAATTGAGAAAGGAGGTCTCCCAATGTATGCTTTTGACCAAATTAGTGCGAATCGAATCACAAATTTAATTAGTACGAAATTTGCGAAAGAAACGATCTCCCAATGGGCACGTTTGGCAGAGATATTTGCATCCGAAGAGGAGAAAACGCTTATTAAAGTTGACGAATTTTACACTTTCCAAATTTACTGCGCTTTTTCTCTTCTTCGGATGCAAGTATCTCTGCCAAACGTGCCCATTGGGAGATCGTGGCTTTTGCAAATTTCATACAAATTAAATTTGCAATCGATTGACACTTTGACACGATCAAAATCTAGTTTAATAAAAATCTGAGAGCATACGTACGTTGGGAACTAGCTCTTATTTGTCAAACTAATTAATATTATTTACTTGTTTACAGGACCCAATTGGATTTTTATCCTATCCAGAAGACGTAAACTGCAACAATGACGCCTGTCCGTATCAGCGATCATCGGACAAAGAGTCTCCCAGCAAATGTCACTACCACTGCAATCATCCTCGATGTCACTTTTCTGTGTCCGATCTTCACAAACTTTCCAACCACCTTCGAGAATTTCACAGTGCTTGTGATGTCGTCGAAGGGTTCAAGTACTTCGACAAATCGTGGGACTGCGAGGTTCGAAAGTGTAATTTTAACGGAGCCGTGGACCATTTTCATTGCGTCAGAGATAGCTTTAGCTGCTCCAAGGTAAATGGAATGGAATTAATTGGGGGTATTCATTACAAGTTCGCATGTTCACATTAATTTTGCAAAAAAATTGCGAACTTGGATACACAAGTGAATTTTCAGGACAGTTTTTTTTGAAAACTTGCAAACTTCATTTTTTGCTAAAGATGCGAAATCGTAATGAGCATAATTTTGAAAAAAATTGCGAACCATGTAAATACTTGGAGATGGACAAGTTCGCAAGTGAGTTTTCAAGCCATATTTTTTTGCAAACTTGCGAACTTTGTTTGTTGCGAACTCGTCATGAATACCCCTAATGTTTATTTTGCTCTTATTATTTGAATCATAATTTTTCATAAAATTTTAGCAATCGGAAATGATGAACCACGAAGCAGATTTTCACGAGGGGAGGTCAGGAACTCCAAGTAGTGAAGATGAAAGTGAGTCCAATAAACCATCCACTGCTCAAGGTGCGACTGACCACTAACTAATCTTAAAATGATGCAAACAAAATCATTTATATGCTAAAATTGTGTTTCTCTTTGTTTCAGTAGTAAAATCAAGTGGTACTTTTTACCCGACTTATTCACTGGACAAATCAAAAATCACTTCCAATGGGGGCACCGTGATGGATTTATCCGGTTCGAATGGAATTCCAGAGACGAATGGTGAGAAATAACACGCTAAAAATATATTAGAAATTGTTCTATATTAGAAATTGTTTAAATATTCAGAGTCTAAATCGGTCACGGATCACTCGCTCAGTCGAATTTTGCAAATTCCATCGCCAGACAATGGTGAAACCCAGTATGGACCCGAGATTGCGTGTGGCCGTCCATTCTGCAAGTTAAAGAGGAAGCATCACTTTCATTGTCATCTTTGCAATCAGGTATGTAAATGATAAATATGCGATGATATATAGAACATCCCGAGTAGAAATCACTGTGTCGAATTCCGCAGAAATTTTGCATAATTCTGCAAAAAATCTGCAGAAACGTGTGTGCATAATTCTCCATTTTTCTGCACAAATCGCTCCATAAAGATTTCCTGCAGAAAATCGAGCCAAATTTCTGCAGAAACACGGTTCAAATTTGTACTTATGTAACTACTTTTGTGGAACGGATTTTCAAAATTTTTTATAAATTCACTTTAGGCATTTTCCGAACTGGAAAAATTACGCCCCCACGTGCTCAAGCATAGCCACGTGTCACCCTTGAAAGCCCCCGAGTCCGACCATTCGGACGAAGACTCTGTAAAAAACGAGCTAAACGAAGATAATCATGAACCCGAGAAAGGCTCCAGCAAAATTCGAGGGGACGAACAATTCCCCCAATTCGACATGGGACCCAACCCATTCCCACCGACGTCCCTGGCAAGCTTTTTAGGATATCCGGGACCCCCCTCGCCATACTTGTTCCTCCAACAAAATCAGCTAACTTCCTTGTACGCCGGGATGATGTTTGGTGGTTCACCGGGTGGCGTTTTTTCTCACGGAGGCGTCATTCCTCCCCCTCCGTCCATGGCGAATCCGGGCGGCATCCCACCCCATCTGGGCGGCACACCGCCGGCCATTCTGCCCCCCGCGGAACCCATGGTCATGCCCAGCAGCAGTCCGATGCAACTCTGCAGTCAGACGAGCAAGCGACCCTCGAGTGCGTCACCTTCGTCACCATCGTCCCCGTCAGAAGCGAAGAAGGCGAGGATGCAGATGCGAATTTTGAAAGATGAACCCGTTCCGGAAGGCTATATTCGTTTCCGGTTTAATGAAGATTGTCAATATGTTCATTGTGGTGAGAAAAATAAAATAATTCGAGAAGTATACAATAAATTTGCAATGTAAATTTGCAATTGTTGATAAATTTGCTTTAAATTTACGATTTTATTTGATTTTTTATAGGTTATCGAGAACATCAAACGCATTTCCATTGTACTCGAGAAGACTGCGGGTAAGCTTGACGGATAATAATTTTATGAACGAGGGATTTTTTCGAAATTCATAATTTTTTCATAATATTTTTATTCGTTTTACAGTTACAGCTTCTGTGACAAGACAAGATTTGTTCAACATACTGCTCGTCATGAAAGACTTGATACGTTAATGGGTTAGTTAAGCTAATTACTTATTTACATGGGTCAAGTTAGAATTTATGAAAATTTATTAAATATTATGCTGCTATTTTAAATAGGTGGAGACTTTAAGCAATTCCGTGCAAATGTGTCATGTGGAAGGCCAGACTGTTCTTATAAAACTCCGCCAGGTAAGTAGCTAATTATATTCCCGTACATTTTCAGAAAACTGGTATTAAATCACTACCGACCGGTGTACATATATTGATATCGGCTCTGGTAATAACGGGTATTACCGTTTAGTAATATTGTGCTACTGAAAAATTTACCACTCAGAAACAACCTACTACCAATCCGGTAGGAAGTTATTACCAAATCAATACTAGTATGTATGCAAATTTACCAGATTTTTAACCGTGTATCAGCCATAATTTAATTTTTATCCGAAATTACAATGCTAATTATCTATAAATAAATTACAGGAACGACGCAAGCACAAAACAAAGCGTCCCATTTCCATTGTAGCAAGTGCGAATTTGTTTGTAAGTATTACCCACAAATATGCTAATTTTGAACCATAAATTTCCTTAAATAATATGAAATTCCTTCCTTTTTATCAGGCACCGATACGAACAAAGTAGTCGCTCATCGCCGCCAGCATCAGAAACTTGATTCAATTATGGCTGCTGGATTCGAAAAATTTACACCTTCACAGAACTGCCAGGTAGGCAAAAACAAGGTATTAAGACAAGGGTCAAACCAGACCAAAATAAACACTTAATACGCAAATTGGTATACAAGGAGAAAGTGTAAAACTTGCGAAAAAAAATTTTGAAATTCTATGTGCATTTACATAATTAAATTTTGTTTATTTTTTAATTTACAGATTCAAGAATGCATCCACAGTCAAAAGCAGACCCATTATCACTGCTTGAAATGTGGCTACGCAGTTTTAGGCCTTTCGCAAATGTCTTCGCATAAATATCGTCACCTGACGGATTAAAACAGGAGAAAATTAATATTAGAAAATTATTCGTGCCTAAAAAACAAACCGATTATTAAATATTTGTTTATATAAATGTTAATTTAGTCTGAAAGTACTGTAAAAAACGAGCAGTGGCCGTGGAAGTGGGACAATGTCCCCACAGTTGTTTGATGTCCCCATCATCTCCCCATCTTATATAAACCCATCCCTCCCCTGTCCCACAATATTAATGTCCCCACATGTCCCCACGGCCAATGAAAAAATATACGACATCCTTAATATCAATCTCGTAATTTTGTAAAAAGTTAGTATTTATTTATTATTCACACAAGAAATGGGTGCCCTTATAAATGAACCAGTATTTTTTATTTATCTATGTATGCCTCATTTTTGTCGAGTTGTATAAAACCTTCGCACAAAAATGTAGCAATTTTTTGTCCAATGCAGAACTAAGAAATGTATAAAATAGATACGTAATTACACACATTGTTGCTTTCATGAATCCATTTTTGTATTGGTTTTATGTATCTCATTATTGGCAAAAAAATGTATTTGCCAATATTACTGTGAATTGAATATTTTTATTTACAGATATTTACATCAATAAGTGAGAGCTATTTATCCATATAAGTTAATTACTTTGTAAAATAGAACGTTACGAAAAATTAGCTAGTCATACCGAGGTTTAATTAATACTTTTTTTGCGAGGGACGAGGGAGAACAGGGATTTTAAAATTTAAAAATTAGCACAAATTTTAATTATGTTTCAACTCGAGTGAAATTTCCAGTGTCAATTTTCAGTTTTGCATACGTATGTAGACGCCACGTGGGTGGACACAGTGAATCTATTTTGTATGGTGTTATTAACATAGCTTTGTTTAATTGTGCCATAAATTTATAAGTAATTTTTTTTGTAAATACTTATGTATTCTCAATGCAGTTTATATTTACATGGATATGCTGCTAAATATTTAGATAAGTGTAATTATGATACATAAATCGAGATAGATAGTCATCGCATGTGTTGAATTGAATACATAGATAAAAAAGGCATTTAAATTAGCGTCAAATGTTACAAGTTACCCGTTACATTATAGTTTTAGGTATCTATAAAGTTAACTTAATAGGAATAATTTAATGTTAAGCAATTGATAATGCAAAAATTTGAGATTTAAAGTTCAAATAAAATATGACGATAAAGAATTATTACGATTTTGGCCAGTTACTCATTTACACATGCACGATTAAACTCCGTTTCACGCTATCTGAGTTCATCACATGGAGTACATTAGACGAATTATTATTTTATTATTTGACACCACTTATTTTTATTTTGGCGTACAAATCATACGAAATTGAATAATTTAAACGCCAAAATAAAAATAACGGTATGTCTGTGCAGCTAGTGATTTTTTTTACATCAAAGGCACCAAAGTCATACATAGATTTGCTCATCATGGAATCATCTTTTCCTCTTACAACCCGACACCTCCCACATTTTTTGAGGTGTGGGTATGTGACTCGCACTGCATTAGGTCGATCTCATCTAATAAATATGTACATATTTCGTTCCTTATTAATTAACAAACTGTATTTATTACATGATTTCCTCCCACTTTAACGAATTTTAAATTAACTAGACTAGCTTATTTATGTTAAATAAAGGAAAATTCACTGCTCTGAATTTTCCCAACCATCAAGACGAAAATCCTTAGTCCATAATCGCGCATTGAAACTTTTCATAACTAACTTTGCCTCAGACATGTTCATATCTTGCAATATGCTGCTGCATGTAAACTTTGTATTTTATGAACTCTTGGAACATCTTAGCTCAAAATTCTGTACTTTTGACCTCCACCCTTACAAAAATTCATGACCAGGATCTTGTACTCCATTCCTAAGCGCATGGAAATCACTTTTTCTTGACTTTCCCTCAGACATGTGCATATCTTGGACATATGTACGTATTATGCTGGTTGCACATAAAAGTAAACTGTGTGAGTATTGTATTGCATGACGCAAAAACTGGGTGTCTCATACATACAAATAAAGCTATGTATGCACATTAATATCTTGGATCATCCAATTCCAATTCTACTGCAAAATACAAAGCAGTTAAGAACGGGACGTATTTGCAGAATTTGACCATGTATTTTACCTTATTTTTACCACGCTACTTATTTCTTAGAACAAAGGATCACAATCCCAAGCGTGCAAATTTTCTTGTCCCCCAAACCCGGAAAACAGTGACAAAAAAGTTGCTTCCGTCCGGAATCCTTGCAGAGTTCGGCCTATTTCATCCATAATTGCACGCCACGCCACGTATCTTTCAAGTTGGTTTGAAATTTGAAATTAAACTCCTTCCTTCAATTTAATTTGAAATATTATGCAAATTTTTCTAAACAATCGAGACCAAGATGTTTTAGTAAGCGGCGTATGCAAACTTTTCAGGATTAACTTGTCCTCAGACATGTTCATATTCAGTGGCCGCGGAAGGGTGTGGACAGAGGGGCAATGTCCCCACGGTTATTCGATGTCCGCATCATCTGCCCATCTTATATAAACCCCTTCCTCCCCTATCCTACAATGTCAATGTCCCCACGGCTTCCGCGGTCACTGTTCATATTATTGCATTGGTTGGTATTGGATTACATGAGGCGAATTTAGTGGCTCATGTCATCGAAATAAAGTTATGGGATATCGTCAGTGGCTGCGGGAGCGTGGGAACGGAGGGACAATGTCCCCACAGTTATTTGATGTCACCATGCACCATCATCTGCCTACAATGTTAATGTCCCAACGGCTTCCGCGACCACTGAATTCTTCCATGCAAATTCTAATGTACCTGTAAAATAGGAAGTATATTTAAGAACGTACCGAATTTGGCCACGTATTCGTAGCTTTTTATACAATTTATTTTCATATTGTGATTGCACACTCGTAGCTTATTTTTACCATGCTACATACACATTTCTTAAAACAAAAGGGTCACAATTCCAGGGTGTACCTCGGAGTAAAGGTATCCATACATTATGGCTTATTGGATCATCACATCGATCGAATTCAGTTACAATTGTACTGCATTTGAAAACCTACAGAATTTGGCCACGTATTTTTACCATGTTATGTACACATTTCTTAAAACAAAAGGGTGACAATCCCGGGGTGTGGTCATAAATTGAAGTAAAGCAATCCATGCATTTTAGCTCGGATCATCATAGTCGATCGAATTCTACTGCACCTGTAAATCTACGAACGTACAGAATTTAGCCACGTATTCCTAGCTTATTTTTACCTTATGTTGTGTATTGCTTAAAACAAAGGGTCACAATCCGGAGCGTGCAAATCTATGTAGTTCCATCAGCCCCGAAAAACCATGGGTTCCGCACTCCTCTCCTATCAAACTCGACCTCCGTACTTCGCCCATAATTGTCATGTATGCTTGTCAATCTGGCCTGCTGGTTTGAAAATCGAAATAAAATTCATTTGTTCAATCCTGCTGCCCGATCGTATGACCACCAGCGCCGCGTCATGACTCATATGTATCGATATCATTGGTCATAGGGGTATGGTCACATATGCAGAAGTAACGCTATCCATACATATATTTTAGCTTGAATTGAATCATCGAAATCGATCGAATTCAGTTCCAATTCTACTGTTCCTGTAAGTCTAACTAAGGATGCGAACGTACTGAATTTAGCTACATTTTCTTAGCTTACTTTTACATATTTCTTGAAACAAAGGGCCACAATCCGGAGCGTGCAAATCTTCGGATTTCCACCAACCCCGAAAAACCGTGACAAAATGTTGGTTGTTCCGTCCTCGCACTGGATCAATGCATTTCGCCCATAATTACCATGTAAAGAACGTCCGGGAATGAATGGGAATGCGCGCTCTAGCGAGTATATTGACAAATCAATAAACCCGCGAACTATAATAATTTAAATTTCTGAAAGCCCACTTCATTAGGGTCAATTTGGTATATCACTCTTAAATTTCAAAAATGGATAAGGGTAGAAGAAGCTTGTTTGAAAGGGAGCTGTTAGCAAAACGAGTGATGGAGTTCTACAACACGACAGCCAACCGAGACTCCAAGGTGACCTGGAACTTTTTTAAGCAGGAAGGAATTCCAAGTTCAAATGTGTATTCCTACATAAAAAAGTTCAAGGATTCCGAAAATGTGCAATTCAAGAAGCCAGCTGGTCGTCCGGCGAAGCTAGCGACCACTCGAGTGAAAAATAGAATTGAAAAAATTTTCAAAACCAAGCCATCAACGTCAGTAGCTGTAGCTGCCAGGAAAGTCAAAATTTCCAAAAGCTACCTGGGGGAAATTAAGGTCCATAAATTAGGAATCAAAGCAAGGACCAAAAAACCTGCACCAAATTACAAGCCCGTACAAGAAAGTCGGATCAAGGATTGCTGTCAAAAATTGTTGAAGAAAATGCGTGGAAAAGTAGTGATCCTGGATGACGAAACGTATGTTCCGGTTGACCCTTCAAATCTTCCAGGGCGTCATTTTTTTCATAGCTCGGATCCCTCTGAAGTGGCTTATGAAGAAAAAGTACGAAAAAAAGACAAATTTCCAAAGAAATATTGCATTTGGCAATGCATCTCCAGTCACGGACATGTATCAGACCCGGTAGTTCTCGAAGGGAATATCAATCAAGATATTTATCTGAAAAATTGCGTCAAGGCTGGATTGGAAGCATTTATTAATAGGTTTCACAAAAATGATAAAGTTTTGTTTTGGCCTGACCTCGCCACTTGTCACTATGCAAAGAAAGTGACCGAGTACCTCAGAAAGAAAAATATTGATTTCGTACCAAAAGATATCAACCCACCTAATGTACCCCAACTCCGCCCAATCGAAAAATTCTGGGCACGTTCTAAGTCAGTATACTCCCGGCTTCAAGATGTGCCTGACACCTTTCGAAAATTCAAAGGACGATGGAAGAAAATCACCTCGGAAGTGGCAAAAACTTCGGGAAAAAATTTAATGAAAAATCTTCGCAAGAAAATCGAACTAGTCGCCAACGGGGGTGTGGCGGCCTTAGCTATTAATTAAATTATGTAGGTACGTATTTGGTATTATACATATGCAAAAAGTTTAAAATTCCGATAACTCATTGTGATTTTATGACCACATTTTCAGACCATTCCCATTCATTCCCGGACGTTCTTTATCTGGCTGGTTTGAAAATCGAAATAAAATTCCTTTGTTCAATTTAATTCTATTGCTTGATCGTATGTATGACCATCCGGCGTTATGTCGTGACTCATACGTATCGATACCAGTGGTCATCGTCAGGTGCCATGTATTCACGAAGTGGTACATACATATTTCACACTAGTTGCTAATGCACTTTCACCTTGGTATCTCATGCTTCTCGACGGTATATTAAGCAAGATGATATATTAAAGTTTCAAACTTTAAAATTGTAATTTCAACCTAAGGAACGCTTACATGTTTTATTATAAATAAATCTGCAGTGAGTTTTTGAACAGGTTCAAAATTTTTAAATTGATTCCAAGAACTTGACGATCTCTTTCAAATGACTGCCCATTTTAACTAAATATGGCTGGTTTGAAAATAAAACTCCTTTGTTCACTTCGGTGTCGCGAATCGTGTGACTATTAATACGGCGTCGTGACTCATATGTATCGATATCATTGCTGTTCAGGTGCCATTATTTATGCATTCATCAAGTAGTACACATTTCATATAGTTAACTATATGCAATTGCTTATGCATGCACTTTCACTTGGTTATCTCATTTTTCTCGTGTAGGCAAGAAAGAAATCTCAAACTTTAAAATTGGAATTAACAATAGACATTTTAAGAAAAAACGATTATCCAAACAAGTTAATTAAGAATAGTAAAAAGAAAAGCAGAACTAAATTTTCCAAAAAAAGATCCAGAGTTTGAAAAAAGAATCATTTTACCCTATGCTGGAAATGTAACTACGATAATAGCTAAATTCTTGAGAAGAAAATTGGAGATAGAACTTGGATATTACACTGGGACTAAACTAAGCTCTCTTATATGTAACACAAAAGAAAAACCTCCCAACACCAAAGCTGGAGTCTACAAATTCAAGTGTAAAAACTGCTCATCTAAATATTTTGGAGAAACTCAAAGAGATTATGAGAAGAGATTTGCAGAACATCAATCCGACATACGAAGAGCAGTAACAACTTCTCCTGTAGCATTACTATAGGGCGGATATGTATGTACTTAAATTCCTCAAAATATGTATGTAATATGTGCTTAAAAAACTCGAAAATATGCACATAAAAAATATTTTCCAATTGCAATTTTCTATTGTATTTTTATTTAATTTTCCAGACCTTTCAAATTTTTAACACTTTGATCAACTAATTATTAAATATTTCATTTTAATCTTCACCTAATGACCAATAATGCGACATTAGTTATATTTAAAGATTTTCAGGGATAAGTTTTTGGCTTAAAAAATGTGGCAAACTGGATTTGCTAGTCGTTTACATGAAAATTTTGACAAAACTTTGGCTTCTCAATAAAGAAAAGGATTTTTACATAAAAAACCTCGACATATGTATCAAAATATTTGTATTTAGAAAAAGGCTAAAATATGTAGGAAAATATGTGCATGTACTCAAAAAACCTCAAAATATGTATGAAAATATGTATATGTACGAAAACCCTAAAATATGTACAATATGGAAAAGTATGTTTGAATTTTTGAGATCACGCTTCGATGGAATGTCAGTATGCGAAGTTTTAGTGCGATCTGATTTAATATGAACAAGTTAGAAATACATACATATCCGCCCTCTGAGCATTACACATGGCAGAAAATGATCATCAAGTAGACACAACTTCTGTCAAGTTAATTATGAAGGCGAAAAGACGCTATTTCCGGAAGTTTAAGGAAGCATTATGCATACGCAGCACAGAAGAAAAAATGAATAACTCTCTATGATCTGATGAAGGTATCTGTATGTGCCGAAAGCTTGTCAATAAACTCAATTTCAAAAATATGTCCTCCAACGCCGATCAATCAAATTATATTTAAAATTATATGTAAATCCGAATTAAGGAACTCTAATATTATAAATATTATTATGAGGTGCTGAACCAATTGGTACATAAATATTTCATGTTAATTGCTTATTCACTTTCACCTGATTATGTACATATGTATCTCCTCCTCATCCCGTCTAGTTAAGAAAATGTTTGTAAAATTTGAACGATTGAAATTGCAATTGGAAATTAAGGAACTCGTAATTCTGAAGGGAGGGTAAGAGTAGGTTCATATTTTTTAAATTGATAGTCATTCCATGAACTTGACGATCTCTTTAAAAGACTGCTTATTTTTGCTTAATTTAATCCTTCACAAATTGCATACGATGCGCCGACATTCACGACATTGTCTTTACCTACTACGCCATGAGCATGGCAGCAGACCTTTCTACTATTATCTTGGCATGTATGTACCTATGTGGAATAACGAATTTTGTCATCAATTAAGACCCAGCACATCTTTTAGTCCATTTCATATAGTGCATGGAAACTTTTCATTTTTAACTTTCCCTCAGACATGTTCATATTCTGTATGCATTAAGTGGTTGCACATCAAAGTAAACTGCATTGCATGACACGAATTTAAGTAGCAACGAGGTGTCGTCTCACCTTTATTTCTGCAGAAATAAAGCTACCCATATGCATATCTGGATCATCACATCGATCGAATTCCACTCCAATTCTACTTTACTGAAAAACAGGAAGTATATCTGTACTTAAGAACGTATCCTTATCTTATTTTTACCATTTGTAACAGAAAAGGTTCGCAATCCCTTGGTATGGTCAGATTGAACTAAAGCTATTCATATCTTTTAGCTTGGATCATCAATTCGATCGAATTCAGTTGCAATTCTCGTATTTAAAAACGTACACAACTTACAATTAGTCACGTACTCTTAGCTTAGATATTTTTACATACATATTTCTTAAAACAAAGGACCACAATCAAAGGAGCGTGCAAATCTTTGGATTTCCACCAACCCCGAAAAACCGTGGCAAAAAGCTGGTTCCGTTCCCGCACTCGATCTATGTTTGAACTTCGCCCTTAATTACCATGCACATATGTCAATCTGGATGCTTTGAAAATCGAAATAAAAGGCCTTTGTTCAGATCTACTCTATGTATTGCTTGAATCTTATGACCAGCGCCGTGTCATGATTCATATGTCTTGATACCACTGGTCATCGGAGTGTGGTCACATACAAAGAAGTAACGTGGTCCATACATTCTAGCTTGAATAATTGAAATCGATCCAATTCAGTCCAATTCTACTATACCTGTAAATCCAAGGATGCGAATGTACAGAATTTAGCCACGTTTTCTTAGAGCTTGTTTTTACATATTTCTTAAAACAAAGGGCCACAATCCGGAGCGTACAAATCGTCGGATTTCCACCAACCCCGAAAAACCGTGACAAAATGTTGGTTGTTCCGTCCCTTCACTGGATCTATGCATTTCGCCCTTAATTGCCATGTACGTCAGTCTGGATGCTTTGAAAATTGAAATAAAACTTCTATGTTCAGTTTTATGTATTACTTAAATCGCATGACCACTGCAATGCGGCGTCATGACTCATGTTGTGTATCGATATCAGTGGTCATCATCCAGTGATACATACATAAGAACCAATTGGTGCATATTTCATATTAGTTGCTTCCGCACTTTCGCCTTGTTATCTCGTCCTCCTCTCGTCTAGTCAAGAAAGTATTTTCAAATTTTAAAATTGATCGGTTAGAATTGCAAATTTTGGAATTCATAACTCTGAAGGGAGTTTTTGAGCAGGTCAATATTTTTAAATTGAGATTGATCTCTTTTAAAAGACAGCTTTTTTTAACTTACGTAACTTAATTCTTCCCAAATTGCATAAAATGCTTCGAAATTCGCGACATGGCGTTGAGGAGTATGCCATGGATATGGGGGCAGGGAGACAGGTTGTACCTGATCCTATTCCTACCCCTCCTCCTCCCCCCACCGGAAGAGACCACGTCGCCATCGACATGCTGGAAGAATGCTGCGCAGGAAGTCGATCCCGTTGCGAATCTGTCATCCGGTCAGAATACCAACCCAACCAGGGGAACTTTCTCGTTCAAGCCTTGAAGAATTTGCCAGGGTTTAGGGAATGCCTTGCGGATAACATACACGTTTCGATGAGGTAAGGTGTTATCAAGTTCTTGATATTTTTCTAAAATGGGCATCTAAAGTGTATGCAAATGCAATTAATACAAAATATCAAGTGTTGCATATACACATGTATGGAATTGTATAAATTCTGGTTATTCGCCTAGAAAAATTGCTTATGTGTACCTAAAATATGCTTATCTATACATAAGTAAACTGGAAAATAAGTATAACATTACAATTTTTCCCATATCGAATGTATTGCATCAATTTAAAGTTTGTACATTTTTCATGAAAATTTTAAACCAATCATTGCTCAACATATTATTTAATACATTACGTCTTCATCATTTTCACAAGTCTATTGTTATATGCAAGTTCTTAAACGATGAGGTACACAGGGCGAGCAAGTACCTCCGTCTGGCAATTTAGTCATTTCGACGCATTTAGACCCCGACGAGCACACCATCGACTGAATTGCTTTAGCCCGTCCATTGACGCACCGCATAATAGCTTCCGGGGGACACAGGTCAGGTTTCAGCTCATGGCCACAGAAATAAAAGTAAGTTCCCGTCGAATTTACATCACGTGGGCACAGACAACCCGGTTCCGATTGACCTTTTACTACTCTATCGAGGTTCTTTACAGCGGTCTTCTGTGTCCACTCGTTTTCATGGGATGCATGACAAATGCAACTGACAAGTAGCATTGTCATCAGATGCATTAATTTGGCCTTCATTACTTTCAAGGGATGATGTAAAGTTGAGCTAGAACCAAATAGATTTGTAATTAATAAACCTTGACAGATGAAGTGGTTCAATCCAATAAATATAATTGATTTGAATACAAAGCATTTTATTTGAGCTTATTAAAATGAATAGTTATCTACCAGCAGTAAAAATAATCTCAAGATCAATTAGTTCCCAGTTTTCCAAGTTTATGAAAGTACATTTGTACAGTACTTACTGCTCCGCGAGTGGTTCAATTATGAGTGATTTATCTAAAGCATTTTTTTCCTGTCTTAGGGTTTTTTGGGCGATCGTAATTGCGCTGTTAAGTGCTATTGTGTACGTCATTGTTCAAATGGGACATACCAGAACAATGGGCCATCCGCTAGTAATTAACCCTGAAACAGAGGAAATGTACATCGGAAATGTGGAATTTCCCAGGGTCACCGTTGCTCCTCCGGGGGGCTTCTCCCGCAACCAAATCGATGTTGCGCATGAGTAAGGATAATATTATTTTAGCAATTTTTTTGTGACATCTAATTGTATTCTTCTTTAACACCCCGCAGAACTTATTGGGAGCTACGAAATTACCTGCCTAATAAATGGACAAAAAATGAAAGTGCAGGAGTAATTCAAATCATTGATCAAGTTTGCTCCCCCAATACAACCTTTGCTGGTTTGAATAACGTCGAGCATTTGGAAAACTGGAACTTTGAATTAGGAAATATTGCTCATGTGAATGAAGAAGTAATGGACTATGAGTTACAGATGAGTGAAAAAGTCGCTCCATTTATTCGAGAGGTCTGGAAAATTTACATCATTTTTGAGATTCTTCCGCAATATTTATTTACCATATCACTAAAATACATTCTCTCTTTGTCTTTTATGCAGGGAATGGTAAACTGTTCGGAAGCAATTGAACGGTGCTTTCTCAACGGAGTGGAGTTAGATTGTGGGGAGGTCTTTAAAGAGCATTTTTCTGAGTGGGGAAGTTCTTGCATCTTTAACGGAATTCCAACCGCTGCAACTAGACGGTAAGATTACTAACTCATCTATCGGGTATTTTGTACCTTAATTAAAATTAGTTTTTTGTATAGTACGAAATATTTTTCTTAATCTAGCAACAAGGCGTTAAAATCAGCATTTGGACATCAGTACAAAGAAGACGAGCTCACTGAATGGCAACAGGTAAAATCTGATCGAGACAGCGACGATGTTGCTGAAAAGGGACAAAACAGGACGATTCCAATTCCTTGGAAGCAATATTTTCCGGGCAAAACTTCCGGCTTAACTTTCGTCATGAAGCATGAAGAACTTGACAAAGCTTGCGTACACGGTGAAGGGGTCGGTTTCATGGTAAAGAATATCATCGATTGGTCAGCTTTTAAATAAAGATGCGAATTAAATTTACTACCACGAATTTCAGGTTCAGGTAAATCATCCGTTTGATGAGCCTCAAATACAACGGTTTGGGGCACCAATTGCGTTTGGGGTGGAAGCCCAGGTCGCCGTGCGTCCAACCGTTTACTTGGCCGATGGTGAGATAAAGGAAGACGTTGATCAGAGTCACCGTCGTTGTTATTTCAGCGACGAAGGTGGCATGGCTAAATTAGAATATTACAAAAAGTATTCCAAGCAGAATTGCTTGTCCGAATGTTTCTCAAAGAACGTTACGAAACACTGCAACTGTACAATGATCACCTATCCAGGTACAAAATGTTCTCGTGCTGACATAATTTTAAAGGGTGCAATCTGTTTAACCTACATAAATTATAGGAAAACCTGGACATAGATTGTGTACAGTTAACGAAATGAAAACTTGCGTCCATGAGCAAGAAAGTGAGTAAAATTTATAGGATAGGTAAAATAAAAATTTAGTTGAAATAAATATGTACACGATCCTTAATTTCTTATAGAAGCCTTATTCAAGGAAGGACTTGCAACGAAATGTCAAAAATGTCGGCCAAATTGTCGTGATACAAAATACGAGATGAAGATATCTTCGAGCCCCATGTCCGACAGCACCATGAAGGACTGGAACATACCGTAAGATAATTTAATTAACCTTTAGGATCCCAGTCCACGAATGTCATGGAATTTATTAAATTTTCACTTAAATCCCATGTACACGAGTGTCATGGAATTTGTAAAACATCCCACAAATCCCAAGTCCACGAATGTCATGGAATTTTGAAATTTGACCCTGTGTCCCAGATACATGAATATCATGGATACGCGACAAAATGCGTTGAATCCCGTATACACAAATACGTGTATTTTCAAAAAATTACAAATTTGGCGACCGTGGAAACATTGCATGAAATTGAAGGGTTTTGATATGGCGCCCGAGTTAGGGCTTATGGAATCGTGATGGTTGTCCGTCTGTCTGTCTGTCCGTGAACAGGCTAGAGCCAAAACGACTGACCCGATTCACATGAAATTTTTAGTATATGCAAATTGGACAAAGTTAGAAACGAGTTCGCAGATGGGGAAATTGGTCAAGTGGTTGACCGGTGGGGGTCGTCTGAGTGGATGGGGTACTATGCACTAAAATTTCAAAATTGTCATAGAAAGCTGAAATTTGGTATAGAGCTTGCTAATGGCTTCTATTGAAAGAATATGAAGTAAAATTGCAAAATCTTACCGAGGGGACCCTATGGGTGACCCATGCCGGTTTTAAGACATTGTCGTAAAAATATAAAAATCGGCATAGGATACTGAATGGGTTCTCATGAAAGTATATGAAGTTCAAAGTGGTCAATGTGTAACCTTAGTGACTCTAGAGGGTGACCCATACTGGTTTTAAAAGTTGCTATTTTCAGCTGGAATTTGGGATAGGGGCTAAAAATGACTTCTGAATAGCAAATAAAACTTTGGAAGATTTGAAAGAAGCAAGTCACAGTGGTCCTGGTAGTCAAGGAAGGATTTGTAAATACTCCACAAAATAACAAATATTCTGCACACATTCGACCATTCCCAACACGGGGTGTGGTAATCGCAGTCCGGTCAATTCGGACAAAAATTTAGGAGCGGTCCGTCCTTGACTAAGGACATTGTATAATTGCAGACAATGTAGGTTTGTGGCTATTTTTGAAAATCGGTATGGGTCATCTCCCTCCTCCACCCCATATTGTCCCTCTGGTTAAATATTTTTAGATTTCCCCTCCGAGTCTTTCATTACACGCCATTAGCACTCAATGTGCTGAATTTCAGCTTTCTAGCGATATTTTCAAGTTTGGTGTCGATTCCACCCACCTATCTATATGACCTCACTCGACAGATTTGGCTCACTTGCGAACTCGATTATTTTTGGCACCTGCAAAATTTGAAGGCAAACCGTTTTGGGTGTATGGTATCGGTGGACCGAAAGACAGACATGGCAAATACATAAGGCCTCACTGGGATAAAAATTTCTGGTTCGGGCTATGCGAAGCTGTACTAATAGGTTTTTCACCACGGTAATAGTATATGTATATGGGAAGTAGTTTTTGTGGATTATCATTGCATGTGATAATACAAATATATTCCGTTGGTTTTTTCTTGAAAATAAAATTCGGGTCAGTGTGGTCGAAAAAGATTCAGCAGCTTGGGTGCGTGAGGACAGATAGCTGACAATTATTTGGGCCTTAAAGGGCATTTAATTGAAGATTAATTAGGGACTTAGTGATACGATTTTTCGTGACAACAATTTTGAAATGGGATCCTAAAGGTTAAGGACCAAAATTAGCAATACAAATTTTAGATGATACTGTTTGACAATTTTCTCTGCTTTAGTAATAAAACCAGCTTTTCTCTTGTTCATGTGTACTTTGAAATGGATTCTGTCCAAGCTTTAAGAAGGAGCTCGCGTTACAATTGGTTCGAAGTAACCGGTATGCATCACTTATCACTAAATGGTCTGAATTAATTGCACATTTCGCTTAATTTATAATTATTCACAGGCTTAAACGGAGGGACAATTTCAATGGTGACAGGAATCTCCTTGTTGGACATTGTCAAAGGTATTACGACCGCTATTATGGTCTTAGGTGGTCAGTATTTTATCACCAGCCAACAACCGGATGGAGGCATCAGCGAGGAAACGAGTGAGTCATTTTTTAGCAGAATTTGTTAATTACTTAAATGAAAATGCATCTTTCATAATACTTGTTGATGATCATTCTGCCAGGTCAAAGACGCGAAAGAGTCCCCGTAGTTCCTCCTCCTTCACAAATTACCTATGTCCAACCACGACGCAATCCACCCACACCGCCGCCCCAGTATCATCCAGCAGAACCTGACCTATAAAAGTGCTTATCAAACTTTAATACTGCCAAACGTTGTCATTTGCATTGTTCTCCGTCTATACATACAAATGTACAAAAATTATTGTGATAATTGTAGTGGAAGCAGAAATTATACAGTTTTCGAGCTTATACATAAATTCGCTTAAGAAAATGCGCAAAGAGTTCTGAATATCCTATAGATATAAAATTATCTACAAATTAAGACATTATTATTCAATAAGTAGCAATCATATCATACCGTAAATTAAATATGTAATATATATACTAAAGGGAGGGCAGCCTGGTGGATACGAATTTGGCCTTGAATAACCCCGGAACGGTTTGTCGTAGCGGGTCAAAATTTTGAACAGAAGAGCATGTTATCCTCAGATAGTTGTGTGCAAAAATTCAACTCTCATACCTCCCCCACAGCCCCCAGAAGTTGAGACACTCGTTTCAACTTTTTCCAAACTCCGTCTAAAAAATTCGGTCCCCACAGAAAGATTTTCTTTTCATCTATCCGAACTCAAACAAGTCGATTTGACTTATATCAGGGGATTGTATAGGTATTTCACTATTCCAAATGATTTTTATCCCCAATCTAGGTTCAAGGTCATTTGCATAATCTTGGGTCAACTTTGCCGTCTGGGAGGACGCTCCGTCATGATGAAAAATCACCTTAATTATTATTTTACCGTGCAAATTAGGAAAATTGTATTCTAAAAGTGGTTTCAGTACAAGGTCCACATAATACTTCGAAGATTCCTTCACTTTTTGGGGGACTTTGATAAGTGGGAGGACACCACGACAGGACATTGCACCCACGACCATCAACTGTTTAAAAAAGTTCTCCTCACTGAAAAGCACCAAATTTCTTGAATTTTTTTTCGGCATTTGTCGTGTAGTAAGCTCTTCGAACCCAATTAGTAACTTGTAGGGAAAATAGTTCTTCGTCAATTGTCACCAATAGCTCACTTCTATTCCTCAACAGAATATTCAAATAAAATTTTTTGCAAACACGGGCGAGATTTTTTCTGGAACTATTTGAAATGACTGTCTCAGCTTCTGGGGGCTGTGGGGCAGGCATTTTTCAAAGTAGAAGGCTGAAATTTTGCACACAACTATCTGAGGATAACATGCTCGTCTGTTCAAAATTTTGACCCGCTACGACAAACCGTTCCGGGGTTATTCAAGGTCAAATTCGTATCCACCAGGCCGCCCTCCCTTTGGTAATTACTGCCGGAATTTAATAAGCTAATTATTTCTACTTGCAATTCACGAGATTACTTATGAAATGTTGTTTATAACGAATTTTTTCACTTTATAAAAGTAGTTTCACAATATTTGGATTTGTGATAATTGTGAATTTATGATGCACCTTCCAATAAATTACTGAACACAAGTCTCTCTTTTAGAATCCTAATTTGTTTAATTTTTACACCAATTTCAAACATTGCATGCACTACTTTCATGACAAATTTAATTGCTTTCAAAAGTTTGACATATTTATGCAGATACAAACATACGTATGTATATATATCTATATGCACAGCATATGAGTATTAAATACACCATGTGTTTAGATAATCCCTGATAATCCTATTCAAATTTATGAATGTACATTGTATTTATTTATGAATAGAGTGTCGAACTCGAAATTAATTAAACTTGTTTCGGTTAACTTGATTAAAATGCGATACTGCAGAATTATTGTTTTTTTTTTTACATAAAATGACATTTAAATGGATTGACGAACTAATCCTAAGATATATCAAGAAGAAGCTTTGCCTACCCACCATGTTACATAATATTATTACTTTCATTGCACAAATTTGTGCCGAAGATGTGTGACATTTTGACATGTTAAATTTGATTAAAAATTCTTTCTTGCTGCTTGTTAGAACTTTCATGTAGATTGAAATATGTATGCCTCATTTTAGGAAGAAGTGAAACGTGGCGTTGCTGTATTTTCCCTTTGGGGGTCTGGATCCTTACGTGTCTATTCTGACTTTTCTGACCCCCTTGGGATCTCAGTTTAAAAATATGGATGCAGTTTAACAGTAAGTCTGGAATGTGTGTTTATTAAAGTGATGGGTTTTATCATTCGTAAATCTGTGTAATTATTATCTGAAAACTAATTATATTTCGAAATAATTTTTCAAACAAGCTAAATATTTATCTATAAAATATAGCAAACTGATTTGTCGTATTACAGATTAATGCTTCACTTATATAACAATATTTGAAACCTGTTGTTATATTTATTGATCTGGGTTTTCAAAAGATGTATTACTATGCATGAATCTGGAGGTGCGTCAGGCTTACTCCTTAAACTCTTACCGGTATTAAAACCGGTGTTGAATCATTACTGCCTGACCAGAGTACATATATGTATGACTCTACCGGCAATGGTAATAACGGGCACTACCATGTTGTGGTAATCAAACATTTACCACTGCGAAACAAACTACTACCAATCTGGTAGGATGTTATTACCAAATCAATGCCAGTATCTGGAGTGTGACTCTACCATAATTTACCGGTATTAATAACGTTAACTTTTCATAGGTTAGAAAAAATATAAGTCGGGAAAATTTATGTTAGACTTTTTCCCAAAACTATGGGCCCCGTAGCGTATACTTTAGTCAAAATTTAATAATTTAATATTTGAGTATAATTCTAACTATAGCAGAGCAGCCTTGAAGTCGGATCATTTCTGTTGAAGTTAATAAATACATGTTATTTGGTTACTCCTGCGCAGTCAGATTTTGCGATACTTTTTGTGAAACATTTTTTCCATAACTCTGCGAATACACCTTATATTCTCTGATAATAATGAAAAGGAATTTAAAGCTCTGTTATTTGGTCACATCCATTCTCTGCTAGAATAGAGCAACCATTTTCAACACTGGCAGAGAAAGAATTTTGGTGTACATATACTTATGGGGGCAGTGGTGCTCCAATAATTTGTGACGGTAATACTGCAGTATTTGTAATGAGTAATGGGGCTTCGCTGAATTGATTTGGGGGTGTGCTATCGGTAATCTGGATTCGAAGCGGGGCTGGAGTATTATGATTGAAAGTTGGTGCTTCAGTACTTTGAATCGGCGAGATTGCTTCAGCGACTTGAATGCGTCGGGGTGTTTCAGTAGTTGGAATTTGCTGTATGGTTTGTGCTATTTGAATAGGGGGAGGTGCTTCTGTGGGTAGAATTTGATTAGGGATTTCAGTCGTGTGAATTGGCAGGGGTACGCCAGTGACAGGAATTGGCGGGGGTGCTCCAGGGACTGGAATTGGCGGCCGTGCTTCAGTCAGTTGAATTGGCGGGGGTGCTTGCGTGACTTGAATTGCGGCTTCAGTAAATGGAATTTGTGGAAATGTTCCCGTAGCAGGAATCGGCGGAGATGCTTCAGTTACTTGGATTCGCGGAGGTACTTCAGTCAATGGAATTTGCGGAGCAGGAGGGGGTGCTTCAGAGACAGGAATTTGCGGGGGTGCTTCAGTAGCTAGAATTGGTGGACGGGGTTCTGTGACTGGAATTTGCGGGGGTGCTTCAGTGACAGGAATTTGCGGGGCTGCTTCAGTGACTGGAATTTGCGGGGCTGCGTCAGTGACAGGAATTTGCGGAGGTGCTTCAGTAGCTAGAATTGGTGGACGGGGTTCTGTGACAGGAATTTGCGGGGGTGCTTCAGTGACTGGAATTTGCGGGGCTGCTTCGGTGACTGGAATTTGCGGGGGTGCTTCAGTAGCTAGAATTGGTGAACGGGGTTCTGTGACTGGAATTTGCGGGGGTGCTTCAGTGACTGGAATTTGCGGGGGTGCTTCAGTGACTGGAATTTGCGGGGGTGCTTCAGTGACAGGAATTTGCGGGGGTGATTCAGTAACTGAAATTGGTGGATGTGGTTCTGTGACTGGAATTTGCGGGGGTGCTTCAGTGACAGGAATTTGCGGGGGTGCTTCAGTGACTGGAATTTGGGGGGGTGCTTCAGTAGCTGAAATTGGTGGATGTGGTTCTGTGACTGGAATTTGCGGGGGTGCTTCAGTGACTGGAATTTGCGGGGGTGCTTCAGTGACTGGAATTTGGGGGGGTGCTTCAGTAGCTGAAATTGGTGGATGTGGTTCTGTGACTGGAATTTGCGGGGGTGCTTCAGTGACTGGAATTTGGGGGGGTGCTTCAGTAGCTGAAATTGGTGGATGTGGTTCTGTGACTGGAATTTGCGGGGGTGCTTCAGTGACTGGAATTTGCGGGGGTGCTTCAGTGACTGGAATTTGGGGGGGTGCTTCAGTAGCTGAAATTGGTGGATGTGGTTCTGTGACTGGAATTTGCGGGGGTGCTTCAGTGACTGGAATTTGCGGGGGTGCTTCAGTGACTGGAATTTGGGGGGGTGCTTCAGTAGCTGAAATTGGTGGATGTGGTTCTGTGACTGGAATTTGCGGGGGTGCTTCAGTGACAGGAATTTGCGGGGGTGCTTCAGTGACTGGAATTTGGGGGGGTGCTTCAGTAGCTGAAATTGGTGGATGTGGTTCTGTGACTGGAATTTGCGGGGGTGCTTCAGTGAAAGGAATTTGCGGGGGTGCTTCAGTGACTGGAATTTGGGGGGGTGCTTCAGTAGCTGAAATTGGTGGATGTGGTTCTGTGACTGGAATTTGCGGGGGTGCTTCAGTGAAAGGAATTTGCGGGGGTGCTTCAGTGACTGGAATTTGGGGGGGTGCTTCAGTAGCTGAAATTGGTGGATGTGGTTCTGTGACTGGAATTTGCGGGGGTGCTTCAGTGACTGGAATTTTCTGAAATGCTCGCATTGCAGGAATTTGCGGAGGCGCATCAGTAACAAGAATTGACAGGGGTGCTTCAGTGACGGGAATTTTCCTTGGCACTTCAGTAAACGGAATTTTCGGAAATGCTCCCGTTGCTGGAATTTGCGGAACTGCCTCTGTAACAGGAATTGGCGGGAACGGTTCTGTGACTGGGATTAACTGAGGGGTTTCGGTAACTTGAATTAGTGGAGGCGCTTCACTGACTTCAATTGGCCGGCTTGGTTCGGTGGCTGGAATTGTCGGAGGTGCTTCAGTGCCTGAAGTTGGCTGGGGGGCTGAAGTAATTTGTAACTGACGAACTTCAGTAAGAGGAGTAGGCCGAGGTGCTTGAGTAACTGGAATTTGCGGACGTGCTTCAGTGGTAGGAATTTGCAGAGGTGGTTGTGTGACTGGAATTTGCGGGGATGCTTCAGTGACAGGAATTGGTGTAGGGACATCAGTAAATGGAATTTGTGGAAATGCCTCATTAGCAGGAATTGGCTGAGGTGGTTCAGTGACAGGAATTATCGGAGGTGCTGTATTGATTTGAATTGGCGGAGCTGGTTCAGTGACTAAAATTTGCGGGGGTGTTTCAGTCACTCGAATTTGCGGAGGTGGTTCAGTGATAGGAACTGGCGGAGGTGTTTCAGTCATTTGAATTGGCGGAGGTGCTGCAGTGACTGGAATTAGCGAGGGCGTTTCAGTGACTGGATTTTTCTGAAATGCTCGCATTGCAGGAATTTGCGGAGGCGCATCAGTACCAAGAATTGGCAGGGGTTCTTCAGTGACAAGAATTTTCCTTGGCACTTCAGTAAACGGAATTTGCGAAAATGCTCCATTCGTTGGAATTTGCGGAGGTGCTTCTGTAACAGGATTTGGCGGGAACGGTTCTGTGACTGGAATTGGCCGGCTTGGTTCAGTGACTAGAATTTGCAGCGGAGCTGAAGTAATTATTATTCTCGAAGGCGCTTCAGTAGCTGAAGTTGGCTGGGGCGCTGAAGTAATTTGTAACTGACGAACTTCAGTAAGAGGAGTAGGCCGAGGTGCTTCAGTAACTGGAATTTGCTGCGGGGCTTTTGCCATAGATGCTTCAGTTGTTCGAGCTTGCATGATTTCTGTGATCTGAGGTGGATGTGGTGCTTCAGTAATTTGAAGCTGAAGTGCGGATTCAGTAACTTGAATTGGAGGCGGGGATGGGGCTTGAGTGAAAGGTTCCGGCGGGGCTATGCTGATTGGAGGAGATGCTGAAGTGCGTTCATGTTCTATCGATTCTGTGGGGCGAGGTGTAATTTTCGTTGGGAACATTGATGTCCGTAGTACCGCTGGTGTTGGCGTTTCAATAATGTGAGTCGAAATTTGCTTTGGAGTTGTCGTGAATAATGGGATTGGAGAAAGTGTAGTTTCCGGAGGGAAGGTCGTAAATTTTGGCACTATATTCGGCGATGTAGTTGTTTTGATAATTGTAGGGGATGTTGAAGTGAGTTGATACACAATGGGACGAGACGTAATTATCTTTGGGGGCATTGATGTCCGTAGTACCGCTGGTGTTGGCGTTTCAGTAATGTGGGTCGTGAAAGCTGGGACTGGAGGGGGTGTGGCCGTCTTCGGTTCGAAAGTTGTAAATTTTGCCACTAGATTCGGCGATTTGGTTGTCTTGATAAGTGGTAGCGTTGTAGGAACTAATGAAGTGGGTTGAGGCAATATCGATTCTGTCGCACGAGATGTAATTATCTTTGGGGGCAGTGATGTCGGTTGTGTTGGCGTTTCAGTAATGTGGGTCGGAATTTGCGTTGTTGTGAATAGTGAGATTGGAGGGGGTGTAATTTTCTTAGGTTCGAAAGTCGTGAATTTTGCCACTATATTCGGCAATGTTGTTGTTTTTATAGGTGGCACTGTAGGAGATGTTGAAGTAAGTTGATGCACCATCGATTCTGTGGGGCGAGACGTAATTATCTTTGGGGGTATTGATGTCGGTTGTGTTGGTGTTTCAGTAATGTGAGTCGAAATTTGCTTTAGAGTTACTGGGATTAGAGGGGGTGTAGTTTTTGGAGGGAAGGTAGTAAATTTTGTCACTATATTCGGTACTGTGGTCGTTTTGATAATTTGTGGCGTTGTAGATGTTGAAGTGCGTTGAGGCACTATGGATTCTGTGGGGCGAGGCGTAATTTCCACTGGGGCCATTGATATCCATAGTACAGGTTGTGTTGGCGTTTGCGTAATTTGCTTTGGCGTTGTCGTGAATACTGGGAGTGGAGGGGGTATAGTTGTCGGAGGGAAGGTCGTAAATTTTACTACTATAATCGGCGGTGTGGTGGTTTTGATACTTGGTAGCGTCACTTGCACCACTGGGGTCGTGAGTATCACTGGTTTTGGTGACGTACTTTTTGTGACGGGTTTCAATGTTGTGCTCTTAAGGGTCGGTATGCTGCTTAAAGTCGAACTTTGCAAGTGCATCTTGGGCGTTAATGTCGTTACATGTGGCTTTAACGTTGTTGTGGTTTTTTGTGTCACATTTGGTGGTGGTTTTGTCGTGCTAATATTTCTTAAAGGTGGGTTTGGTTTTACAGTCGTCGTAGTTGTCGGACTTTTTGGGGGTGGTGGTTTGGTAGTTTTTGGTTTACGGTTTGCGGCGTCTACCAGACTTGAAAGTGGTACTGGGGGCGGAGAAGTGTTGTGCATTTTCTGTACAAGTATGGAAATAATAAGCAGTTTGGAAAGCAATGTTTTCAAAATTTGCGTAACTCCGCATATCTCATGAGTTAAAACTTGCGTATGAAAAATGTTCCGAGGACATGTCAGAATAATTTTGAGAGGGTTTATTCAATAAGTTTTGACTAAACTCAAGAAATATTAATGGGGATTTTCGGAAATTTTAAAAACGTAGTCTTGCAATATTTTTAAATGTTGGAATTATTTCATGACCGAGTTAAAATGTAAATGGAAAATAAGTACCTGAGTACCGTCCTCGTGGTCCACAACGAACTTCTGAACCCGTTTAAGTAATTTTCTAGAACATGCGTTTACATGATTATTCGAAATTGTTAATAAAATCACTAGCAAACTTGTAGTATAAATTTGTAATATAAATTTCATAATGATTTTTTTCTGTTAAAGCGGAAATATTGTGTCGAATTGTAACAACGTGGTCATGTTTTTACTTTAATCGTACATTTTAAATGGAATGTTAAGGAAGCATCACACGGTTTCAAAGTGCAGCGAAGAAATAATTAGTATTGTTTGTGGGATGACGAGATAATTTGCATTATTTTAATATTTAAAGCTTCACAAATCAATGTAAATATGTGGCCATTGTTGAGTTCAAGGTTACTATTTTTAATACGTTATAACTGCAATTGTATGTGAATAACTGCATTTATGGGGTGGTGCATTTAACATCCATCAATAATATAACATCCTGAACCAGTGTGGGTGTAAGGGCCCGTTGGAATTTGACGGCAGACATGCATACATAAAGTTTATGAAAAATTAGAAAAATGTAAAACACCTAAATAGGAGGTGTTTTACGTAATTTTAGGTATGTTCACCTACAAACACCTCGTATGTACATAGTTCCAACCTCGTTTGAGTAAATAAATTTCGTATTTTAGTATGCTTTTTGAAAAATTGCATACGAGTCAGCCTAGCTGAAAGCATAATAAAAATATTTTAACATTTCCAGCTATGCGTTTTTACTTACGTCATTATAACTAGTTTAAAAATTAATAATAATATAAACTTAAAAAATGCGTCAGCATTCATTATCAGTTTTACACAATGATTTGTTGGTTCCATCTGAAATATCGGCAGTATTGCAGGTATTTAACTTGAGGTTACCTTGTACCCGATACATTTGATGGGACCTAAAGGGTCGATTTTACTACGACTTGGGGACTAGTTAAATGATTCAATGAGAGATAAATGGTGTCACATTTATATAGATCTTTAAGTCAATTGAGGAGTTGGATGAAAGTAAATGTTGAATGGTGGGTGTGAAATGTTCCCACTGGGAGGGTCGAAATACGGAAATTGTACACGAGTTAATTGGAAATACATAATTTACAAATCAATTACCCAAGTTACGCGTAATCTCCCTTCAACGTTTTTTAGCCAAGTCCAGTTTCACCGGAATGAATGGCATGGCTAAATCTGGTCGTGAAAGTATGGCCAAGATTGGCCATGTGTATGTAAGGATTTTATTGAATTACTTTTTTTAATGCAAAATTATTATTGGCATTTACACGACTTACAAGGGAAGGTCCCCGACTGCTTATCGTGTCCAGGGTACCCACTATGTTTTTTAGAATCTACTAGGACCCCAGATGAAGGATTCATTCATATTTCCGTGTAAAACTCATATTTGGCGCCATGGCGTGGCGCCAAACTTAAAAATTTGCATCTTCGACCAATTTCAAACCCCCATAACTTTTGCAGTTTATGTCGGATTTTCAAATTTTTATTGATCACAAAAGTCGAAATTTTGGAGAAAAAAAATAAAAATAAAACATTTCTAATTTTTGAGATATTTTTGGCATTTTTTCGACGAACCCCCATTTCTAAGAAAATTTCGAAATTTTGCTAAAAGTTAAAATCTATAATTTTGGAAAAAATTTCATGGGATAAGAAAGTTGAACTCATTGTCATGAGTTTTGCCAAAAATTTTTAAAATCCATCTAGGATTTCAAAAGTTATGGCGGTTTCAAAAATAAAAACATTCAAATTTGGCGAATTTGGCGCCACGGCACGACGCCAAATATGAGTTTTACACGGAAATATGAATGAATCCTTCATCTGGGGTCCTAGCAGATTCTAAAAAACATAGTGGGTACCCTGGACACGATAAGCAGTCGGGGACCTTCCCTTGTTAGAATAATGAAAAATTGCTACAAAAAATACTACTTTCCTCTCGCCAAATATTTTGCCATTTACAATTTAGAACATGCAACCTGATATTTCTCAAGGTTTGCCTCAAGGAACAAAATAATTGGGTGCAGCTAGGTTCGAGATATGTATAAATACGTGCAAGAACTAAAAGACTGTATGTATGCGTCCAAAAAATAATTCATCTATTTTGTAAACACCCCGTTTTATTGTTACTAATATTTCATGCTTATCACATTCAAAAAAGTATTTACTACTGAATTTTATAAATTTGTATCTACATTTTGTATATACATACATAACTTCTAAGTCAGGTGATGTAGTTTTCAGGGTAATGTGTCCAAAACTATTTCGGAATTTCTAGATGATGTGATGATGGAGAAAGTTGTGGAGTCCTTGCATCATTTTTTAGCCCTTGACCTTTGTAGGCAGTCCAAATCGCAACCTTCCCTTGTTTCCCTTGCCAATTGACTGGGTTCTTCTGCTTTATCAAATGTGAAACATTTAAGGATGGGATTATTAATATTAACTTTACCGAGTTACGTATAAAAACAGTGGCCGCGGAAGTGTGGGGACAGGGGGACAATGTCCCCACGGTTATTCGATGTCCCCATCATCTGCCAATCTTATACAAACCTCTCCCTCCCCTATCCTACAATGTTAACGTCCCCAAATGTCCCCACACCTTCCGCGGCCACTGTGTAACAATAATTAGTAAATTACGCATTATATCTCGACAAGCTTCTCTCTCCCCCAGAGGAATCTCCAAACTGGGCAAATGACTTTCTAATAAGGCATTCTCCACTGGCCGGATCTCGAAATCGGTTGCCCCCAATGCACACCAGCGGTACGCAGCGTTGTCCCCGAATGTGCCAGAATTGACGCGAAGGACAATCAACCTCTTCCTCCTCTTCGACCTCATAATCGCCATGATTATTGTCGAGCAGAGAGGCCAAGTCGTGTTCCGGGGTTTCGTGAGAATATCGTGCAATATTGGGATGGATTTCGCCATTTCTGTCGACAATAACGGGTGATGATTCGGTGGGGAAACTGGATGCCAGAAGGGCTTGGAATGACACGCTAATCAGGCCTAAGACGACGATATGGAGGAGCTTGGCCATGGCGAAAAAGTGGTAATAAATTTGATACCAGGATAATAACAACAACAGGTAGCCAGCGAGTGGGTGATGATATGTTCAAGAGAGAACTTCTCGAACAGACTGAAAGGTTCTGGGTGCTGAGAGAGAGGAGAAAGTGAGGAGTGCATTCCTTTCGTGGTGAAAGCAGTGAAAGCCAGGCATTAAGAGACGTAGGGAAAGTTCCACACTCTTAATAACGCGGTGTTAACATATGCACACCGAACAGTGCGCATATGTATGTGACTTCACCGTGCGGTGATAATGTTTCTCACCTAATGGTGGTAAAATTAACGGTAGTCGGAGAAGTTTGGCGAAATCCCGTTTGGCGAAAAAAAAATTTACCCACTTTATGGCATTTTTAGCACGAGGGTTCCAAAGTACCTTTTGGCGAAAAAAATGTCACATTTGGCGAAAATGAAGATTTTATGAGTGTGTTAAATCATAAAGATAATACCACAAGAATTAACACCAGCCAGTGACAATTTGTCACCATGCGGGAAAAAACTTTATCACCATTTAGTGAAGTCACATATGCGGCGACGATTGATACCAATTTTTTAAGAGTGTACTCTCCACGAGAAACAGTTGGTTAACATTATCACGCAAAACAGATCTGATCTAATTTGCCAACAGTTTCGCCTTGCGAAATCCTCTCCTTGATGGTGAGAAATTCCCTTGTGTAAACAATACAGACATTTGAATTTTATCACATTACGTTCTTCTGCCAGAAGATACAGGTTCAACCATTGATAATGGGTCAGTCGAATTGACGCAATCGCATTATTTAAGTTCCAAAAGTGTTTTTCGAACAGGACAGAATGGATTTAACGATGTGGTGGCATCATCAGTATGTTGGATGTACAGGTATGACGTACAGTGGCCGCGGAAGCGTGGGGACAGAGGAGGGGCAATATCCCCACGGTTGTTCGATGTCCCCATCATCTACAAACCTCTCCCTCCCCTATCTTACAATGGCAATGTCCCCACATGTCCCCTCGGCTTCCGCGGCCACTGATGACGTCAAACGCGATGGATTCCCCAGTGGTACTTTTATATTTTGCCCTTTTCGTTACATACATATGCAAACCTTGTTTGAAAATTCCTCCTGCTAAACAGTGAGTGAGTGAGTGCATGATGTATTCCCAAAAGGGATGCTTTCTTCACGGATCAAAAACATTCAAATTATGGTTAACATAATGGGGCACGTTCTCTTCCTGTGATCACGGAACTTGGGGCTTATGCCATGTTTGCCTTCCATTAACTCAAACCACCATCAGTGGCCGCGGAAGCGTGGGAACAATGTCCCCATGGTTATTCAGTGTCGGCATCATCTGCCCATCTTATACAAACCCTTCCCTCCTTTAATCTTATTGTCCCCACACCTTCCGCGGCCACTGACCAACATGGAAACTCGGCTGGAAAACTCGTCGAGTCGAGACTGCTGCTTCGGGACATAAATATGTAAACTGTTGATGCACTGAAACAGGAGGCTGGCCGAGGATGAGAAAAAAAGAGGACAAAATGAATTACATGACTGCAATGTCAATGTTGCTTTCTATAAGTTTACCCTTGAAAAGGATGAGTTACACGGATGAACAATTTAGCATCTTTATCATAAAAAATTGTGCTTTATCCTAGATTTTACTGGTCATGTTTTACGGAAATAAATAGTCATGTACATAAATAGTTAGTGAAATCAAGAAAAATTGAAGGCGTTTGGTGTGCTGAATGATGAGTTGATATGAAAAATCCAAGAACAACTTTCATACATATACTGAATACTAATTTTTATTATTATGTAGCGTCATTTCATGCACGTTATAAATAGTGTAACAAGTAAGAATTATGCTAAAAATTAAACGAATGACACTGGAGAAAGTATGAAATTTGTACAAAACCGTTAGCATGCATGCAGCATCGCTCTGGAACAAACATAGTAAATGCAAAGATCGGGGTTAATTCCTACATGATTAAAGTTCGGAATATGTATTCTGTCCAAGAACAGGTAGGCATTCGAGGACGGAAAATATGGATTTCGTGCTGCATCCTGCTATCCAGAAACCCAGTGCCCATTTCCAAGTCCAGTTACGGTCTGAATCAAAACAGATGACAAGAAATGATGATATTACATTTTTGAAAAAATATTATATGGGAAATAGATTTCTTACTCTGGAAGGAACGCCGAATTTTTTACTGTATTTCTTTGACCACCTTCCCCCTCGTCGGCGATGTCGTAAGATGCAGTTTCCATCATCATCTCGCCAGTTGTTGCCGCCTGGATGGCAAGCAAAAGTTAAGGGAGGTGTTCCAGCGTATGCTCTCAGATTTTGACCAAATCAGCGTCAATCGATCCCAACTAATATGAAATTTGGAAAAGACACAATCTCCGAATGGACACGTTTGGCAGAGATATTTACATCCGAAGAGGAGAAAACGCGCCTTAAAGTCGACAAATTTTGCACTTTCCAAATTTACTGCGCGTTTTCTCCTCTTCGGATGCAAATATCTCTGCCAAACGTGTCCATTGGGAGATCATGTCTTTTGCAAATTTCATACTAATTAAATTTGCCATCGATTGACACTAATTTGCTCAAAAATCGGAGAGCATACTCTGGAAAACCTCCATTGTTAGTGTATATACATACATTCACAAAACATGTATGCGAATCTAATAAGTGTAAGTACGTGTCCTAACCTGGACAAACTATCGGCACGCAGCGTTGACCTCTTATATGCCAAAATTGTGTTTCAGGGCATTCCGGCTCTTCCTCCTCATATTCGTAGCCACCATGTCCTCCCTGACTCTCTTCAGGGTCTTCCTTTTCTTGTGAAATTCCATCATTTTTATTATTCCGACGTTGTTTCGGCTCGAAGTCCTCTGGCAGGATTTCTGGAAAGCCGGCAGCGGGTTGGTGTTGCTGTATCTTGGAATCTGATCTCGTAATGCCAATTTCATCACGAGGAGCTGACAACAAATCTGGTGAGGAAGAAGATAAGCTGATTTCCGTCTCTTTAATAATCTCGTCTGGTTTTTTCGTCTCGACATTGGCATCATTTTCCTCTCCTGGGGAATTCTCAGACAAAACTCGTCTCTGTTTCACACGGAATCCTGCCTTCCTTGCCCAAACGGGAACTTGAGATTGTGCCTCGTCCTCGCCAACTTTGTCCTGAATAACCTTGTTCCAATCGGGTTTCGGTGCGGCACCTATTTCTTCATACAGAAGGAGAATAATCAGCACGGAGAAGGTGCAAATGAGCTTCATGGTAAGGTTGGTAACGTTGTTTTTCAGTAAATAATATTTGCACAACGGGGTAAATTATGTATGACGCACAAAAGGAAAGTTATGGGATTATTGTTTTGAAAATGAAAATGGCACAGTTTGCGTGGTTTGAACGTCTAGCTGGTAATGCGAAGAAGGGATGAAGCGTCGGTGGGGTAATAGATATTGTGCGAATATTATTTTGCACAGGATCATTTGCAGGATGAGGACGTGCATAAATTACGTTAGTAAAAAAGTGGGTGGGTAGTTCTGGCCAGTGGCCGCGGAAGCGTGGGACCGAGGGACAATGTCGCATGGTTATTTGATGTCCCCATCGTCTGCTCATGTTATATACATAAACCCCACCTTCCCTGTTAATGTCCCCACGGCTTCCGCGGCCACTGGTTCTGGGTCTTACTCGCATTAAGCTTAACATTAGTGAGGAAGGGTGGGTGGTCCAAAAATCGGTGTTTCTTTGTTAACGTACTATATGAACGTTCCCCATCATCATCGTTTCATAAATATGACCCAACTTGTCCGGACTAGAAAATTACTTGTTGCCGAACTTGTCGCGATTTGTGGTGAGGTTAAAAGTATGGCGTAAGTGTGTATGTACCAAGCAATTAATTGATATTTTAGGATGTCACGTATATACTGCGCTCTTTTTATTCTAATAATAGGATATATATTGCAACAATGTCAACTGCGACAATTCGGGTTGAAGGATTCTGCTGGCGGAGTGCCGGAAATATCATATTAAGCTTTTGATCACATCGGCCTAATTCATCTCATTTATTCGAGACACTTACCACTCATATTTACATACATACATACATAATGTGGCTCATTTACATATTCATGTTATAAGTACTTTAATAAATGCTGGACCATTTTATTGTCAAGTTCTCTGTGACTTTATACATATTTACATAATGTCAGATGAAGAAGAAGATGTTTTAAAGCTTACTCGGAGACAATTCCGCATAAAAATCTACCCACCTTTTCACTATTTTAATACTATTTATAAAATATGAAAATTACAAGAAATTACAATGTTTCCGATGTTTTCTCTATTGACAAATCTGTACGTCTAAAATAAAATATAGCGCAAGTTTATGTAGCTACAAAACGTACATATTCTTATAGGTTTCATCAACGCGTCAAAAATCACTTGTGGAGTGGACAGATGCATAAATTCGTACATCAAATTAGTGTCAATGAGATTCTCCTGATTAATACTGACGGGCGAAGTAGTATCAATTTTTTTAAAGGCCTCAAACACGGATGAATACAAACTAATGATAAGTATGTAGTAATAACACATGTAAATACATTTGATTAAAAAATTCCCAACGTTTACATACATATTTTGGGACGATAATAGGAATAAACAATAAAATCAGTTGTTAGTTAGTTAGTGTACCACCCTAGCTTCATTCTAGGCAGATTTTGAACCCCCAACTGCTCGTTGGCACCGTAAAACGCATTTTGAAGTACATCATGGACCTGAAAATAATAATCATACATAACTATGTATTTTCCATATTTTTGTACGCTACGCATTGGTTCGGTTCGACCATGAAGATGAATTTAATCAATTTATTGTCAAATTGTCAACAGTTGGACCAGTGGCCGCGGATGCCGTGGGGACATCCGGGAATATTAACGCTTTAGGATAGAGGGGTTTATATAACATGGCCAATGATGGGGACATCGAACAACCGTGGGGACATTGTCCCCCTGTCCCCACCCTTCCGCGGTCACTGTATGTACATAATCTCCCCTTAATTTTGAGCATTTTTCTTGGTATTTAATACCGCAAAATTTGGAAAAACTTTAACATGTTTTCTTTTGAGAAATTAAGAAATTTTGTAAACCACGCCGCATACATAATATTGCTGGGGACATTGTCCCCACCCTTCCGCGGCCACTGTGAATTAGACCAATTAAGATTCGTTCTCATACTTACTTCGTGTCCGTGTTGTGTAAAAGTCTCATACAATTTATTCCTGTTGTCTCTCCACTGATTTACTAAATCATTAAACTGTGTGTACAATCGGTTATCTCGCACTGTTCCGATCCGTTGAATGAATCTGTTGACTTGTTGTGGCGTCTGGTCATATATTTTGGCAAAGGCCTTTTGCCCCTCGGAAACTAAGGCGAACGTGGAATTCTCTGCGGCCGTTTGGACATCGTTGACTGTTCTGTCCACAGTTCCGATCGCGCGGAGGAGACCGTGTTGCCCGGTTTGAATGATGCCACGAACCGAGGAAGTTAGCGAGTTGACTAGATTATTCATGCTGCTTTGGAATGGTGACGGGTTCGGATTTATGGGAACTAGATATGTAAATAAGTAAACGGATATGGTTGGATTCACAAGACAAGGATAGGTTATACATTTTTAATTCACTTATGTAAATTCGTCTAGTCAGGGTTTCGCTATGGGTTTTAACCACTACTCTGTACTGTCCAAAACAGGCGTCCAAATCCAAATATTTAGTTTTGGACCGAATGTCCAAATTAGAAAATGGGACAAAATCTTGCAAATTTGTCATTATTGAATCTTTCGCTAATCCGTTGACGTATGTACGTATCCGTAATCTTGCATTAATTTTGAGCATTTTGGTCTGTAATACAGCGTGGTTTAGAAAATTTCTTTATTTCTCTTAAGAAAACACGTTAAAACAAATTTGTTTTCCAAATTTGGTTCTACACAGACACCAAAATGCTCAAAATGAATGGGAGATCTGTGCATAAATTTGCAAAAAGGTCGTTATTAATAAAGAATTGGTAATATTTTGCCCATTTTCCAATGTTGGACGCTATTGGGCATTTTGTACGTCCAAAATTATTTTGAATTTGCATGTCTCAGATTATTTTGGACAGTTTTGGACGTAGAAAATTATTTTGGACAGTTTTGGACGTCTAAAATTATTTTGGACAGTTTTGGACGTCCAAAATTATTTTGGACGCTGTTTGGACCCACTCCAAAACGAAACACTGGTTCCAGTAAATCTACTTATTACCTTCGAGATGCCCATTTCTCCCCATCGGGTAATCTGGACGCTGGACTTGCCTCTGACCTTTCACGCTCTCCCCTCCGACACCATTTTCATTAACTACGTCAAGTCCATAATTACCCGGAATTATTAATGGCAAGGGAACACACTGCACGGAAGCTATGCTCCCCAGGAAAATTTGTGTACTTATTAAAACAAACAGGAACATGGCTAAAGTGGAAATGTGAGACACGCTTAATTGGCAATTTCAGAGGAAATAATTGAATTTATTATTAATTACGAGTAAAATACGTCTTTCAGCTCAAACTTTTAACTATGAATGCATTATTACGAAAAAATCTACTGGTGAGCTCGTTAAGAAATAAAATTCAGATTTTTGCAATGTATTCTGCAAACGATCACGGTACTGTCTGTTAATCAACTGACATAAACCTTACCTCAAGCTGTCAACATTCAAGCTCTCTACCTGCCTGCCATCAAGTTCAAGGAAAGTAAATATTATCTCGTGGATTGTGTGTGTTTTATGGATTGCAAAAGAAGTCTCACTTTTCATACATTCGCGTTAACGTTAAGTTACGATGTGTAATATAAAATGCAATGTATGAATGCGTACGTTTACGTGTGGGCCTTAGGAGGAGAGTACGCCAACCTGATAATGACAGATCTTGATGTCCTTTGGATATATGGTAGTACCCCCTCTGAAAGTAAAAAGTGTGAAGCGGTTTGATGCCATGGCCCAATTTACGCCCGTCACACCCCTTTGAAGGCGCGCCCGATGCCAAACTAGCTGCACTAAAAAATTCGCCAAAAATCCAATTTTGTTCGGATTTTCATAATAATTATATATTTATGATCCCAGATAGTCCCTTTATCATATTCAGTTGCAAAATTAACTTTTCAGAAATTTTCAATATTTTCGAATATTTCCTGAAAAGGGCATGGCTTGAAAAAATTCAAAATTCCAAAAAAATTCAGATTGATATCTGATATGATAAAGCAACTATGTGGGATCATAAATATGTAACTATTATGAAAATCCGAACAAAATTGGATTTTTGGCGAATTTTTTAGTGCAGCTAGTTTGGCATCGGGCGCGCCTTCAAAGGGGTGTGACGGGCGTAAATTGGGCCATGGCATCAAACCGCTTCACACTTTTTACTTTTAGAGGGGGTACTACCATATATCCAAAGGACATCAAGATCTGTCATTATCAGGTTGGCGTACTCTCCTCCTTAGTCCAGATTGTGTATAGCATCAACTTGAATGACACCATTGTTGCACGAGTGTCTTTTCTTGGCCCAATTTTATTTTATTTTGTAATGAAAAACATGGATTTATAATTAAGACATTAATTAAGAAGACTAACATAAAAACATACAGTGCAACCTTACCTAGCCCGAGTCAGGGTATCATCAATACAGAATCTGTAATTGAGGTGGGTTTATACGACCACTACAATTTTTTTTACTTTTCGAAAATTTTTGAACTTGATTCCTAATTTTGCACTTGCCCAAAATTTCAATTCGATTGGATAAGTTTTCGAGTGTAATTGATAGACAGACAGACAGACAGACAACCATGACGGGAACATAAGCCTTGACTCGGACTAAAAACTCATATTTTTTTAAAAGAAATATGCAGGTTGCTTATAAAAAATATCAATTTGTAGTTTTTTTTTCACTCATTTTTCACAAGTTTAATAATAAACTTTATGAAAATGCGCATACAAATACTTCTGCAAAACATTGAAGCTCCTGATGCCAAAGTTTTTCATTTCGTACAATTGTTACCACATGCAATATACATACCTACACAGCTTACCCAAGGTAAACTTGTCTCAATCCTTGTCTTACGTATGAAGAACCAGAGGTGCCAAAAACAGTAAAGAAACGCTTATGAATAAAATATATTTTCCTAAAAATATGCATGCAATGCTCAACCATCCATGACCGTGGCGTAGCATGTATAAGTGTATATATTTCTCGCCATTATGCATGATTATTTATGAATATTTATTAGTTTTAGTGCACATACGTAAATAATAATACAGATACGCGGATAATCTGTATTATCCGCTGAATTAAATTTTGGAAATTCAATTAGTTCACGCATATGCTACACATACTTAAGTCAGTGGCCGCGGAAGGGTGTGGACAGAGGGACAATATCCCCCACGATTACTTATTCGATGTCCGCATCATCTCCCCATCTTATACAACCCTTCCCTCCCATATCCTATAAAGTTATGTCCTCACCCTTCCGCGGCCACTGGCTCAAATAGGTATCTCATTATAAATACAAACCACAAATGTTTGTTCGTATTGCACAGTGCAAAATTCGTCAATTTGTTCTTTTATCGTAATGGTTCCTGTTGCCTGACTGACAGTAACTAACTACCTGCGCATTTTCCGTTGACGGTTTCTCGCTCGAGGAGGAAAATTTGTCGAAAGGAGCGATTTCTATTCAAATGTAAAGAAATTAAATTAACTGGATGATTTATTGCGTTTTATGGAGTGGACAAAGGAAATAATAATATGAGCATCACTATTTTTTTTAGTGAAATTGGTATCAATGACATGTACCTACATAGGTTTTCATGTTCAATAATTTTTGTCAAATATTATCGAAAACAATGCTAAATAACTTTCTAAAATATAAAAACGTTGGGAAGAATATCACTTTTATTGCGTAATTAAGCCAAGAATTGATGTGTAGCTAGTTTCATTTTAGTAAATATTAAGGGACTTTCTTGTTGTAAAATGAAAAAAATATTAAATTAGTATGAATATTAACCAGAAATATGCACTGTTAAAAATGTGACAGAGTCAGATATATACTACTCCGTATTTGTGTTGACTTGGTAATAATTTCTTACCGGATTGGTAGTAGTTCGTTTCTTAGGGGTAAATTTTTCATTACTAAACGGTATTGCCGTCATTAGGCGGTACAGTTATGTAATACTCCGGTCAGGATTTATTTAATACCAATGTTCTAACCCGAGCTGCCAAACGCCAAAATGCACTCTTAAGAGTACATTTTGCCAATTGCCATATCGTCGGACTAATTCTAAAACCACGTAATAGCAATCAATGTTTAATTCTAAAAAACGTAAGTGCACAACAAAAAACAAGAAAAATAACCTAACTGTAAGTCCAAAATAGTATGCAATTAATTTTCATATTTATTTAAGTTCATAGGAATAGGATGATCTTGTATAACTAACTAACTGCATATTATTTTGGAATTGCAGTTAGGTTATTTTCCTTGTTTTTTGTTGTGCACTTACGTTTTTTAGAATTAAACATTGACTGATATTACGTGGTTTTAGAATTACGAAGCGAGTGCACTTACGTAGTTTTAGAATTAGTCCGACGATATGTATTTCATTTTTTATAATTTCTTCCACTGCATCAGAGAACATTTTTGTATTGATTTTGTCAATATTACTTGCAAGCTATTGTTTTATACATATTTCTTCATGCATTTTGGAAAATATTTAAAATTCTATATTAATTTTTAAATTGAAATAATGGAGTTTTGATTTACAAATGTAATTCTCAAATTAAAAATCTAGATACTAGTCTTACCGACCACCAGATTGGACCATTTTTATGAAACAATTAGTTTTTTACGGGTATTTTTAAGATGTCTCACCCTTTTCGAAGAATTTTAGAAACCGGTTTTCCAAAATATATGCGCATAATTATTCTATGAACATGCCAGGATTTGCGTCACTAAATAATTTACCCATGTGACAATACGATGCTTAGTCAAAATACTCTCTACAATTTGACGTATGTGTGTCCAGAATTTGATAAAAATGGTGTGCGAGCGAACCAGTTATTAAATAGTTTCAGCTAACAGCTACTTTATACGAAGACTTTGTCCCTCTGTCTGTCTGTCAGCAGGCGGATCGGAATAATCAAAATCAGTTTGACATATGACTCCAGGGGAGGATCTTATCAACTTTTATTGTCAATCGGACCACCCCCTCGGTGGGTGAAGTGAGAACTAAGCTACTTCTTTATGTGCGTTTTCTTTAAGGGTGAAGCGAAGCGAAATCCCTTTATGGAAATGTGTTGTCCGTCTGTCTGTATCCACGGAACGGATTCGAATTTCGACATTCGGTTTTTGCAAACGTGTTTCTAATTTTTGAAGTACGGCGTTGTAGAGGATAAGTAAATAAACGGTCACAGATGCCGAATTTTTTGTCTTGATCGTTTTAGACGTAGTTTTGGGCGGGGATTTCAAAAATCGACATAGTTTTGACATGCATGACCGCGCAGACGACGCCAATGTCGATTTTTTTGTATTGATCGTTTTAGACGCATATAGTTTTTTAACGTGTCATGACTGCGTGACCGTGTCGCTTCACCCCTTTGCTACATTTCTTTTGCAACGGTTTATTATATGAGTAACAAAGTAAGGACGAAAAACCAATTGTAACTTTATTTTAGGTACATATGCCGTGTTCCATAAAATATAAACCAACAAGAACTTTTGGCTGGGCAAGTTTTTCATTTTACTTAATTATCAAAACAAGACGACCTACCTTGAATGGAACTTGAGCAGAATATGTACATACATACATATTTATACCTTATACTTAATTGTTTATTCTCGTACAGTGCACAGCACATGACAAAAAGATAATTTGCATACATTTCACCTGCTCGCCAACTTGCGTTGATGGAAAGCAAAGAAAAAAAAATTGGCGATTTATAAAGGAGCCAAGGACAAGTGTTGTCCAGTCAAAATTTGAAAGGTTTCGAGTCAGGTTAATAAGAAATATAAACAGCAAAATGATTAAGTCTGCCGTGCTTATCTTTTGCATTTTATCAGTCGCCCACGCTGCGGAATGGTGCCTAAAACCAGACCCGATAAGCGCATCTGTGGCCGAGACGCCTGCAGAAAAATTGTATGTGCACATTTACATATGTAAATTAAATCATTCATAGTTTAGTTAATTACATGGAAAAATTTTGCTTTATTTGTCAATATTTCGAATGTTATGTGTAGAAAAAAATGAGAAATCTGTTACAAGATTTTATGAAATTATTATTTCTAATTTCTGAAAATTCTTTAGAGCTCCGGATACTCCAAAATGTTCTCTAGAGTCCCCAGAATTGGTTATGGGACGACTTGTTAATGGGACTGCGGACAGGGATGCAGACTTGTTGCCGTCTTGGGTCGATCTCAAGTTGGCTGCCCGGGGGCAAAAGTGGGCTTTAGATAATATCCCACTGATTTCGGGAAGTCATATTTTTGGGCTCATGTTCGTCCTCGCATTTCCAGACAATAATGCCGTCCTGCTCTTTACGAACCAGTCGGATACGGCGAATCTTGCTATGAAGGTTGGTAAATATTTGTATTTTTATTACTTCCTAAGTTGATATCCTGACAATGGAGGTCTCCCAGCGGATGCTCTTCGATTTTGACGAAATTAGTGTCAATCGATCGCAAATTTAATTAGTATGACATTTGCGAAAGACACGAGCTCCCAATGGGCACGTTTGGCAGAGATATTTGCATCCCAAGAGGAGAAAGCGCGCAGTAAATTTGGAAACTGTAATATTTGTCAACTTTAAGGGTCGTTTTCTCCTCTTCGGATGCAAATATCTCGGCCCATTGGGAGATCGCGTCTCTTGCAAATTTCAGACTAATTTGTCATTGATTGACACTAATGTGTTTAAAATCCGTGAGCATACGCTGAGAGACCTCCCTTGTTAGATAATGAATAATATTTAACATCAGCAACCACTTTTCCTTAATGTAGCGATATGCATCCACAATTGAGCAAGTGAACACGTGGTACAACGGGTCCCTAAAAGAGTCGACGGACGACAATGACATTTTGTCCAGCTTGCTGCGAGTCCGAGGTCTTCACACGGCCGCCATGAAGGCCGGAAATGAGCGAATGCATGGCGAAAATCCGAGACCATTGATCAACAAGGAACTTTATGAACGTGTCCAGCTAGATGAAGGAATGTGGAAGGCGTTCGAGACAGACTTGAAAAATTCTGATGTTACCGAAAAATTTCGAAAAGTTCCGGAAAAATATACCGGAAGAGATGGAAAGTATTATGCTGTCAGTCAATTTCAACAAGCAATGACACAATTCGCCTTTGTCGGCTTTCCTGTCCTCTTCCCGGAAAGATTGTTCTTGTTAGATGCGAAGGATGAGGATTTGGTGGTATGCAGAAATTTACACTTAAATTAACATATGTCTCGACACCAAAATTGTCAAAATCCACACATTTTTAATCATTTCTTGGTTACGGGAATTTATTTTTAAATTCCGGACAACAAATTTAAGTTGATTAATACAGGTGCGTTTTTGAAGCTAGTTTCGACGAGCTCAAATTTTTCTGAAGGCCTCTTAAACGTGAGATCTCCTCCATCAAAAAGTGTTAAAATCTGGAGTGTGCATTTTTTTAAATTTACAGCGACCTGCTCTACAAAGGCTTCCAGAATTTTAAAATAAATTCCCAGAGCTGAAAAATGGTTAAAAAACATGCTGATTTTGACGATTTTGATTATGAGTTATCCAGTCCTACGTTGACGAAACGCTATAGTGTCAAAAAAATATGCAAATTATTTCCATAGGCTTACAACCACTTGTGGGCCGTGTTGGGGCACGCTCTGGGCATCGAGGACGAGTACAACATCGCACTCCAGCCCGATTTAAAGACGACGAAGGAGTATTACCAACATATTTATGAAAATTGGTACCTTCCCCAATTCTTTAATCTGGACTTCCACACGAAAGTTTTAATGGAGGCGCAACTACAGGTACATAAATATAGCAAAATTTGTGCAACTGATGTGCATTTATAAACATTTAATTTGCAGGGTTTCGAAAAAATTGACGACATTCTGACCCCGAGAACCCTGCTGTTACGTATCCTACGCGATATCGTCAAAATTCCCGTGCCCAATATGACGCGAGAACTCACACCGAAAGATCACCACAAAATGTTGCAATTCCACGCTAAAGGCAATTTATTTTATAAATAATTTTGACTTGATTAAATTCAAAACTAAATGCGCATCTTTTTATTTTAGGTCTTCAAGGATTTGTAAAGAAGATTAAGGGTGACTTTAGGGAGAATTTGAAATCCAAAATTCAAGGCTTCTTAAGCCGATTACCTTGAAATAGAAGCATTTTTTTAGAGAATTTCTCTAAAATGTGGAGCTTTTTATCCTTCAGTTTGATGTTAATATGTATTTGACTTTAAACAAATATTTCTGATCTGAATAAAATAATTGATTATACTTTAATCATCTCCGTCAACTTCGAAAAAATTTTCAAAGTTGTCGCATAATTTCGAAATTTGTGTCTAGCTAGTAATTGGAAAAGTTTTCAAAATAATTAATAGAACTCTATTAAAAAATGTGCACTATTAAAAAATTTGGTAACAATTTCCTTAGTAGTTTGTTTCTCAGGATCAGGTAATTTTTTTTATTGCCCCAACATTACTAAACGGTAATGCCCATTATTACCAGTGCCGGCATAAATAGTCATACATGTACTCCAGTCAGTATTTAATACCAGTTTTTAAAAGTGTGGATTTATTCATTTTATTTTTTAGCAACGACATCAAAGGGCATTTTTAAAACTTGATTTTGTTAAATTAATACGTTGTGACATGAGTAATCTTGTTACTTCTTCAGGCATGTTAGAAAATATTTACAATTCTAGGGATGTATATTAAAATTAAAATCTTGAATTTTACGTAAAAACATGGACACTACTGAAATTTAAAAAAATCAACTAGTCTTGCGAACCAGAACTTTTTATAAAACAATTAGTTTTTTACCGGTATTTTTAAGATGACTCACCCTCTTCGAAGAATTGTAAAAACCGGTTTTCCAAAAAATATATATGTATGTATGCATAATTATTCTATCAACATTTCATGCAAGGATTTGCGTCACTAAATAATCCAACCAGACCGTATGACAAAACAATGAAATGCTGTTGTCTATAATTTGATAAGTGTGATGCTATCTGTCTGTTGTGTGTGTGTCTAGAATTTGATAAAAATGGTGTGTGTCCGAACCAGTTATTATGTGAGGAATAATGTCATGATGAAAAACGGTGCAGATTCCATTTCTTTCATGTCATGCAGTCCTCGTACTTATTGTATTTTAGGTACAAATGCCGTGCTCAAAAACATACAGCATAAACCAAGGGCCTGGGCAAAATACTGTATTTTTCAGCCCCGTTCTTCCCAGGGTTTGGATCTCCGGGGGATGTTACACCCACAAAAAGATGAAAATCTGCGTAAAGAAGGCAACAGTAATACGAAAATGCAGGTTTTCTCAAGAAATTAACTTTTTATTTCTGTCAAAATTCAAAATACTATATTTTTTAATCGTGAGAGTACTGTATTCTGACACCGCTAAAAAGTTAATTTCTTCACAAAACCTGCATTTTCATACGACTTTTGTCTTCTCCACGTGGATTCTCGCCTTTTTGTGGGTGTTCCACCCCTGGAAATACAAACCCTGGAGTTACAAACGGGGCTGAAAATACTCCATTTTGACAACGTATTTTGCCCATCTCTGAAAACCAACAACAACTTTTTGGCTGGGCAAGTTTTTCATTTTACTTACATACTTTAGGCACATGTGTATGAGCAATCTGGTAAGGATGTGCTATTCCATGATACTTAGGTAATTATCATAACAAGACGACCTACCTTGGATGGAACTTGAGGAGAATATGTATTTATACATGTTTATTCTCGTACAGTGCACACCATAAAAAAAAGATAATTTGCATACATTTTACCTGATGAACTTGGTGAAGCTATGTACATAACTTTCGCTGAAGGAAAGAAGAAAAAAATGACCAGTATATAAACCAGCCAAGGACAAGCTTTGTCCAGTCAAATTTTGAGAGGTTGCGAGACACATTAAGAAAAAAAATCTAGCAAAATGATTAAGTGTGCCCTACTTATCTTTTGCACGTTATCGGTCGCTCACGGAGCAGAATGGTGCCTAAAACCAGAGCCGATAAGCGCATCTGTGGCTGAGACACCTGCAGAAAAATCGTAAATTATATAAAATTAATGATTAAATTAGACTATTCAGTGGCCGCGGAAGCGGGGACATTACCATTGTAGGATAGGGAAGGGAGGGGTTTGCACAACATGGGGAGATGGTGAGGACATCGAATAACCCTGGGGACATGTCCCATTGTCCACACCCTTCCGCGGCCATTGAACCAATTCAATTTTTTTGGGCAAATTATTTACAATGAAAATGAATTTTTTTAGAACGTCAGAAACTCCTAAGGACACGCCAAAATGTTCGCTGGAATCACCCGAATTGGTTACGGGACTACTTGTAAATGGGACTCAGGACAGAAACGCGGACTTGTTGCCGTCCTGGGTCAATCTCACCTTGGCTACGCAGGGTCAGAAGTGGGCTTCAGAGAATATCCCACTGATTTCGGGAAGTCACATTTTTGGACTTATGTTCGTCCTCGCATTTCCCGACCTCAATGCCGTCCTGCTCTTTACGAACCAGTCAGATACGGGAAATCTTGCGATGAAGGTTAGTAAAAATATTTGCATTCTCATATTTCCCAATAATTTTTCGGTTTTGAGGTCCAAATCAAGTTTTGGACTGGATACCGTCCAAGAGCATCCAAAACTGTTCAAAATAATTTTTGGACGTCCAAAACATCCAAAAGCGTCCAACATTGGAAAATGGGGCAAAATGTTAAGAGTTCTTTATATTTGCGACTTTTTTTTTACAAATTGATGCCCAGATACATATGTAATTTTCCAATAATTTTGAGCATATTGGTTGGTGTGCAATACCAACCAATTTTGGTAAACTTTTGTTTAACGTGTTTACTGGTTAGAAATTATTACAGCAAAATTCTCAAAATTAATGTGAGGTTAAAAATATCTACGTCAGCGAATTAACCAAAGATTCAAGAATGAAGAACTTGTAACATTTTGTATTTTTGAACACTTTTGGACATTTTGGACGTATAAAATTCAGTGTCCAAACCTGCTTAAAACCGGTTTTGGATGATGGTTAAAACCACAGCGACCCCAATTTGACCTCCTCAGCCAATTAATAGTATTTAACAGGAGCTCTTACTTATCCTTAATGTAGCGATATGCGTCCACCATTCAGCAAGTGAACACGTGGTACAACGGGTCCTTAAAAGAGTCGACGGACGACAACGATATCTTGTCCAGCTTGTTGAGAGTCCGAGGTCTTCACACGGCCGCCATGAAGGCCGGAAACGAACGAATGCATGGCGAAAATCCGAGACCATTGATCAACAAGGAACTTTATGAACGTGTCCAGATAGATGAAGGAATGTGGAAGGCGTTCGAGACAGACTTGAAAAATTCTGATGTTCCCGAAAAATCGAGAAAAGTTCCGGAAAAATATTTTGGAAGGGATGGCAAGTTTTTTGCGGTCAATCAATTTCAACAAGCAATGACGCAATTCGCTTTTATCGGTTTTCCTGTCCTCTTCCCGGAAAGAATATTCTTGATCGATGCGAAAGATGAGGATTTGGTGGTAATTACCAATTTACACTTAATTAAGGGGTCATTGCATGCGGGTTTTGAATTTAAATTTTTATGTCTCAACTTTCCCTTATTCCGTGTATTTAAATGGCGAATTTGAAATCTGTTTGTCTCCGTACGTTTTTTAAAAGTAAAGATTTTATTGCACCTAACAATAGATAATTTCTAGGTTTGAAAAGTTAGGAGGTTAGAATCTTGATTTTTTCTTCTAAGAGAAAATATTTAATTGCGTCTTCCTATTTTTTTATCAATTTTATTTTTATTTTCTTACGGAAGAAAAAATCGGAATTCTAACCTTCTAACTTTTCAAACCTAAAAATTATCTAATTTTAGGCGCAATAAAATCTTCATTTTTTAAAAACGCACGGAGATGTATAGGTTTCAAAATCTCCATTTCATAGAAGAAGGGAAAGTTGAGACACAAAAATTTACCTTCAAACCTCGCATGCAATGGAACGTTAACGAAACGGTACATATGTATTGATGTTTAAAAAAATATGTAAATTCTTTTTTAAGGCTTTTAATCACCTGTGGGCCGTGTTGGGGCACGCTCTGGGCATCGAGGACGAGTACAACATCGCACTCCAGCCCGATTTAAAGACCACGAAGGAGTATTACCAACATATTTACGAAAATTGGTACCTTCCCCAAATCTTTAATCTGGACTTCCACACCAAAGTTTTAATGGAGGCGCAACTACAGGTACATAAATATAGCAAAATTTTACGTAATTGATTAAAATTCTGTGATTCATTAAAATCCAAAACTTTTATAAAATTTCACTGACTTTTCCTGTTTCTTGAGCTGGGTCAAAATTTCTAGACTCGATCTTGAAATCATGTTTTAGTGTAGTAATGTGAACATTTTTATTTATTGTCGAGTCAAAATTTCCGAACACAATATGAAAAATGTTGAGAGGACGCTCAATCAAACATTATTTCAAGAAATTTTGACCCAATTTAGGAAATATTATATGCATTTAAAATCATTAATTTAATTTAAAGGGTTTCGAAAAAATTGACGACATTCTGACCCCGAGAACCCTGCTGTTGCGACTCCTACGAGACATCGTCAAAATTCCGGTGCCCAATATGACGCGAGAACTCACACCTAAAGATCACGCCAAAATGTTGCAGTTCCACGCGAAGGGTAATTTTCGCAATTATACTAAATTTTCATGTTTTAATTAAAAACAAACTAAATTCGCATCTTTTTTATTTTAGGCCTACACGGATTTGTTTCTAAGATTGCGGGTGACTTTAGGGAGAATTTGAAATCTAAAATTCAAGGCTTCTTGAGCCGATTGCCTTAAGATATTAAATATAACATTTTTTAGAAAATTTCTCTAAAATGTGGAGCCATTTATAAATCTGATTTCTAAATTTCTAGAAATCTTACCCTTCATATTTTCAGTATACTCACAATTGAAAGTTTGATGTTAATGTGTATTTTACTTTAGTTGCAACTTTAAACAAATATTTTCTGATCTGAATAAAATAATTGAGTATGCTTTAATCATCTCCGTCCGATAAACTTGCAAAAATTTTGCAAAATGGGCGTATAATTCTGAAGTTTGTGTCTAGCTAATTTTTTAAAGGAAAGTTTTTAAAGTAAATCATTTTTGAGTGATGTTTTTTTATGCGCATAATATTTTTTATACACTTCTTCAGCTTTTTAATTGCACACCTTTATAAATATTTATTATTTTATTGTCTTTATTGCAACATGTAACAACAATAAGTGTCATTGAGCATAAATAAGTAGTTCAATACATAGATAAAATCTGAAAAACATAACATCAACTATGTAATTTTTTTCATAAATAAAAAACAAAATATTCTGATTCTGATTGTCCAGGCCAGCAATTTGACTTTCCAAATGTTACTGAAAATCCAGCCTAAGTTTTTACAGATAAAATAACTTAAAGCTGAGCTTGGGACCCTCTCCAAGACATTTGTCCCATTGAATAACCAGTCGATCCGTAAAATTCCGAGGCGGCCCCGGGTCCAGGGGACACTCCCTTAAAAATCATAATAAATTCCGTTATTTCTGACCTTATGAATAATTCTAAAGTACTAATTATAGAGATTAATTATGAATTAATTTGCATACAGTCATACCTTTACCTGGTAGTTGAGAAAGTGATGTAGCTCTTCTTGTGTATCAAAAATCATAACGGAAAATGGCGAGCCAGGAACATCTAAAATTTCAAAAAAATGAAAAATTAAGATGTTCGAATTGTTAGAATATTTTAGGAAATTATAGATTTTATACATACCTTCTCCTGCCCATCTAACCTCTACTCGATAATCTCCAGGTTCCGTGGGGTCAAACTTGCACAAAATAGTTCGGTCCTTCTGGCTTTCTCTTTGCATTTCAACTCTAAAGGCTCCTGCTCAAAGCAAATAATTCAGAAAGAAAGTTAGTTATGTTCCGATTGCGAAGGATCCTAATAAAAATTGTGTATTAATTAACCTTTCGGACCACGAACTCGGACCTTAATTAAAAAAATATTTGTAAAAATCATGAAATTTAAGCATTTTAAATCATAATACAAAAAACTAACTGTAAGTTGTCCGGCCCCTGCTCCTCTCGTGTCGCAGATAAATCTGGATTGAAACGTGGCTAAAACTCCGTGCTCAATTCCGGGCCCGTAAACTTTCACTTTGGACGCATCCGGAAGTCCGACAACCTTTAGGTTGAAGGGGCTCCCAGGAACGTGATCTAAATAGGGTGGAACTAATTAATATTCACAAAATTTACATAAATTAACCATCCCAAATTCTATTTGCATACCCCCCGAATATTTAATGGCCAGTTGATGTTTGCCATGTTCTTGGGGACGGATGTTAAGTGTAAAGGTGCCATCTCCGTGATCGTAAAGTTCGCAATATGCCGTTTTTCGGGGACCAGTACATTGGGCTGCGGGGGAGAAATCAGAAATTTGTTTTAGATTTCCAGAAACATATTTTCAGAAACATATTTTATCGATTTTTATTCACCTGTCAATTCTCCAGGACCGGCACGTCTCGTATCAATAAAGCTACGAATGTCCTTCCCAACTGTGCCAACTCGGAGTCCGTCACCCGTGCAAATTACTTTCGACGAATCACCAATAGCGCCGATCTGAACCGTCATGGGACATCCAGGCACGGGTTTTCCACCCCATAAAACATTAAGTTCATAATTTCCAGGAATTCTGGGAACATAAATTCCCTTATAAATTCCACCCCCTAATGGCTGCACGGTAACGGGGACATCTACATCAGAGCTACTCAAGGACACCTGTGCTGGTCCGAGGCCTGCTTGTGACGCTAAAATCATAATTATTTATCAAATTATAATTAATTTAATTATAATTAATTTAGTTAATCTAATTTATGAATATTTATCTTGCACTAACCATCAATCGTAAAATAAGCTTCTTCCCCACAACGAGCGGATACAACGCCGGCCCCGCTCAAGACGACGGGCCCATCGTATTCCCTGCAGGACAATAAATTTTGATAAGTTACAGAGCTCAAAATCTATTAGATTCAGTGGCCGCGGAAGCTGTGGGGGGGACATTAACATTGTGGGATAGGGGGAGGGAGGGGTTTATATAAGATGGGGAGATGATGGGGACATCGAATAACCGTGTGGACATTGTCCCTCTGCCCCCACAGACAGACTGTTGTTGGGGACAGAGGGACAAAGTCCCCAACAACGTTATGCGGCGTGGTTTAAAACATTTCTTAATTTCTCACAAGAACACATGTTAAAACTAAACCTTTTTCAAATTTTGTGGTATTACACACCAAGCAAAATGCTTAAAATTAATGAGAAATTATGTACATAGAGTGACCGCGGAAGCGTGGGGACAGAGGGACAAAGTCCCCACGGTTATTCGATGTCCCCATCATCTCCCTCTCCCCATCTTATATAAACCCCTCCCTCCCCTATCCTACAATGTTAATGTCCCCACGGCTTCCGCGGCCACTGATTAGATTGACCACCGACTATAAAATAGCATACCCGGCAGGGATAGATTGGACCGAAATTTTCTTTGGGGCACCATCCACATCAAAGGGTCCCCATTTCAAGGATAATTTATAATCTCCAGCTTTTCTTGGCGTTAAAATCATCTTGCTTCGACTCCCAGCGTTGGTTTCAACGCGACAAAAATCTTCTAAATTGACAGCAGGGTCCGATGTGAGTTCAACTTTTGCTTCCAAAGTTCCTGGGCCGGAGTCTGCCGTGTTAAAAGCTATTTTGCGCTCTTCGCCGACAATAAGTTGGATAACTTTCCCTGTAAAAAAACGAGATGTGATTGATTAAGTAAAGATTTGGCATACTTAACGATGACTCATTGCCAAAATCACACGTTTTTAATAATTTCTCGGCTCTGGAAATTTATTTTAAAATTCTGGAAAACCAATTTGTAGAGCAGGTTGTTGCTAATTAAAAAAAAATATACACTCCAGATTTTGCACTTTTTGAAGGAGGAGACCTCAAGTTTAAGAAGCCTTCAGGAACATTGGAACTCGTCGAAACTGGCTTAAAAAATTCCCCGTCATTCTATTAATCAATTTTCTGATTACAAATTTGTCATCGAATTTTAAAATAAATTCCCAGAACCGAGAAATTATTAAAAATTTATTGATTTTGGCGATGAGTCCTACGTTAATATATTCACAATTCTGTAAATTTGCATACCCATTTCATCCGCCGAGCAGTGAGCATCCCATCCCCCGATAATCCTTAATTTCGAGTTATCCACCACTCTTGGGTGGAATGGAGAGCCCGGAATATCAATTCCTGTCCAGGTTACGCGAACATCAAATACACCGACTTCCGAGGGGACGTAAGAAGCTTGGAAATGACCGGCTTCCTTATCTGAGGTTGATACTCGTTTGACATCGCACCGAGCAACGGAATCCGGTCCTTCCACGGTTACCGATGGAACGCCGGGGAGGCCTGGTCCAAAGATTTGAAACATGGCTGTTTTCCCAACGTGGGCAGAATGAAGTCCTGTCCCCTCCGATTTTGCAGCCCCAGCTTCTTCGGCTATGAATAAATTAAAATAAATTTCTGATTTGCAAATACGCTTACCTTTACAATCAGTCACTGACGACTTGCACATTGTACAATGTGATGGTCTGAAGTGCAACACTCCGGTTTTGTTGAAATTTTTGAAAACTGAAGCTCAAGTCAATACAACTAAAGTTTGTGCGATGGCCATACATAATTTATCAAAATTTTCGAGATCAACGTTGAAGAACTGGGCGATTCTTATGAAGGAAAGTGAAGTTTGCTTCGTCCACTGGATAAAAATCGCCAATTTCTCAATTTTGACGTCAAATATTTTGACAAATTCTGACCATCGAACAAATTGCGTCAAGAAACAGTGGTTATATTGACTTGAACTTCATAATTTCAAAATTTTGACAAAATCGGAGTGTAGCAGTTCACACCATCGCATTGTTAGTGACATCTTTATCTTTAGGATGTCCCAACGTCTGCAAAATGGATATCGACAAGATGTCTTTAAGATGTGTCGCATGGTAAATGTATAAGATTGGACACGTGTTGAAGACGTATAAGTGGCCAGCAAGGTCTGTGAAAGAATAAATTAAATTTCTTCTGGTGGATATATACCTTGAATGACGATTGGACACCCGGGAACCGGCTCGCCTCCATAATGCAGCATAACTTTATATTTTCCCGGTCGCCTCGGCACAAATTTCAAAACGTTCTCTCCATGTCGTTCATCCATGACGGGGAACAAAGGTTTTGGTAGACCTGTGCATGCATAAAGGGTGCTTGTTAGTTATTAATAGTTGGCAATGCAAATATTTATGCCAATTCACCTTCCGGTCCCGTGACGTCACTCTCCAAAAGCGCTTCACCCGCCTGACTGACATCAATTGGTAAAGTGATACATTGACCAACCGTCATTGAGGTAGGAATTGATCCCATCAGCACTTTTTGTGTAGAAAAAATAAAAAATGTTATCATTTTTGGCTCGTACTTTTTTTGGGAGGTTTTAAATACCTTTTTGTGGGTCGTAAACATGGCAAATGAATGGAGACCCTTTAACCATTTTGCTCCTGTGGTACACGGCTACTTCGTGATTTCCAGGGCTTCCAGGAGTAAATTCTGCCCGTAGATTTCCATCGCGTTGCTGATAGCATCTGACGGGAACGGCGACGCCCCCAATTCCACTCACGACAACGTCAAAGTCACGGCCAGAAGAACCTGTATCGTTATTAAATCAATTGTTAATGACGTTATATTATGGCTGGCAGTGGCCGCGGAAGGGTGTGGACAGAGGGACAATGTCCCCACGGTTATAAGATGTCCGCATCATCTCCCCATCTTATATCAACCCCTCCCTCCCCTATCCTTCAATGGCAATGTCCCCAGATGTCCCCACGGCTTCCGCGGTCACTGATGATTGCATATCTTTACGTCTAGTTTTAATTACCTTTCGTCATAATGGTGAATCCTGCTGAACGTGAAGCTCTCGCTAAATAAAGCCCAGATCCAGTCGCGACAGTGTCCTTTGCATGGATTTCGTCCGAAACTAAGATATCAAATGGACACCCTTTCGCATTATAGCCATGAACTAAAACATGAACTCGATGAAGTAGAGGCAGCACGGGTTTAAAATTAACGGCAAACATTCCATTGCCCAAGTCCCGTTTGGTGCATGGCACATTTCCCAAGCCTGCTTTTACTTGGATTTCGAGAAAGTCTCCAGCCTCAAGGTCCAGTCCGGATCGGGCCGTTTCAACTGGAAGACATCAAATCAAAAATCAGACACAGAAATTTAAATTATTAGTTAAATTCAGTGTTTCGTTGCTTGCAGATTTGCCACATTTCTTGCACTGCAAAGTAAGAAATGCAAGAAATTCGGGGTGCATGAAACTGGGAGAAAGTGCAAGAAATACCCGCCGTCTAGCCACGCGCGGGAGGAAGTATGGTGCGTAGTTTGTCGCGCCGTGCATTTCTTGCAGGTCAAAATACTCACCTGCAAGAAACCGCTTTCTTCCCGTTATTTCTTGCAAGTGGTTACTTTCACCCGAAACACTGGTTAAAAAATTATAATTAAATGTGTACCCGTGAAGGAATAATCAAGTCCCAAAACGGCAGTTTCTTTCTTATCTCGAATTCGGACGAGTAATGGATCTACATGATCAAAGAGTTCTTATAATCACTAATTTCCTTGCAAAATATTATCAAATTTTGTACTTACCAAAAACCCGAGCTCGCAACGGATTCGGCAGCATCAAGGCCTTCGACCCTTCCAAGACATTGATTTCATACGTGCCAACCCGATCCGGGGTAAATTCTGCCCTTACGTAGCCCGATGGAAGGACGCGTGTCTTGATTTTGAGCGTGCTCGCTCCATCCGGACCAATCACGGAAACTTTGGGGGTTCCTGACCCCCTCTTTTCCAGATCGACGTATGCCATCGTTCCCGCAATGACGGGGTCCAATCCGGTCGAAATTATGCCGTGTTGCAGTAAAGAGGAGTCACTGATACTTTCCAATTCCAGGCCAGAGCCCCCGTTCACGGTGGAGTATGATTCTTCTATGGCGCATTCAAACGGTGATCCAGGGACATCATTCTTGATTTCAAATGAAGGTTCAATTATAATTATGTTTTATAATAATGCAACAATTAAATGATTACGAAATTCAGAAATTAACCAACCTCGTTGAAAGTTATATTGACAAAATGAGTCGTTGCTTCTTGCGGGATAAATGTAACGTCGTACAAACCACGACTTCTGGCACTGACTAAAATCAGAAAAATATGTGATTTTCGGGTGATGGGAGAATTCCTCCCGCTCATCTCCTCCCCCTCATATGCTCCCGCCCAACCCCTCCCGCTCGTCTCCTCCCGTGTACATTTTCCTCCCCGCACTATCTCCTCCCCGCTGATCTCCTCCCGTAAACATTTTCCTCCCCGTTGCGTCTCCTCCTTCCGTATTCAACTTTGTTTGACTACCCAATATATTCAAGATAGGGGATCTAGGGCCGTTCAAAGTGTGTGACATGTTTCTGACGATTTTTTAAATAATTGAGGGTATTCATTACGAGTTTCCATATCATCATAATTTAAAACAAAAAAAATCAAAAACAAACTTAGGTGAGGCATTTCTTTTTACAACGTGCAATAATTTGATGTGTGCATCATTAAATGATAAATATATGCATGGAAACTTTAGCATGGACATAGTTTGAAAATGTCATAGGAAAAACTTTTTAATTGTCTGATTTTGAACATTTTGGTACCAAAATATGCAGAATTCAGAAGACATATTAAAATCAACTTTATGCATATGCTTGCATGGTGGGAGACGGTAAAATTTCGGTTTTAAACTTTCAAATCAAAATTTAAGACAGAAATATATATTTTTGTAGATGATATTCATAATTATTTGAAGATTTGTAAAAATCCCCAAAACCGTGCCACCTAATCTGAACGGACCCAAATCTCGGATCTTATAACATTGGGTAGTCAGACAAAATAGAATACCGAGGAAAAGCGACACAACGGGGAGGAAAATGTATACGGGAGGAGATCAGCGGGGAGGAGATATTGCGGGGAGGAAAATGTATACGGGAGGAGACGAGCGGGGAGGGGTTGGGCGGGAGCAAACGAGGGGGAGGAGATGAGCGGGAGGAATTATCCTCCTATCTGATTTTCGCAGTGTTATTATTGCTCAATAAAATATTTTTGAATATAATAAACCATCGCTTATTAAGAAAATATTGGTCAAATATGTACCTTCAGCTCGCAGAGATTGCTTTCCTGTTGTGACAACGAGTTCGAGCGTTCCTTCTCCCGCAGTGGAGGCATCCTGTTAATATTCAATATGTTGAAAAATAATTATGGTTTGATAAAATCGTCAAAATTAGCACATCTTTAAGCATTTCTTGGCTCTGGGAATTTATTTTAAAATTCTGGACCACAAATTCGTAGTCAGTAAGTTGATTAACGGTGAGGTTTTTTAATTGAGTTACAAAGAGTTCCAATCTTTTCTGAAGGTTTCTTAATTTTAAGATATCCTCCAAAAACTGTGAAAATCTGGAGTGTATATTTAAAAAGAAAATTAACAACACTCTGCTCTACTGGTTCGTCGTCCAAAATTTTAAAGTACACTCACAGAGCCGAGAAATGATTTAAAATGTGCTGATTTTGGTGATGAGTCAATTGTACAAGCGAAAGTATGTAATTGGCAGTAAATTATCTAACTTACCACCGTGAAGGTTATCGGTTGTCCAATTCCGCCCGCTTTTAACCCACTCACGTGCACTTTCGAAACATCGTACACATTGCAATTAAACGGACTTCCAGAAATTGGTTCTCCATCCAACGACACGGTGATTGAATGTGGTCCCACTTCCGTCGGCGTAAACCCGGCTTGTACCTTGTTTGGCAGGGCTCCCGTAATGTTGATGGGGAGATGGAGAAGTGAAGGGGTCAACACCATGACGTTGCAATTAGTGACGTCAGCCCCTTGTGGGTCCACCGTTAGAGATGCGGGCTGATTTACTGCTGCAGATTTTAGCGCAGGACCGGTCACAGTTGCTTTTTCGGTGTCGGTCACTCGACACGCGAATGGTGAGCCTGGAGAGAGAGAGAAGGTCAGCATTTGAAAATTGTGTATATAGAATGTTTATGCAGCGTTTCGCTTTTGCCGTTCAAAAACAGAGGTCAACGCAGACCAATTTTGCGAAATTTAGGTCTTTTTCAGCGCCGCGCGCCTCAATGTTGTAGAAATAGGAAATCAGGTTTATCTGCAGTGGCGCGTAAAATACGGCGTTGGCCTGTGGTCAAAAATCATTTTGGACTGGACAGTGGTCAAAATTGTCCAAAACTGATCGACATGGAGCAAATTTCTACACTATTGGGACAAAAACGTGTCCTACTTCTCTTTTTGGACACTTTTAGACACCTTTGGACACTGGCCACTTATTTATTTAGCTGGTGGTCAAAAACTACTTTTGACTGGCTTTTGACCGTCTAATGTGTTTTTTTTCTAAGGGAAACATGGTATTTATGAAATTCAATAAATTGTTGTCCCTTACTTGGAACAGATTCTCCATTGAATCTCACAGAAATGAAATGTGGTGCGGCTTCTTGCGGTCTAAAATTTACTTTGAACTTTGCATTTCCCTCGGCCTGTACATAATTGGGGACATTTCTTCCCCCAACGGAAACAATAATCTCAAGATTTCCGGCACCTCCTCCAGATGCTAAAAAGATGAGAAGGATTTATTATTATTAATATTTGCATAATAAAATATGGTAATTATTTACTAACCATCAATCGAGAAATAGACAGGTTTTCCCCTGATTCCCGGTGTAATATCGGTCACTCGGACTTTACTTGCATCGTAGGCTTTCACTAAAAATGGACTTCCGGGAACAACCACTCCCCCAATCGACACGTCAACCGTATGGTCGCCGACTTCCAATGGCACATATTCTCCCAAAAATTTATTATCGGATGGAGTCTGAATTGAAGAGTGGACCACGTTTTTGGCCGGTCCAGTAACCTTCACCTCGGGGAAGCCTGGTTTTCCTTCGGGCTCAATGGTGAAAGTTGCTAAAAAGTAAATACATAATTTTGTTTTTTGACAACGCTATGCACATTATAGATCAATCCATCCAGACTCGTTTTTATTTTACCTCTTTTCCCCACGGGAACTTTCTCCAATCCGTCCCCCTTCAAGACCACTTTGGAGGCGTCGATAACCTCGCAACGGAAAGGGCTTCCGGGAACGTCTTCATTGTTGAATCGGAGCTCAATCATGTGCGGTTTTGCGTCTGAGGGGGGCAAATTTAAAAAGAAAATGTTAGAATGAATGAATGTATGAGTAATATATGAATGAATGAATGAATAATATATGAATGAATGTATATTGGTTGTGTGATATACACAGTGTTTCATTTCTTGCGGGTTTGCTACATTTCTTGGACTAGAAAGCAAGCCATGCAAGAAATGCGAGGTGCAAGAAATTGGGAGAAAGTGCGAGAAATATGCGCCATATGTATAGCCACGCGCCGTATGAACTATAGTGACTGGACGTAGTTTTGTGCGCCTTGCATTTCTTGCAGGGTAAAATATTTCCCCGCAAGAAACCACTTTCTTGTGGTCATTTCTTGCAAGCCGGTACTCCCACCCGAAACATTGGTGATACAGAAAACACGTTTTTCCTACCTTTTGGTGTAAAAGAAATGGCGTAAGTATGGCTGCCTTGGGCTTGAATTAAAAAAAATCATTGAATTAAATTTAGCCCACATAAAATTAAACAAATTTACTTCTGTATCTACTACCTTGGGCGGAAGTTGGCACTTGACCCCCGTTAACGGTCACTTCTAAATTTCCGGGTCCAGCTTTAGACGTTTCGACCAGAAAAGTCACAGGCTTTCCGACAATCCCTTTCTCCGTGTCTTTCACCCGGATGGAACCCACGTCGTAAACTTTGCAAGCAAACGGTGACCCCGAGGCGGGGACGCCTTTTATGGAAACAGTGATCCTATGCTCGCCAGGCGTCTTGGGGTTAAATTCCACTCCGAAAAGGTTTTTCCCCCGTTCCAGTACCTGCGTGGGGACGATGAGGGCGCCCGGTCCTGCAAAAAAGTGTTGCAAAATGTCCACATATCGTCACTAATTGGTTCGTATTAGATATCATCGTAAAGCGTAAAAATCGTGGTCAGTCAGTGTGCGTAAAAGTACTTTTGGTGTAACTTTGAGGTACGAATTTTTATATATTTCGTAGTTGAAAGAAACAGTGGCCGCGGAAGTCGTGGGGACATCTGGGGACATTGCCATTGTAGGATAGGGGAGGGAGGGGTTTATAAAACATGGGAAGATGATGGGGACATTAGCCCTCTGTCCCCACGCTTCCGCGGCCACTTGAAAGAAAGTTTAAGAGAAAAGGTGTTGCTGATTTAGATTTGGTTTATTTTTTATTTAAAATTATTATACTTTCCATAAATTTGTATGTAAATTAAAATTAAACGGACATTAAAATATTTTTTAGATAGTTTGTGGATAAATTAGGTATATAAAAAAATCCTCATTTTGTAAGTAAACATACGTTCACCTTGAAATCATACATGCATGAAATTACTTATCAATCAAGACTTGATTAAATTAATCTGGTTAACTTGTTTGTGTAGAAATATGGAAATGTATGTGAAACCGTGAGAGGATTATTGGAATAATTACGTCAGTTCGATTAAGTTTTAAATATGGCAACCAGTTACGATTTACGCACAACCGACGTTAACACATACACCGAGTGAGATACATTAATTAATTAGAACATTAATACTCGGCGGATTGAGATTAATACAATTAAAACGTTAAGCAGTACGGCACAAAAAGCTCATAAGCATGCATTTTGAAATGCAAGTATTAAAGTAGGACGTTAGGAAACCTACGTTTTTAAAATTTCCTTTTTATAATTTGGTCAAAATTTCCGGAGTCGATGTTGAAATCACACGCTTGAGTACATTTATCATATTTTCTCCAGAAATTAAATACGGACGGAAAGTTACGGACATTTTAAAAATGTAGGTTTGCTAATTGCATATTAAAGTGGAAGAAACATTTGTAAGTACAGATAAAGAGAAAACGTGCGAAAAAATTGCACCTCGTAAGACAAACATAGTAAAGAGAAGGGCACGTGCATTAATTTAGACGCATATACATATCATACATATCTTATCAAATGAAATACGATTTTACGATAAGGACAGAAGAACACTGATGAAAATCATAACATTATAATATACACTTTTAAGAGAGAGAGAAAGAACATAATTGTGCAAAAAAATGTGCAAAAAATGTGAAATAAGGGGTTTGTGTGTGTGTATAAGTAAGTTTGCTAAAAAATATAAGTGTGTTAGTATCGTCTATCTCTGTACTGAAAAGTCGCAGAAGAAGAAGAATGACGCCCTGTGAAACACAAGAAAATAAAAGCAAGTGATTACAAACTCACTCATGCCAATAATAATCATGAATCAAATTCATTCGCACATTAAAAATAGAGTGATTGAAGGTGACAATAATTGCAAACTCGAAGCAGCCGTGGGTTGCGAAAAATGCAAAAAAATATATGTAAAGTGGGCAAACGTACCTTCAACAGAAACTTCGACATCGTCTAATGATCCGTGAACATTGTTAAGAGCAAAGTGTGCCGTTTTTCTGTAATTCATACATTTTTGCACGTGTAGACAAAATATATAATTTTTTTAAAGGCATTGCATACAGAAATTTCGAAACTACAGTTTGTTCAAAAAAATAGAGACAAAAAAATCTGAGAGGTTATCTGGCAGATTAACAGATTTTAACCTTTAACAACTTTTAAGGATGTTTTTCCCTATTTTTTATACGCTTTCCGTGGTCAATATTATTACCCGATTGGCGTCGCTGCTAAACTTGGCCCACTGACGACCACTTGACCAGGGTCGGCTGAAACGGTGGCCATGAATGGCGAACCTATAATAAATTATTAATTCCAAAATTTCGTTTAGACTCATTTAAAATGTCAGATTTCGTTTATGTATCTGCAAGAAAATCTCACCAGGTACAGGTTCCTGAAAATAAGAAATTAAAATGAGTAAAAATTATTACCTGCTATATTTTAACAGAAATATTTACCTTATTGAAAGTGACAGTAACGGTATGGTCCACAGGTTCAAGTGGGACAAAGGAAACGTTGAATCTGGCCCCACCTGAAATATATTTAGTAACGTAATAATTTTAACTGTCAGCTAACTGTCCCACTTTTTTCGAAATTAATTACCTTGAGGATGAACTTGCGTTGGGACGTTTCGACCTCTGGCACCTATCGTAATTTCTAGATTCCCTTCTCCAGCTATGCAAATAATAATGGATGCATTATAATCATCGTAAAATGAGATTTGTATCGTCAGATAATTAATTAACTAACCTTGACTAGCATCCACGGTAAATTGAATGCTCCTGCCCAACGCTCCTCGAGGGACGGGACTCACATAAACGCGTTTGGCATCGTAAGCTATACACCGAGAACACAAATTAGTCATTTTTAATTGTTTTTTAAATTAAATTATGTTCTTATCATTTTGATAAGCACGTAAAATTACCTTTTGATGTGAAGGGTGTTCCAGGTGCTGGGACTCCGTTGTGATGAACCGTTATGGAGTGCGGTCCGACTTCGATGGGAGTAAACTCGGCTGTAAAACCAGATCTCACTGACCCCGAGACTTTCACCTGTGGGGTTAATTCAGGATTTAGTCATTTAATTCGTAAGGCTGCAAAATAGTTGATAACTTCTTACCGGCAAGTCTCCGCTCGGACCTTTCACTGCGACCGCTAACTCTGCTGAACTGGAGCCATCGACGGCAATGTGGAATCTAGATATCTGGTGGACAGGGCTGAAAAATGGGAAGAAAAATTAGTTTCGCTACAATTTAGTGTGTAAACGTATGTAGGACTTGATGAATCATGGTCAAAATCGTGAAAATCAGCACATTTTTCGGTTCTGGGAATTTATTTTTAAAATTCTGAACGATAAATTTGTAGAGTAGGTCATTGCCAATTTTTTAAAAATATACACGCCAGATTTTGACACTTTTTGAAGGAGGAGATCTCAAGAAGCCTTCAGATAAATTGGAACTCGTCGAAACTGGCTTAAAAACCACGCTATTCTACTAATCAACTTACTGTCTTTCAGAATTTTAAAATAAATTCCCAGAGCTAAGAAATTCTTAAAAATGTTCTGATTTTGACCATTTTAGCAATAGAGTCGTACATTAATACACAAATTAAAATAGATAGCTCCACCCACCTCAATTCCAACCCAGACAGAGAAACAGCAACTTGTCTCGTATCCGCAACCTGACAAATTATCGGACATCCTGGAATCGTCTCCTGATTAAACTTGATATCGATGGCGTGTGGTTTGGCCTGTTCGGGTGTAAACGACACCAGACAACAGCCTCCTCCCAGGACGCGAACTTGATTAGGAAGCTCGCCATCATTTATGGAAATTTCTAGTTGACCTTCCCCCGCATCCTTGGCATCCACTGATGTAAAAAATGCAAATGAGATATTAATTACGACTTGTTTCGAAATGCAGTCAAACAACTCACCTTTGAACTGAACAGTTTGTCCCACAACGCCCGGTGATACGTCCAAGACTTTAATTTCGGATGAGTTGTAAACCTTCGCCACGGCGGATAATCTTCTCCCGGCAACGTTAATGTCGACGTAATGTGACCCTACGTCTGAGGGGATGAACTCAAGGACAAATTGGCCACTCCCTTCTTCCAGTAAACGATACGACAATGGCTTCCTGGATGGACCTGGGATACATCATTTTAAGTAAAATATGTACTCTGATGACACGTGTCGCATAGGGCACGTGGATACAGTGGCGGCGGACATGTGGGGACATTGGCATTGTGGGATTGAACTTATTAACATGAGGGAAGATAAGATTTTGCTGAATTTCGTGGGGACAATGTCCCCCTCTTTCCGCCGCCAATGCGCGGACATATTTAAGTCGCAAACTTACTCAGTACACTAACATCGACAGCTTCTCTACTAAATCCGGGCGCATTTATTTCAAAAACTGCATTTTTCCCGAATCGCACGTGCTTTAATTTATTTAAATAATTCATATAAGTAAAATGGCATATAATAAAATAGTGATTTTATGTAAGATTTTAAATACCTTCACAGAATCTCCCCGAATAAGCATCAAATCTCCGGATTCCGTATGACGAGCCTCCATTGTTCCCTCATCAATTAGTGCGTCCCCCTTTTTCTCATAAACATCAACCCTCCAGGGGCTTCCTAAAATAGAAATTTAACAGATCAAATTAATTTTTTATACCAAAATAAATGGTTTGTTTACACCACACACAAAAAATTGTTTATGCAAATTTACATATCTATCTAAATTTGCATAAAAAACTGCAAAACCTTATAAAAATACACACATATTTATTTATTTATTGCAAATGATGGCGTGTAGCCACTGTCGATCTTCATTATTACACGCATATCAATTTCTTTCCTTCCTTCTTAATGAAGCATTCATGCCTACAGCCGCCTCCCAAATTTGCGACCTATACAACAACGTAATGCTGCAATTTCTTGTTGATTTATTAACGTCTGACTGAGGAGGACACTGTATAAGTAAAAGTAACGGTGTTTACAGTATTTCGAGAATAATAATCGCATCACACACGGCATACGACGATACAAACTGCCATCCCATCAAACGTGCAACTTTTTGCATACAATTAAAGTATCACCTATTGTGAATCAGTTAGAGAAGAAACAGGATCCAAGCTTCAAGCAAGAAGGAGTATGTATGCAAGAAAGTCAGTGGCCGCGGAAGAGTGGGTGGGGACAGAGGGACAATGTCCTCACGGTTGTTCGATGTCCGCATTATCTGTCCATCTTATAAACCCGTCCCTCCCCCATCCTATAATTTTAATGTCCCCACAGCTTCCGCGGCCACTGATACAAGTCTGTCCTGTAATCTAGGAGTATGTATGCATTGACAGTGACCGCGGAAGTGTAGGGACAGAAGGAAAATGTCCCCACGGTTGTTCGATGTCGGCATCATCTCCCCATCTTATACAAACCCCTATTTTACAATGTTAATGCCCCCAAATGTCCCCACAGCTTCCGCGGCCACTGACTGATGCTGAGTCTGTCCTGTAATTGATGTCTTAGCCCAGGTGTAATTCCCATCTTTCTGTTCTGCATGTATAAGTTCATATTAGTATTTTTGGTGGTGTGGTAGACAAACGCTTTCACAAAGCAAAACCAACCAACGAACCAAGAAAATGATCAAGTGGACATTTAAATTCCTTTCTTTTCTTATACGTATTTCTTCTTTCTTACTCATAGTTTCAATATTCAGGTTTGTTCACTTCTTAAGCAAGAAGAGAATACGAGATGAATGGATAATAAGTAATTCTACGATATACGTACATAGGCCAATACGAAATATATTGGTCAACCAGTTTATCCTATGAAATGAAGTGAACATTGATGAAAACAGAACAGAAGGAAATATAGATACGCCTCGCAGCAACAACATGAATTTCCGTTTTAAAATAATTCATTCACAAATTCATTCACGATTCAATCTCAGAGATTTTAATGGCTGCAAAAAACAAAATAGTTTTTTTTTTACATGAATTTATACTTTTGGACGATGCAGGGGCTGCGGAAGCGTGGAGACAGAGGGTCCCAAGGTTATTCTATGTCCCATCATCTGCCCATCTTATATAAACCCTTCCATCCCCTCTATCCTACAATGTTGATGTCCCCACAGCTTCTGCGGTCACTGTTGACCGGTGGTTAAGTATGCAATGCCCCACGCCAAATATGAACAAGCAATAATAATGTTACCGCAATTTTAAATCGCAACTAAAATTCTAACCAAATTTCGGGAAAAGTGCCAAATGTCAACCAAAACCAGCCAGTAAATTTTTCAAAAAATCTCAACTTTTAACCCATTTAAACTCTGCACTATTTATTATTCATGCTCATTACTCGTGCTCGAACCTAAAATTTGGAAAGCCCAACGGAACAGTAGCACTCAAAACAATTGCCTAAATCAAGTATTTTATTTTTGTGTGTAATACAAATAATTTTATTGTGAAAATAACAGCGTGCAATTAGCAGACAAAGATCTCCTCAACCTTTCAGCGACCGAGACCACGAGCGAAAGAAAGAAATTAACAAATACCAAACCAATCGTCTCACTTTTTGCCTGACCAAACTTTTCCTTTTCAAGAGCAATTTGCCTTCTTAACGTACACACATTCGAAACAAAAGTCAGCAATTTAATTGGGCAAAGGCAATCTTTTTTTCGCATTACAGACAGATCGTGAATTGATGAAATGAAGGGGAATTAAGCACAAAGCAGGTTGAATCTCTGCCTTTCTTCGTCAAGTCAAACTCATCCCAACAAAATGACTAATTGACTACAATGAATTATTTCACAATGGAAAATCGAACACTTTTCAATTCAACACCTGTACTGCATGGGCGAAAAACGACCATTTTTCATCCCCTTGACTGTATAGCAGTGGCCGCGGAAGGTGTGGGGACATTGACATTGTAGGATAGGGGAGGGAGGGGTTTATATAAGATGGGGAGATGATGCGGACATCGAATAACCGTGGGGACATTGTCCCTCTGTCCACACCCTTCCGCGGTCACTGATGAGAAGAAATGAGTTATAAAAATTTGCAAGTGTTAATTCGATGCTAAAACGCTTTCCACTTTTATATGTAAATACACTCTTAGAAAAACTGGTATTAAATCATTACTAACCGGAGTACATAGATATTTATATGACTCTACCGGCACTGGTAATAATGAGCATTTCCGTTCAGTAATGTCGCGGTAATGAAAAATTTACCAGGCAGAAACAAATTACTACCAATTCGGTAGAAAGTTATTACCAAAATAATACCGGTACGAAGTATATATCTCAAACTACCAGATTTTTAACCGTGTATCGTTGCATTTTTACATGTTTACACATAATCAAATACATATTTTGGACGAGACTAAAAGTCTAATTGTCTATGAGAAAAACTAATTTTAGGCATTTTTACGTGAGAAATACTTGCAAAAAAAAAATCTTTACGTAATCCAGATTCATGGTTGATGGATGAATAAAAATCGTATAGTGCAATCAACCATGCGAATTCTTTTTTACGGGTGCTATTGACCTGTCAATTCAGTGGCCCAAAAACGCCAAAGTTAATTTTGATACGAACAATATAACAAGAAAATAGGATGACTAAGTATGTATGCATGCTAAAAATTCTAATGATGGCAATAATACTTTTTGTAATTATTTTACAAGCAATAAAGCAACACCAAGTAAAGGAGAAGCAGTCCAAACAGGTCTAAATTGTAAATTGCAGTTAGTGAAATAAAATAAGAAAGAAATGAAATGCCCGTGGGAAACTCATTTCGTGAACATTATTTCGTGCTTCGTGTCTTAAATCTTAATGATAAATTATCATTGATAATAAATAAATTTGAGGGGAAACTTTATGGAAAATAACGGCCAAATGTATGAGATTAAGTTATGAATATTAGGCAGTTAGAAAACAAACTTATGTACGTTTCTAAAATTTCTGTAACTTTTCATTTCTCAATTTGAGTTGGGTCAAAATTTCCGGATTTTATATGAAAAATATTCAGCGGACACAATACTAAATTAAAATCGGGGGAAATTTTATGGAATTACTGCAAAAATATGTATGAGATAAAGTCATGAATATTACGCCGTTAGCAAACTGATGCACTTTTTTTTAAATTTCTGTAACTTTGAGTTGGGTCAAAATTTCTGGATTTCGTATGCAAAAAATATTCAGCGGACAGTAAAAGACTTATTTCAAGAGCAGCTCCGGAAATTTTTGACCCACCTCAACAGATAGGAAACATTACGGAAATTTTAAAAGCTACAAAGTATTTTGTCTGTATGTATCAAAAATTTATAATTTGCTTACCAAAATTTTACAGAAATTCTTATATCAAATTCCTTAACGAACAAAACTCCACTTAATTTGCAATAGTAGCGCAAACTAATAAAGTATTAATATTGATTTATAGCATAAAACGTCACTAAAAACTCCCTACGTACGAATGAACAATGACATTTCTTTACATAGTCACTCACTCACTTTACATGTCACGTTCTCCTTGTCAAACTCAATCAAATGCACACCGATTAAACACAATTAAACTATTTGCATATGCATGTAGAATTTGTTAAAAACTAAAAACTTAATATAAAAAAATTATAGCCACATTATTTCAGATATTGCACAATAACTCGTTAACTGTTCACTACCACATTTATTCAAATAACTATGTACTAAATACTACCCTTTGTTACCTCTTTTTTCAGCTGATAGTCTGTCAATTCGCGTACAATAAAATTTTTTATCTATGTATTTAGAGCTAAACCTTTGCCCAATAAATACAAATAAATTCGGCCTGAATCCTTTCACACAATGAACGAATGATGAGATTCGAATCAACTATTTGCCATTCAATTAAAAGATTTTCGGCATTCCTGCCTCGCTCTTAGAGACTGCAGCCAAGGAATAACTGCATGTTTCAGGAATCACCACCATGAGTCGACTTTAAAAATTGTATCTCGTCTAACGTTGTAAATACCAGCACATCAGTCCATTGAGGTCAAGTTCTCACTACTACTCAATGTACCCTCACACCCACGAAAAAGCGACCAAACACACTTTTTAGCTAGAATCTCAGACCTAAAACAATACTTGAAAGTTTATAAAATGTAATGAAAAAGGGTTGAAAGTTGAGAAAGTTATTCAGCTGCTGGAGTTTAAGGTGCACCAAGATTCCGTTACATTTATTACCGTGCCGGATATGTATGGACATGGAATTCGGGTGAATTTTAATTTTGGGGGTTTCTTCGTTAGTCCAAAAATATCTTGGAAATAAGCCATTTCATTCGTGAGCATTAGTCTAGACGACAATTTGGTGATCATCTTGGGCGAAATATTTTCATTAAGACGGTACTCTCTGCGATGATGTGTGCATACAGGTAGTATTTTCACCTGAGATGAAACCACCCCTGAGGGGCAACAGTCTTTTTCTTATGATAAACTTTAAGCATGCACATACTTTGAGCTCAACAGGTAGAAAAAGGGTGATGCGCTGCTATGCGGTTAAGAAAGAGTTAGTTGCTTAGTTAGCTATCAGCTTATTAACCGGTGCTGCTATATAAAATACGATGCAAGGATGTGATACGGAGGTGGATTAGTAAATGCACTATGTATTCTTCCTTACTTATGTACATACATAGTTGAGCATTGCATTGTTGCTTAAACCGGCGTAGGAAGGAATTACTTACACTTTATACATAAAAACTAATACATTATTCATGACGGATACATACTTACAGGTTGGTCTAAGGAGGGGAGGTTGTGTACTATCAACTCCCGGATCTCGATGCCCCTTGGATATGCTGTAGTGTCCCATGAATGTACAAGAACCCTGAAGTGGTTTGATTCCATGGCCACATTTGCGCCCGCCACACCCACTCAAAGGTGCCCAAAAATCGCTTTCACTCCAGCTTTCACTCATTCAAAACCACCCCAAAAATCCAATTTTACTCCGATTTTCAAATTTCTTTCACCATTATACTCCCAGATAGTTGTTTTCTTATTTCCAACATCAAATTCAACTTTTTTGATCTTTATTTCGCAGGCATAATTTGTTTTGTTGATTACTACAACAATGCTCATTCAGAATTTTAAATTTTTAAAATAATAAAGATTTCAAAAAGTTGAGTTTGATGTTAGAAATAAGAAAGCAACTATCTGGGAGTATAATGGTGAAAGAAATTTGAAAATCGGAGTAAAATTGGATTTTTGGCGTGGTTTTAAATGAGTGAAAGCTGGAGTGAAAGCGATTTTTGGGCACCTTTGAGTGGGTGTGGCGGGCGCAAATGTGGCCATGGAATCAAACCACTTCAGGGTTCTTGTTCATTCATGGGACACTACAACATATCCAAGGGGCATCGAGATCCGGGAGTTGATAGTACACAACCTCCCCTCCTAAGAAGCTTAAATTCTCTCCTTTAATAAAGCTATGTAAGTATTCGAGTCAAAGGTGTACATAGAATTGGAAAGGAGAGTCACATATTTTTATGCGTGTACATATTTATTCCATTCCTTTTCGTGATCAAACATTAAACAATGTACGAACGTAGGGTTGACTTGTCAATATGTACAAGAGTTTAAGAAAAATTAGTATTTTTATGCAACCAGAAAGTTGTGAGCTTCCCTCAGCTACATATTAAAAGGAAAACTTATGTACAAATGCACTTATCTTGATAAACATTAGCTATCTATTTCCACAAAAGAACTGTGTATGTACGTACTTTTAGCACTTCCTACAATGTTGTGAAACTTCAGGATGCGTTTTGATTACAAGATATGATTCGGAAAAGCTACGCAGCAGAGAAAATTAATGAACATCAGTGAGGCATTAAGAAGATCATAACTAACTAAGCACATAAATAAATACGCAAGTATGCACGTTTTTGCAATCTCAAAAACCCAGAGTGCAGGCTTATTGCATTCTTATTTAGCCCGAGTCAGGTTGTTATGTATATGTAATTGAGGTGGGTACCGCTTCCACAATTGTTTTATTTCCATTCGAATTGAATCCTAATTTTGCAAATTTTACATGTATGCAAAATTTCAAGTCGATTGGATAATTTTTACGATCGTAATAGACAGACAGACAGACAGCCATGACGGGCACATAAGCCCTGACTCCGACTAAAAAGTAAAGTTTGCTTTTACATGGACTACATATGCACTTATAAATATTTTTTTTACTTCTTGTTTTACAACTGCTACGAATAAAAGGTGCTTGCTATTTTTGTGGTATAATGTCGAAATTAGTGAACAACTCACCTGGTACACTGTTCCCGTTGAAGGTCATGTCCACAGCGTGTGGGCCGGTTTCATGTGGAACAAAAACTGCTCGAAACCGATGATCTCCCAGCGCCTTCACTTGACTCGTGACTCGACCACCGTCCACCAAAATGGCCAAGTGACCTATCAAATACATGCGAAATCTTTTTTTAGCATACTAAATTATATACCAACCAGTGGCCGCGGAAGCTGTGGGGACATTGCCATTGTAGGATGGGGGAGGGACGGGTTTATATAAATAAGATGGGGATATCGAATACCCGTGGGGACATTCTGTCTCAACGCTTCCGCGGCCACTGAGCAATAGCTATGCAAATTCCAGACAGTGTCCGCGGAAGTTGTGTTGACATGTGGGACATTAAAATTGTGGGATAGGGGAGGGACGGGTTTGTATAAGATGGGGAGATGATGGGGACATCGAATAACCGGGGGGACGTTGTCCCACCCTTCCGCCGCCACCGTTAAAGAGCTAAATTTACCTGGGCCAGCTCCACGTCCGTCGACTAAAAATAAAATAAAATTACAGGGGATGAAATAAGTGCAATAAAATTTAATGGTTTTTGCAGCGCATCATATAATGCAATTTAAGAGTATTTTCTTTTCTTACTATCAATTTCGACCGGTCTTCCTACAAATCCGTTTGGCACACGAGTAACTTTTATGGCTTTTGGGTTAAAAACAGCAGCTCGAAATGGGCTCCCGTCAATTTGTCGAGGCCCCACAGCAACATTTATCAAATGTTCGCCCACTTCGAGAGGCGTGTATTTGGCACTGACGGAACTCACAGAGTCCACGAGGTGGGTTGGGATTCGACCAGAGGGGCCTAAATTATAAGGGAAAATTAAATAAAAATGTAGATAAAATTCCCTGGTTGAAATTTGTGATCATTTTCTGCAGAAATTTTGCGCCAATTTTCTGCAGAAAGAGTGTATGCAGAGCGATTTGTGTAAAAAACTGTGCAGGAATATGCATAATTACACGCATACGGTTCTGCAGAGTAAAACCCATAGAAATTTTCTGCAAAAATTTGGCAAATTTTCTGCAGAAGAGCGATCAGTGCATAAAACTGTGCAGAACTATGAACATACGTTTCTGCAGAATAAAACGCATGGAAATTTTGTGCAGAAACTGCATAGAAATTTATAACCAAATTCTTTAAAAAAATATGGCTTATGCAAAAAATATGCAGAACACAATATGCATTGAGCTTTTATCGATTACTGCAGAATTGATTTCAACCAGGGAAAAACATTGCAAATTAATTCGTGCCAAAATTCTTACTACATACCGACCACATCCACGCGAATATTATCCAACGAAGTTTGCCCAAATTCCGACGTTATTGTCACCACGACACTCGAATTTATCAACACGACCCCCAACCCGTCCCCCTCCACGACTAAATCTCCATGATAACCGTTCCCATTATAGTTTCCAAAACTCGGACTCCCATGATACTGCTGATGCGCAGATGAACTCTTTTCGAACTGTTCATGAAGCGTGGAAGATTTGGCACTTGAATTCATCATGCTTTGATTGTGATGATGTCGCGTCGATTCGGAGAAGGACTTCATGGCCGATGCCGAACTCAGGTTTTCGTCCGAAATCCGAGTCGAAACCAGTTTCGAACTGAGCAAATCCTTATTCGAAGAAGTCGGGAGCCCTCCGCCGTACTTCAATCGGTGATGAACCGCATCCGTGGTGTCTTGAAGGGCACTTTTTGTCGTGGTTTCTTTAGTAGATCGGCTCGTCGCAGCGTCAAAAGACTGTGACCCACTGGACACGTGTTTAGCACCGCTGTAATTGGCGGCGAATGGGCTGTGACTTCCGGCCCTGGCGAAGGAGTAGTCCGTGTCAAAACTGCGGGTTTTTCCGTGCACCGGTGGCGTCCCTTCTTTATGCCGGCGAGACCGGCTGGAACCCACGCGTAGGCTGAATGGCGAACCTGGAATGGAATTAGTGTAGATTATGCATAAGTTCTGTTAATTGCAATTAATTAGAATTTAATATGGCATCGGGTTTAATCATCCATTAATTTGACAAGCAGTGTTTCGCATGCTAGTAAGTAACCACGTGCAAGAAATAACGGTAATAAAGTGGTTTCTTGCAGCTATTTTGGCCTGCAAGAAATGTGAGGCGCAAGAAACTACGCCGCGCCGCTACATATATTTCATACGGCGCGTGGCTGGATGGCGCAAATTTCTTGCACTTTCTCCCAGTTTCTTGCACCTCGAATTTCTTGCAGGAAACGAAACACTGTTTGCAGGGTTATCGCACCTCGAATTTCGCGTCCATTGAAGTAAATGTGGACCCTATGCTTTCCTGCGTGCAGAACGGGAAGAAGGATGCGTTTTACGCCATCAGCAATGTACTCCGTGTTGTAGGGGATGGATCTAAAGAATAGTTTGACGACATTGCATATTAAAATAGATAAGATAATGATGACTTATCGGATTCATTATTATTTATGTAAATATGTATGTACATAAAATGTCTAGTATGTACTCCAAGACAATACTTTTCGACAAGTAATGAATGACAATTAAGTTATTAATAGGAAAAGCTGTGTAGTAATGATGCATTCGTCATTCGATATGACGGAAAACAATGAATAATTTCAAGACTGCCAAGGAACACGTAAGTAATTCGATATTTGGGATGTGTCCATCCATCCACATCGTTGTAATATTTTGTACAATTATTTTAATAATCCAGCCAAATCACATGAGCAATCAACTTGTTCGTTTCTTCCTACCTTCCTTCATGAGTTACGTCAATGTCGACGTCTCCCAAGCCACCGGTGCCTCGTGAATCACAGATGAAAGCAAATGGCAATCCTGGCAAAGCTCCGTCCAGCGTATCGAGCTAAATAAGCCATAAATAAACTAGATAAATAAATATGTCCATATACAAAAATCTTGTACTGACAATAGATGCGCCAGGTTTGTTCCTCCCCGATTTTTGGAACATGTATAATTCCAGAAATAAGTTTTAATTAAAAAATCGGACCAGTGCGAAAAAAACACATATTTTTTAAATTTCATAATACAAAAAACGCTCCCTTTTCAACAGTGTAGTCATTATGGAGATTGAATTAAACGATTCCGCTGTGGAAAATGGAGCGTTTTGTTTATTTTAAAGTTTACAAAATCGATAGCTTTTTCGTACTGGTGCTATTTTTTAATAAAAAATTTGTTTAGATGTGTGTAATTATGCATATTAAAAAAAAAAAATCTGGGCGGAACAAGCCTACCACACCCATTTTGACTTTGTCCTTACAATGACTCCGTTCGGGTCGTAGACAAAACATGGGAATGGCGACCCTTGAATATCTTTCTCCTTGTATAAAACCGTCACTTTCCATTCTCCAGGCTCTTCCGGTTTAAACGTGGCAGCAAATCCGTCCACCACTTTGTTAACGGTGCATGGCCTCGAGTTTCCCGACGGTGAGAGGGCAACCACTTCCATGTATTCCAATTTGGCTCCGGATGGATCTTGCGGATTGACCAGGACTTCAACAATGGAGCCCACGGCGCATGGGGCGAGACCGGTCGAGTAACTGATTTCCGATAAGCGAGGCACAACTCGGCATTTTAGGGGAGAACCGACAACCGGTTCGCCTTGATATTTGACGACGATTTCATGGATTCCGATATCCGTCGCGGTAAAGGTGCCTTTTCCATGCCCTCCGTCCGGGGCGAGGTTTATTCTAGCGTCCAAATGGCCAGATGGACCTTTCACTTCGACAACGATTTCTCGGTGGTGGATCTCTTCTTCTAAGCATTCCACCCTGAACGAAATCTGGAACAATGATGATTAAAATTTCAATTATGATACACATTGTTATAAAATGAATGCATTTCTGGAAATCTTTGTTTACCGGATCCCCCTTCCGGAAGATATTTGTTTCCCATGTCACCGTAACTGTAATAAAATAATAAAATGTTATGATAGAATCGGTACTAAACATAAATAGGATGCGTATCTGTACAATCAGTCTTAGGATTAGTGTTTCGTTTCTTGCGGGTTTGCTAATTTTTTTGCACTGCGAAGCAAGCCACCCAAGAAATGCGAGGTGCAAGAAACTGAGAGAAAGTGCAAGAAATATGCGCCATCCAGCCACGCGCCGTATGAAGTACAGTGGCTGGACGTAGTTTCTTGCACCTTGCATTTCTTGCAGGTCAAAATATTTCCTTGCAAGAAACCACTTTCTCCCGGTTATTTCTTGCACGTGGTTATCTACTTGCACCCGAAACACGGTGAACTAACCTCTTTGTCCTGGAGGTGGTCTTGCAGGCAGCCACTGATATTGAGAAACATACGCCATGACCCCGAGATGATCGACGGCCGGGTCTGCCATGTCTTTCGGGCGTAGAATTGACGTAACGCCCAGTTTCTCGCCGCCTTTCATTCCTGAAATTTTTAGATTAGATTGATATTAATGCAAATTAACTGTAATCATAACGTAACATTTGTTAAATAAATATATAATTTGGTACCCATTGAAATATTGGACTCCCATTGATCCTGTTCTAGTGACATGTTGTCCATTCCTGGCACTGGACCACCTAATGATCGAACTAATTCGCATAATATTTCTCCATTATTCCAGTCAGTCTATAATTTAAAAAATTTACAATTAGCATATCTTGCCAAAATAATTTTGGTATGTTAGTTCATACCGTAAAATTGGAAACATGTCGATGAGGAATTTGGTTTCGGACCTGAAATATGAACACAGACATGAATATAATACCCGTGACGTTACATATTTATTATTAGTTAGTTATTGGCTGTATTGATTATCCATTTATTGGAAATTTACCCAATTAAGCGTAGTACGAAATCCGGGACCATTCTCTTTCATGAAATAGGACAGATACGTCATCCCGGATAGCTCGTCCAAATGTGGAGATGCCAAATATTCAGGGTCCAGAACAATAGGCACGCCAAGTTCTTTCTTGGCAACTTCCATTGCGACTGAGAAAAAGTTACGTATTTATTTACAATCAATACTCTAGTTTAAATGCGAAATTAACAGAGGTGGACAAAATACTGTGTCAAAATACACTATTTTGACCTCTGTTCTTCCCAGGGTTTGGATTTCCGGGGCTGTTACACCCACAAAAAGACGAAAATCTACGTGGAGAAGGTAACAGTCAGTCGAAAATGCAGGGTTTGCGAAGAAATCCAATTTTTATCGGGTGGAATTATAAATGCCGCTCAAACTACTGAATTTTGACCAAGTATTTTGCCCACCCCTGGAAATTAATTATGATGTTTGCTAAAATCATGTACATATGTACCTCTGCAATTCTTTTCGCCATCATGTTCATTCAGCGCCCTCCAATTAGGGATCAATCCAGGACGACAATAGTCCACCAGAGCGGACAGATTCTTCCCACTTCTCCAATCCGTGGTCAAGTTATTTATTTCGTTTTCTGGTAAAACTGACCGCAGCCAAGCCAGCATCAACTTCTTTGGGGGAAACTTTGATCGACCGATTTGATATCGGACAATTAATGACCAAATCAAACCCAGGATTAGCTTCAAGTTTCCATTAACGATGTCCACGTTTCCTGTAAGGCATCAAAATGTCAAGAGATTGAGAACTTTGACATATGTGGATCATCAAATAATATTGGAGGTCTCCTAGCGTATACTCTCCGATTTTGGGCAAACTCGAGTCAATCAATCGCAAATTTAATTAGTATGAAATTTGGGAAAGACACGATCTCCCAATGAGCACGTTTGGCAGAGATTTTTGCATCCGAAGAGGAGAAAACGCGCTTAATAGCTGGCAAATTTACTGTGTTTTCTCCTCTTCGGATGCAAATATCTCTGCCAAACATGCCCATTGGGAGATCGTGTCTTTTGTAAATTTCATCCTAATTAAATTTGTGATCGATTGACACAAAATTGCTCAAAATCAGAGAACATACGCTGAGAGACCTCCATTTTACATACATAAATCGCCCATTTTTACACGTGCATACATACACGAATCACATAAACCTTATTACATTTTTACATAGCAATTATTGACAACAATGCTACTCACTCTTAGAAAAATGAGTAGGTAGATATGTAGCAGGGAATATATTATTACATATTTCTTATTACGAGACAAAGGTAAAAGTAAGCCACCACACAGCCACAAAAGCAATTCCATCCAACATTTTCTGTCATGAATGATTACGCAAAATGTGTTTTTGGCCAACCTCCACCCACGCCGAGACTGCGTTTCCATTCACCAATTCCTCTGTCTCTTTGACCTCTCTAAATTGGTGCTAACAAATGGAGCTGAATCAGTGGCCGCGGAAGCCGTGTGGGGACATCTGGGGACATTAGCATGGAAGGATGGGGGAGGCAGGGGTTTATATAGCATGGGGAGATGATGCGGACATCGAATAACCGTGGGGACATTGCCCCTCTGTCCCCCCTCCTACCCTTCCGCGGCCACTGGTCCGCAACCACATGCTGCAGTTAATGCATTTTATAAATTGAATTACAACTTTATATAGTTCCTTCCTTATAGTAAGTTGCCTTATCTATCGTGATGTCGTCAACTTTACAATCCTGTCCATCCATAATGATGGGACGCCTTGTCTGGTTTTCTCATTGCATGCCATGTAAAAGTTCGTAATTATGATGATGACGGAAAAAATGGAATGGAGCCACACAATGCACCACACCTACTTTGCAAACAAAGCTCTCTAAATGACGTTACGTTTTCCATCACCGGAGAGTCCACTCATAATAAGCAGATCTTCGTGTCAAATGGCATGTATGTACATATCGTCACTTTTTTGAGACAGGAAAAGGAAGGAAGGAAGAGCAGACAGATAATCATTACTAATATTATGCTTCCCACTACTAGCACGTGGCCATTACATATCAAATATATATACGACAAGAATGCAATTTCATAAAATAGAGCACATAGAAATCCATAGGATTATTTTTTGTGTACGTATTTACTAATTTTTGGCACTCTTAAAACGCAGCATTCGATTACTAGTCAAAATCAGTATATTTTTAATCATTTCTCGGCTCTGGGAATTTATCTTAAAATTCTGGACGACTAATTTGTAGAGCATGGAGTCGCCACTAAAAAAATATGTATACACTTCAGTTTTTGACAGTTTTTTAACGAGAATATTTCAAGTTCGACAAGCCTTAAGAAAAATTGAGACTGGCTGACCTTAATTTTTATAGAACTCCTATCCTTCAACTTACTGGCGACAAATTTGTCCTCCAGAATTTAAAAATAAATTCCCAAAAAATGATTACAAACGTGTTGGTTTGGACAATTTTGGTGATAAGTCCTACGTTAATATGTGTACGTGCAATATTCAATTGAAATTCAAGTCTTCTTCGCTAGATTCGTACATAAAAATGTGAAAAATTATAAGCGGACAAGGAGTGGATTTCAAACTTGTTAAGATGCTGTTTTGCAGAAAAAGAGCTGATATAAAAATTTGAGCCAGTCTTGAATGCATAATGTACAAATGTATGTAATGCAGGATTGCAAATTTTATGCGAATTCCTCACTTTTGTTTCAGCAAAAAAACATTCAATGCCAAGTAAATAAGTTTAGTTGCCGTTATTATTAACGTTGCTTGTTGGAATAAATTTCAAATTTTTTCAGCAAATTGTCCGATGTTATCTCAATCAAACAAATGAAGTCGCCAGTACTGTCGTCTGCGGCAATATCATTATATTACGTTTACGATAACACGAAACGAAACACAGGATATGTTTTAAAGGAGAGACAGACAAACAATGGAAAAGTGAGCCGCAACGTAACGCAATGTAATGTCATGTATGTAATGTGGTTGAAATGAAATTCTAAATTGGTCGTAAACGGGTAATGACACCGGTCGGTTGGTTAAATTCCGTCGGTGATTCATTCTTCTGCCGTCTTTATCATTTAGTTAGAGAGCTTCATTTCATAGAAACAAGTGAATCACACCTAAATATTTCTTTCTTTCGTATGTAGCATTTAGTGGACTGGAAGACGAACAAGGGAGGTCTCCCAGAGGATGCTCTCTGATTTTGAGCAAATTAGTGTCAATCGATCACAGATTTGATTAGTATGAAATTTGGGAAAGACACGATCTCCCAATCGGCACGTTTGGCAGAGATATTTGCATCCGAAGAGGAGAAATGCGCCTTAAAGTTGACAAATTATACACTTTCTAAATTTACTGCGCGTTTTCTCCTGTTCGGATGCAAATATCTCTGGCAAACGTGCCCATTGGGGGATCGTATCATTCGCAAATTTCATACGAATTAAATTTGCGATCGTCTGACACAAATTTTGTCCAAAAATCGGAGAGCATACGCTGGAATACCTCCATTGTCAGGTAATACTTATCTCTCCTCTAGGGTAAAACTATTAGAAATGCATTTTGTTGTGTCTTCTCTGGTGCTAGATGTATGTTGTGCTCCTTCGGATTCTTATGGGCTTGGCTTTTGACATTTTACTGGTTTTGAAGTGCAGATATCGTCGCACCATTAAATAGCCCCATCATCGCCATCACCTCTTATTACTGGCTTTTCTATCCCTTCTTAATTATATTCAGGTTTGTGGCTTGGCTTAAATCTTAAATGAACGGTCGAGGTGGTTGAAACAAGTAAATATGTAAAAAAAAAATCCTCACAATTTATCATAATTCGTATAGATAGATTTACTAGAAACATGTCTAGGCCCGACCCTCGTAATACTTTTTGCTAGAAAATATCCTGAGTTTTTTTAGGATCGTAACAATACCAAGAAGAATCTGCATATTAGTGCTTCTCATTTTTAAAGAGGTACATAGAAGTGCACAGTGGCCGCGGAAGGGTGTGGACGCAGAGGGACAATGTCCCCACGGTTGTTCGATGTCCGCATCATCTCCCCATCTTATATAAACCCCTCCCTCCCCCATCCTACAATGTTAATGTCCCCAGATGTCCCCACGGCTTCCGCGGCTACTGCTTTAAGCATTTGTATCTCGACCTATGTTTCAGCCAGTGGCCGCGGAAGGGTGGATGGGGACAGAGGGGCAATGCCCCCACCTTTATTCGATGTCCGCATCATCTACCCATCTTATATAAACCCCTCCCTCCCCTATCCTACAATGTTAGCGTCCCCAGATGTCCCCACGGCTTCCGCGGCCACTGTACATAAACTGTGTTCAATTTCCCTTCAAATTTTTTTCAAAATATTTAATTAAATGCAAATCTTTCCCAATGTTGTATCATTAAATACAATTAAATTAATAGAATTTTCTACAAGCCACAACACAAAGTTTGGTGGAATACATAAACCGGCCGGCCAATTTATGAATTGATATTAATGAAGGTTTGGTTTTGTACATGAAAAAAAGGGTTAAAACATGAACTCAACGCAGTCATGCTCATCGAATTATAAAAACAATAATCAACAACAAAGAGCTGTTTTTTATACAATATTCAATTTAACCACTAAGAGGATTAGTGGATTTGTAGTCAGATAAATCAGCATAATAATAAGTTAAGAATTCATTTATTCATTTCATTCGTAGATTTCAGAATTTGATTTCTGACAGACAGGGAACAAAGGGCGGTTGGCTATTTTGAGATGCTGGGAAAATTAATTTGATTCGCTTGCATGGCTAACTTTTCAGTGATTTCCTCATTTTCTTCGTTGAAGATAATTAAATATTTGCACGTGCGAATTGCTAAAACTCAGTTTAATTAACGATTTCCTACATTAATTACCCTTGAATTTTATGGATTTCCTGAAATGATATCTATTCCCTTTTAACTGCTATTTTGCAATTTTTACTGGATTTTTTTACACAATAAAAATTCTGGGTCTTATTTATTTGTATAACCAAATTTTTTAACCAGATATTTACCGGATTTTCATGTATATAAGAATCCGGAGTCTTTGCATAATAAAATTTCCATGAAAAAAAATCCAGCATAAATTTAGCATAATTCGTAATGCATGACGCAAATGCATGATGGACATGATTCAATCAAACCTTTACCATAAAAGGATTTCACTGGAGTTCAGTAAGATTATCATCTTGAATGAAATGTTTGCTTGCTTACCAATGTTGACCAGTTTCACTCCATCCGAAGAAATGGCATCTAAAGCTGCAAGTTAAGTAAGAAAATATAGTTATATTAATATTCTAAACTGAATAAAATGAATTAATCTCAATCTCACCTCGTGTAACATTTTCCAGCATTTGGTGCTGATTTTGAGGTTTGTGAATTTTGCGAAGTGTCCGTTTTTGCAGTGCTTCGACCAATGCGCAGAGACACGTCCCGTCGCAAAGATCGGTCGCCAGATCGTTCACGGAGAGGCCTAAGGGTCGCAAATGCTCTGAAAATATGTGCAAATTTCAATATATTTAGAAAATGTTGACCGGTGAAGAATTTGAAAATTTTGAAAATTTTTCAGATTTCCAACTTACCATTCACCCAATTTCTGAAGGTGTGTGCTTGAATTTCAATCCAGAGGTCTTCATTCCCCTTGATTTGCATTCCTTTGGCGGCATGACCTTCCGGACTCCGTGCCAATAGCCCAACCTGCAAATATTTATTCACAAATTTCGATTTTTTCATCTCTCATCCTTTCGTAAATAATGGGGAAATTTCATCTTCCGAAGCTCTGTTTGAAATTTTTGATCGTTTTGTGCAGAAATTTAGGCCAATTTTTTGCAGAAAAATTGTATGCAGAGCGATTATATGCAATTTGTACAGAAATATATGTAGAACTGGGCAAAATTATGCAAAAATTGTGTGCAGGGCGTTTTGTGCGCAAAACGATGCGCAGTATTATGCACGAACGGTTCTGCAGAATATGTACATAAAACCCATTCAAACTTTCTGCAGGATTATGCATATAAGAAAATTATGTCGGACACAATATGCATTCAGATTTTGTCGATTCCTGCAGACTTCGACAGTGATTTCCAACGGAGATGAAGTTTATATGACATTATTAAATATTGCATGAATTAGAATGTTAGGTATATGTATGCCTACGTAGATATGTATATGTAATTAGTTCTGAATCTGTACATCACTCTATCTTTAACTCTCCACTAATAAATACTCTCCTCTGTCTCCTCTCACTGTGTACCACTTATTTATGTATAATCATATATACATAACATTGGTGGACCGTCGAGTACTTTCTTTCGCTCCTCCCACTCACAATGGATTTTAAAATTTTCAAAATTCTTCGCAAGACATATCACCTACCAAATTTGCTACGACTGCGACGACTAAGCAGCTTGACCACCGCCCCTTAGAGCTTGTCATTTTGCTTCCGATAGGGAAACTTCCCAAATCTCTCTTCTCAAAACCTTGCGTAAACTGTGTGATTTTCCTGTGAAACTTTTTTTTGTGAATTTTCGTCATCTGGTCTGTAAATTGGATTATCCTCCCGGATGCTATCAGGTCTGTAAATTGGTTCTAAACCACCCTGCAAATCTTCCCCCATTCTTAAAATTTCCAAATCTCCAGTCCAACATTTACATTTCATAATTCGAGCAAATATGCAAAATTCAAAATTCCGTTATTTGTTTTAAACACGTCAAAAAAATATATGCAAAATTGTCCTTCAAAATTGTTAAAAAATCGTAAAAATATTGTAAAAAAAATTCCTTTTAATTTCTGAAAAATTTTCATCAAAATTCGTTCAAAATTTGCAAAACTTCTGCACAATATATGCAAAAAACTCATTTTTATTCATTTCGTCTGGAAAATTGTCCCAATTCTTTATCAAATTTTGCTGCAAAAATGTAATCTGATTCACCTTGTCTCAAAATTCTGCTGAACTTTTATGCTCGATCTGCGTTGTCACCACTTTCCCAGGCTCAGAATGAAATATAACGCCTTGAGATTAATGTTTGTAATGAGCAACGTCTACATATTATTTGCGTGTTCAAGTATGGAAATCCACATTGTACATAGTTCCCCTTTTTTAACGCGTCACGGTTATGGGTCACCCACAGAAAACCCTGCGTCTTCGAGTTGTCCGGTTATGGGTCACCCAGATAAAACCCTCACAAGTCTGCGTATTTATGTATCTCCGATGTCCCGATGGACCACATACCACGATCACAAAAATGTATTTTTCTTTGTTTATCGTTTTGTCCCAATCTGCAAGTTTTATTTGAGTCAACCACCACCACCACGCCTGAGATGACACAATTCCACCACCGATTGCGAGCCATACCATCTTCTCAAGTTCCAGCCCTGCAAAATTACTGCGTCATTCGATATGTGTATTAAATTGTTCAATGTTATTCATGCAAAATCTTTGTTCATGTTTGTTTTCCGGAGTCATTTCATATTTAATTTTGCATGAATTTTTCCTATGTATGTCCCAAACCATCTAAATTTCTACTTCAAATTGTGACTACTGAAATTGTTAGTTTGCAAACCTACACACTCTTTCCGACTATTTTTCAGGAGAAAAATTTTTTTCGTGAGAGGGTAGTGTTAGGTATATGTATGCCTACGTAGATATGTATATGTAATATACATATGTAATTCTGAATCTGTACATCACTCTATCTTTAACTCTCCACTAATAAATACTCTCCTCTGTCTCTTCTCACTGTGTACCACTTATTTATGTATAATCATATATACATAACATTCTATCCTCTGATTTTACAGTTGAACTAAAGAACAACAAGGTTTGCATAATACACTAATTTCATTCTTGAATTTTTACTACCACCACGAGATCAGTCGTTTATTGGATGTGTAAACTAAAAAAATAAAGTCTCCCTGACTGGCTGACTAATAACTAAGAGCATTGCATTCTAAAAGCAATGTCAATCTATGGAAAAGGAGTAAGTGAGCCAACAAGTGTGTCAGTTTACCATTTCGTCGGCAATGAGTTGACCTTATTTGGTTATCGACAAGTATGGAAATGTCCTGTCTTTCCAAAAGCTAAACTCCACACACATACATACTCATCGTAGTCATATAACCACAAAATCAGTGGCCGCGGAAGGGTGGGGACAGAGGGACAATGTCTCCACCGTTATTCGATGTCCTCATCATCTTATACAAACCCCTCCCCCCATCCTAGCCTGTCAATGTCCCCATATGTCCCCACCCCTTCCGCGGCCACTAGTACCTACACATACAAAATATTATCCACAACACAATGCCACTTCCTTGCCAATCCACATTCAAATCTATCTTCAGCAGCCTATTTTCCATCCATCCATTTGGTGTTACGTATGCCATTCCATTTCACTTTCAGTTTCAATTGGCAAAGCGATTATGTAATCTCTTCAACTCAATTTAAATAAGAGTTGGTTGCTGTTGATCTTCTTCACTCGTGTGCATGCACACACATGCCTTCAAGATGCCTCGGCTAAACCCAGGCTTTCCTTGAATCACCACCAGACATGCATGAGGTCACCGGTGGGCTAGCAAATTAAATCCCCGTAAGAAAAGAAATGCAGGAAAGAAACGCTTTAAAAACATATTTATGATAATTTGCATAAGACGCGAGATTTCAAGATTTATGGAATTGCATGCAGGACATGAGAATATGACAAAAAATGAGGAATAATAACTTACCGCAGAAATCCTGTTTTCTTCAGGGTCCAGCATTTTTTAGTGTTTTTTTAAATCCCTTGGCCAAGATGATGATGAATAAATCAGTGTTTCAAATCCTTCTTGTAACACTTACAACTACAAATTCACGTCACAAGTTCTTTCTGCATTAATCATGTCTCAAATTTTAGAGTGGTTGGTGTCTCAGATACAAAATTTCTGCATTCTTTCTTTCCCAAGTAGAAATCTTTCATAAGTCAGAAGCAGGGTTTAACTGGCAGCATTGTTAAATTTCTTGTTGCTACTACTAAAATGTAATCACGTCGTTACATTACAAAGTCCGTGAGGAATTTTATTGCTTCACAAAACTTTAAATTTTATGAAGTGGAAGGAATGTAAGGCTTTTTTATAGGCCAAAGTGCTAATGATATCTGTACTACTTTATGAAAACTTCCAGGGACATATCAACCACTACACGGGGTGTAAGTAAATAGCACCGAATATTTTATTTAATAAATTCACGTTTTAAAAATGTTAATTCACGTAATTACAAGTATTTTTGAAAAATATGTAAAATTCAGGCACAATTTTAAGGCACAGCAGAACTCGTAATTTAGATCCTTACTACTTATTTATTAATCTCTTAACAGCACCATAATTCACAGCAAACTTGTTAAAATTTGTACTATGTGTTGAAAGAAATAAAATAATAGTAATTTTTTCAAGGAGTCGTACGATTACATTGTTGATCAAGATTGCATAATGGCGTTTTAGCACGCGATTTTTTTAGCACCGATGAAGAAAGTGTCAAAATCTTAAAAGATAACAAACAAATGAAAGTGAAATCACGGTATTTGCTGGGACATCCTGGAAACACGTGAACTGTTTTTAATGACAAATATTTATGCTAAGATTGTCACGATAAAAAGATTAAAAATCAATTCTCTGTAATGAATATGTAGCTAATTATGTTAAGTACTTATCTGATGAACTAAATAATTTGCTAATTGTAAGTTAGATATTTTTCAGCCTACTTATTATTGATCGTGTACTACATATACGTCTCCCTATTATGAATGTATACATAAATACGAACTATTATTATGTACAAGTGAGTGAATCAACAGGTAGGAAAGACGGCTCAGGTGAGACTGAAATGGGTATATGGGATAATTTTTAAAGAGGAGGCGGTGGTGGTGGTGAATCTCTGTAGAATGGTTAGGTCATACCTTTCCTTTACCTGTGCATACTTACTTACTGTTTCTACATAATAATCCCACAGTCAACTCTTTAAACAGCATCAGCATAAGCAGTGGCCGCGGAAGCCGTGGGGACATCTGGGGACATTGCCATTGTAGGATGGGGGAGGGATGGGTTTATATAAGATGGGGACATCGAACGACCGTGGGGACATTGTCCCTCTGTCCCCTCAAGCTTCCGCGGCCACTGATAATAAGAAGGTACATACATACCAATAGACACAGGTAAGTAACGTAAAAGTGAATTGAATTTAAGTAAGTAAGTGGATGCATGCATTCCCGTGAGCAAGTTGGCATGGAAGGAAACATGAGGAGAGACGCGATGAGCTTTAAAAAGTAAAGGGTTGGGATTCGCATTGTCAGTCACTTTGAGTTGAGAAGAGTGATGTAACAATTCAACAATAGCATCCCCCTCATGAATTCCTTGGCTGTTGGAAAATCGTTAATAGCAGCATTCCACTTTATCAGCACCACCACGTTAGTATTTACGACGACGAAAATAGGCATGATAAGCACACCGAGAACTAAGTATGTGAAACAGGTAAAGGTAAAGTTCAACAACGCTGTTACATACATACATATGTATGATTTAGCGATGCAATTGCAGTAATAATTCTGCATTGTGTTGTGTGTGTTCTTCTCGTTTTATTGTCAAGTATAGATTTTCAGATAAATATGCGCTCAGCATGGTAAAAAATTCGCTATTATTTACTTTCGCTTGTATACTTACATATGTACTCGAATTCATAAAAATATCCTTATTATTATGAACATGCAGCGTCATTTCTTTTAATAATGGCTAATGATAATAAAGACGATTCATCAATAGCAGTATAATAGTGGTAGTGGTATACCTGATCAACCCAGGTTTTTTTTGCAATATTGCAAAAATTGTCACATCCATAAATTTCTCCTGTATAAATATTTAGTAATGTATACGTAGATATCATAACTTGTTTAATTGCTTCATTTGTTAACACTAATGACAATAAAATAAATAATGAAATGAAAATTTGCACGTATACAAAATTCAGTTAGCATCAATCATTAAAAGAATTACGGGAATTTTTACAATAATAATTCATCAATCACCACGACCAACCTCCATCAAGCAAAATAATATCTCTCTATTAAATACATTGCTAAGAACCAGTGGCCGCGGAAGAGTAGGGACAATGTCCCCACGGTTATCCGATGTCCCCATCATCTCCCCATCTTATACAAACCTCTCCCTCCTCCCCATCCTACAATGGTAATGTCCCCACAGCTTCCGCGGCCACTGCTACTATGCGACCCAAGCGTTTATTTATAAGACCTCACGCCTGAGCATCAAATTCTACGTCCCCAATCAGCACTTGATTCAAGGCCGTCATCGCGCTATTGACTCCTTTGAAGTGCACAAATATAACGCCAGTACTTTCACTTTCATCCCTTATTTACCAACCAACCAACTAATAATCATTGTACCAAATCATGTAAAACATTGCAACGCCAAACACGAATCGCACACTTGACTTGTTAAATAAGTCGGCGACGGAGGTTCTTTAATGTTTAATCCATGTTCCAGAATTTAACAGCCATTAAACGATTCAACGATTTATTTATTTACCTCCTGCTTCGCGTATTTTTAGTGGTATTTTACCATTTGCGGCATTGTTTTGGCAGGTAAAACATATCAATCAACTCGGTCGGCTCTTGAAATTAGGTTGAATAATAACCTGTATATAAACACAGCAGAGGGGAATTTTGTCGTGTTGTGTTGTAAATAACCTAATTATGTGTGTATAAACCTTCCAAATAGAACTGTGTATCACATATTTTTGAAATTGTGTCTCATCAGTTCCTTCCTGCTGCATTTTTGGCATTGGATTTTGGAATTAAGTAAGTCATGAAGTGATACTACGGACGAACAGTGACCGCGGAAGCTGTGGGGACATTTGGGGACATTGTCATTATACGATGGTGGAGGGAGGGGTTTGTATAAGATAGGCAGATGATGGGGACATCGGACAACTGTGGGGACATTGTCCTGTCCCCACGATTCCGCGGCCACTGTATGTACGTACAATACTGCTGCTACATATTTACAATGAACGACGGACGGATACACGATAAGACTAGGATTATTAAATTTCCTTTGCAGAGAGGTTGCTAATTTCAGTTAGTAATAAGTGCTTAATCGACATGGCCTTGAGTAATTAGCGGAAAGGAAATGACTGCAGTCAAATATTGCGTTTTGTATATGGCGTCATCATTCATCACGGGATTCTACTTACAATACAATACAATCCTACCGCAATGCATGGCTCACCTGTATTATTTTGTATATTTGCATTTATGGAATATAATTATTTCGCAATTTTATCACATGACACATTACTGCCGAGATGGGACATGCATTTGTCAAATTGGGAAAAATTATAGCATTGTAATATTTATGAAATGACAAAGACTGGAATGCAGCGTGTTTTTTGGCGTGCTGTTTATGGACATAAATGACTGTGATGATTGTGATAGATATGGAATGACTATAAAGGGACATCCCTGCAATTCCTTTTAAATATTGAAGAGACAAAAATTGTTTGTTTTTAAAGATATGTCAAATTACTTAATGTAAAAGATAATTGTGTCAAATAAAATTTTTACTTATTTCATTTCTTATTGTGGAAAATCTATGTCGCAAAAATCTTATTTGAAATGGCGAACTCTGCCCGAATTAAGGATTGATATTTTCACATCGTGTTATCAGAATCAACAATTTAGTGTGCTAGTTTAGCCACGTGTGCTATTTTTACCACGTGTGCTAATTTTACCACGTGTGCTAATTTTACCACGTGTGCTAATTTTACCACGTGTGCTAATTTTACCACGTGTGCTAATTTTACCACGTGTGCTAATTTTACCACGTGTGCTATTCTAACCTAACCACGTGGTCTACTTTAACCGCGTGTGCAACAAATCAGATCCGCAGATGACGATTTACTTTACTTGTATTTCTGTGGTCACTACTGACGATTTTTCGTCGTACCCTTTCCTATAAGGGAGCTAGCGTTGCTTAGCTACTAAAAATCCAGCCATACCATAATTCTGCTTCCGCCGGCCAGAATTTACCTCAAAATTTCATCCCATCATGTCAGCCAACCTCTCGAATAAACCACCACGAATCATATGATGAACAACATCATCACTGAAACTGGACCATTTCCAGATTCAAACAACAATAAGTAAGAGATCATCTCGAACTATTTTCTTTTCCGTACATAAAATGAATCACTATATTCTCCTCTCCCCAAAAAATCAGAGGCGGCGTGATGCTTCCTTCCTCTGATGACGACACCCCGGAAGAAAAATTGGAAACCAAAAAATCCTTCATCAGCATCGGACCCTCCGGTTCGGGGGAAGGTCCCAACGAAATTGAACTTGTCAAGTCTCGCCTCAAAAGCAGTGGGGGTGGGAAGCAGGTCGAATTTGCACCCCCTCCCGTCGCGACCCCGTCTCTCTCGCAGGAAAAGATTCGCCGGAGTGGGTCCATGTTTGTCCGAATTTCGGACACAACTGTGGACCAGGAAAGGATGGATGAGTTCGAGAAACTGGAGGCAGATGAAAAAATTAGCGGGTTGCCCCCGCCCGACATTAAATTCAAGAAGGATGACCTTGACCTCGGTCACGCAGTGGAGGAGGTCGAAAGATCATCACCAATACCCCCACAAGTTGAAAAACCTCAATTCATACCACCACCACCAACTGGACCTGCTCCTTCTCTACCTACTACTACCACGGCTACTCGGAAGACGCGAAATAACGACGCCCCCAAAAAAGAGGGTCCAACTAATACGCCTAAAAATTCTGCTCCGAACCCACCTCGTCCCAAGAGTGCGACTCGTTCAAGACATTTGTTAACTGTAGAGTAAGAATTTTTTCTGTAAAGAAAGTTGGAAAACTTGAAATAGAAAGAGATTCTATTTCGGGCTCAGTGGCCGCGGAAGTATGTGGACAGAGGGATAATGTCCCCACAGTTGTTTGATGTCCGCATCATCTGCCCATCTTATATAAACCCCTGCCTCCCTTATCCCACAATGGCAATGTCCCCACACCTTCCGCGGCCACTGCTCATTCGCTCTTTCTTCTCTATCTTAATGGTCTAATCTAATCTTCCTCTCCGGATAGAGTGCTGGGACGGAAAGTTGCTCCAGTGCGGGACAAATCCCCCTACGCGTGCAAAATAATTGAAATCCCGGACCAGCAACAAGCCAAATTTAGGACCAACAAGAAAGTCTGGGTGTGTCAAAAGGATCACAAATTACTTGAAGATCAGCTCCAAGGACATGAAAAGCGTAGGGCATACCCAATTTATATTTCTGTTAAAGGGGACGTTCATAAATCATGTAACGCAAAAAAGTCACGATTTTCTAGACCCCCTTCCCCCCTTATCACATGGACACGATATCATTGGAGCCTTATTAGATCACCCCTCCCCCCTTTCACGTTACATAATTTATGAACAGCCCCCCAAAGCATTACTACTAATAATTTAATCCCCCTTTTGTCCCGCAAATCCCCCACCCGCAGAGAAAACAGAGGACAACGACAACGGCGCTGGTCAGGTCGAAATTGTAAATTGGCTTGTTGCTGATCCACTCGAAAATAAGGATAATTTGATGACTGAATCCATGCCGTTAGCCGCGTGGCCTAATTTCCACACAAATTCGCAGAAAAGTACAGAGACTCAAACATCTAATTCTGCTCCTACTTCTGATCTCGAATCAACTTCTTCTAAATCACATTTGACACTGCCCTTTTCTCAAATCCTTTCCGTCGACTTGACGCCCACGCCGGGAGGCACGTCAACTTTTGAGGCTAATTCAATCGTCCAAGTTGCTGATTATGCTCTCCTCGCCGAAATGGCGGACAAGGTTGAGGCCGGAATTTTTAGGGCGAGTGAGACCTGCAGCGTGTTGATCAATATGGTGTTCAAGGATTCGCTGGGAAATCCAGCGTCTCTCGAGCGTGTCATGGAATCGCAGGATTTTAATGATTTTCTCAAATCGCCGAATGAGATTACCGCCTTGGAGAGAGGGGCCGTCGTGCTGGGGGCGTGTGGTCGGGTTATCAAGGAATATTTGGAGGCGGTTAAGGCTTCTTCTGCAAGAAACGGAGAGGCGGAATCGAACACTAATTTTGCGAGGAGAAGTAGCGAAATTGTTAGTGTGACGGGGGCCAAGAAAAAAAATGTTACGTTGGCAGCTCTGCAGAAAAAGTAGGATTTTTTTAAGTTCTTGGCAGTGGTCGTGGAACAGAGGGATAATGTCCCCACGGTTATTCGATGTCCCCATCCTCTGTTCATATTTTATAAACCCTTTCTCTCTTATTCTACAATTCTAATGTCCCCACGGCTTCCGCGGCCACTGGTTCTTCCTTTTTTTGCAAAAAACTTATGGAAATCCAATCCGCAGGAAAAGTACAATGTTCTTGACAGTGGCCGCGGAAGCGTGGAGGCCCAGAGGGGCAATGTCCCTATGGTTATTCGATGTCCATATCATCTCCCCATCTTATACAAACCCCTCCCTCCTCTCCCCTACAATCGTATTGTCCCCAGATGTTCCCCCCACCTTCCGCGGCCACTGGCTTTTGCATCGTTCTTTTTTCATCGAAATCCAATCCTTATCTTGACTTGCTTACGTATCCCACCGTAATTTGATAGGTACACCTCTTCCGACGCTACAATCTGGTCCTTTGTGCCACCCCTGTCCCCCGACAAGTTTCAACTCGCCCTCTTCTTAAACCCCGAGACGGGCGAAGTCATGCAAACGGTGACTTGTCAAGAGCACATTTTCCGCACGAGGTACACCACGTCTCCGTTGGAATCGCAAATTCGCAACTTGATCTCCTCCAGTCGGGAACAAGTTGGCCTTCCAGCCTTCGTAAAACCTGAATACCTTCTCGACACCATTGTCCGCTGTTCATCCTGTGCAGTGGCTCGCCTCACAAAGGCCAACACGCTGCTGGCCCAGTGCAACGCAAAACTGACCGAGTATTTGCAAGCCATAGCGAAACCAAAGTTTGCCGTGAGCATGGCGAAACTCGGCAAATTGGATGGAATCCGGAGAAACATACAGCAGCTCAATATCACTGCGGGAATCGTGTACCAAATGTCGATGGAGATGAGCAATGCGTGCAAAAGTGTGCAAAATGGGGTATGGAATTCCATGTATGTCCAGGATGTGCTAAGATTTCCCAGGATTCCTGGATTTCCTAATCCGAAGAGTAATAGAGAATGTCAGATCCCGGCTTTTGTAAAGATTCCGGTACAGGAAGCGATGAAACAGCTTAAGGTAACGGTTTGTAGGAGAAAATCGATTAAAATATGTGTCACGTGGGAGTAACCACGTGCAAGAAATAAGGGCAAGAAAGTGTTTTTTTAGCTAGATATTTTGACCTGCAAGAAATGCGAGGCGCAAGAAACGACTTCCGCCGCTATATTTCACACGGCGCGTGGCTGGATGGCGCATATTTCTTGCACTTTGCATTTCTTGCAAATTTTTTGCACCTTGAATTTGCAGTTTTTTGCACTTTGCATTTCTCCCGTTTCTTGCTTTGCAGTATGTAGCTCACCCGCTACAAGAAACGAAACACTGAATACAACTAATTTTAGAACCTAGATATTAATTTACATAAAAAACATGAAATTTTAAAAACATGCACAATTTTAAGTATTTAATTAGCTACATAAACGTACGTACGTACATTTATGACAAAGCATGTTTCAAACTTTCTTCCTTGACAAGATCTCAAAAACTTCTCTGTTCTTGTTCAAAACTTATTTTCTCTCTTCATTTATTTACAGGAAGGCTTGCAGAGCATCGACTACGCCGTGCGACTGGGTCAATTCTCCCTCGAGACGCTCCGATTCGGCGTAAAACTGGAGAAAGAGCACAAAAAGCTGGTCAAAGATTACTTGGAAGGCGTCCGAACGCTGGGGAGTGAGAATGACGTGGACTACGGCTCTCTCCTAATGACGATCCTGTGCAGCACGGAAATGTTGCTGCATTTCGAAGACGTGATGCCATCCGTGGACAAATTCGTCCGATCCGCAATTTTGACCCATCTCGGGAAAATTAACTGGGGAACGGCAGAAGTGCTGGGAATTGTGAAACGGATGGAGACCGATGCTCATATTTTATCCATGAGAACTACCTTCAAACTGAGAGAACTCAAGAATCGGTACAGGCAAGAGTATGGGGGCAACATTTAGGTTTTTTTAAGAGATATTAAATTCTATCCAAAATTCAGAAAGCTTACGCTAAAAAAATCATTTTGTAAATAAAGTATGTAGTTTGAGATAATAAAGAAAGTATGTCATAATTAAAAAAAAGTGCATGCATAGTTCTTTAATGGATATTTTATTTATGTACAATAATTTGTTAATAATGTCATTAAAATGCAAGGTTTTTTGCCTTAATAAATATTAAAGTCGCAAAAAAAAACTTTTTTTCCGTGTGGGAGGGTTCCAAAATATGTAATAATTTGCATAATTTCTTACTAATTTAACTTGTTGCTAAGAAGTAGACTTTGGAAGCCAACTGGGTGGTTTAAGTTTCTACAGAAATTTTGATTTTTTCGGGAGTATCAAAACCTGCCTAATTTTATGCGTAATTACATGTCTGACATCGTATCGAAAAAAGTAATCCGGTGCGAATTGTCCAATTCAACTTCAAGAATGAAGAGCAACAATAAAAGTGCGTTCATGCCCAATTAGTGGCCGCGGAAGCTGTGGGGACATCTGGGGACATTGCCATTGTAGGGGGAGGGAGGGGTTTATATAAGATGGGGAGATGATGGGGACATCGAACAACCGTGGGGACATTGTCCCTCTGTCCCCACACACTTCCGCGGCCACTGTGCCCAATAACCAAATTTATTACTCTTAAATCGCTCTATTTATACATTTGATTTTCCAGTGAACGAGAAAAACCTGATGGACAAGCCCCCCATCATGACCCGCCCGGCGCCATCCCCAGTGGGTGGGCGTGGTCCAAGGAAAACGGTGGCGCCGAGGCCAAGTCCTCCTCCACCCCTTGAAGGACCCTTCATCCAACAACGTGCCCCCCTGCACGAGGACATTCAAACGTACAAACCGGGCTGGTCAATTCCTAAACTTCGCGTGGAAGATATTGGTCGGTCAAGTTCAAATCGAGGCTTACAGATTCTTCCCCCAAGAAAAAAATCATCCGCAAATCCTGTCGCTAATACGGACATGCTGGGACAATTTGACAAGTTCGTGGCAAATCCGAGCCCAATGATTACAGAGAAGAGGTCGAGTCAGCTTAGGCAAAAACTAAGGCATGAAACAAAGGAAAAACTGGCAGATAGCAAGATGGAGAAGGAAATGGATAAAATGAGAAATAAGTTTTTTGGCGAGATCAGCTCCGAGTTGGGATTTGGATATGAGTAAGTGTGGCATAATTTGCATACATTTTCCTTTAATTACGTACAATGGAGGTCTCCCAGCGTATGCTCTCAGAATTTTTAGTAAATTAGTGTTAATTGATCGCAAATTTAATTAGTATGAAATTTGCGGAAGACACGATCTCCCAATGGGCACGTTTGGCAGAGATATTTGCATCCGAAGAGGAGAAAACGCACCTTAAAGTCGACAAATTTTACCTTTTCCAAATTTACTGCGCATTTTCTCCTCTTCGGATGCAAATATCTGCGCCAAACGTGCCCATTGGGAGATCGGGTCTTTCGCAAATTTCATACTAATTAAATTTGTCATCAATTGACACTAATAATTTGCTCAAAATCTGGGAGCATACGCTGGGAGACATCCATTCTCAGAAAACTTGTAACTTTTACAAATCCCTTCAGACAAACCTCTCCCGATACCAATTCCAAAAGACCTGTTGCCCCACAACTTTCCGCAATTCGACTCGCCCCCGCAGAAACCGACTCTTGGAGCGTGATCAGTTCAAAGATGACCAAATCGTTAAAAGATTGGGCAACGGATGCGCAAAAAGCTGAGAATCGCGAATGGGTGCAATCCTCCGCGAGTGGAAACCTTCTGAATAAGAAGACCCACCGAGGAACGCGGACGATCAGACCTCGCTCAAAGTCAAAAACACGTGCCGCCCTGCCAGCCGGAACCCTGCGGGAATACTTGGACATGGGAACGGGCAGATCGGCTCGACGCGTGGTTAACAGTGAAGACAAACTTGCAATTATTTCGCGAGGATTTCGCAAAACTTTGGAACCAATTGCGTCACGAGATATCAGATCTCTTATTCAAACTCCGCCGGAAAATGTGATGGAGAAGCTTTCTCTCGAACACGACTCAGCTCTGGAACGCTCACCTCGCTCGAGTCATCAACCAGCGAAGAATACTGAGGTGAAAACTGGGGGAGATGCTGTTTCCTCGTCTCACGTACGATATATTTATCAGTGTTTTGGGATGGAATGAGTAACCACGTGCAAGAAAATACGGCAAAAAGTGGTTTCTTGCAGGGAAATAATTTTGATCTGCAAGAAATGCAAAGCGCTAGAAACTACGACCCGCTGCGAATACTTCATACGGCGCGTGGCTAGATGGCGCATATTTCTTGCACTTTCTCCCAGTTCCTTGCACTTTTTTTTTGCAGTTTCTTGCACTTTTTTGCAGTTTCTTGCACTTTTTTTGCAGTTTCTTGCACCTCGCATTTCTTGCATTTCGTGCTTGACAGCTATTTTGGCCTGCAAGAAATCCAAGGCGCAAGAAACTACTTCTCTCCCGCCATAATTCACCACGGCGCGTCGCTAGCTACCAGTTTCTTGCACCACATATTTCTTGCTTTGTAGTCCAAGAAATGTAGCAAACCCTCAACAAGAAACGAAACACTGCTACACACCATTAAAACAGTTTCCGGAACTTTTTGTTCAGAAATAACGATCTCCTTAATTATGTATGTAGGCCACCAGGAAGAAGACTCGAGTTAATAATAACGCCCAATCTCACGAAATCCCCCGAGGACGAAGTGGTTCTCAAAATCTGGCTGGATTGATGAATTTTCAGTCTTTACTAGAAATCCAATCTGCCAACGAAGGCCTACCTTCTTCTGTACGTATGCCCAATATTCATATTTATTCAGTGGCCGCGGAAGCTCGAGGGGACAATGTTCCCACGGTTATTCGATGTCCGCATCATCTCCCCATCTTATGTAAACCCCTCTCTCCCCCATCCTACCCTGTTAATGTCCTCCCGGCTTCCGCGGCCGCTGTATTTATTCTTGAAAGCAACAAACCAATCTGTTGAAAGGTTACTCCATATGCAAATTGGATCTGACTTGTTTCACAGAAAGAACGCGTAGCAAAACAGACAAAACCTGATTCTCAAAAGAGGAAAAGTCTCCCCGAAATGAAGCAAAAGCTTCTCCTTTCCGGGACTGAGATGCACGGAACGCTCCAACGTTCCGTCAAATCGATCGATCAAGCTGCAAAAATAGCTCAGAATCTGGGCAACTTGATGTCAAAGGTGGCCATGCAAAATGCTGCAAAATCCAACAATGACGCCTCATTAGACCAGCAAAAGAGTCTCAAATCCACTTCAACAATGTCGTCCCCTGCCGAATCGCAAAAGTCAATCGACCCCGAACTCAAGGATTTACTCCACCGAAATCCATACGCTCCACTAACCGAAGAAATTAGACGTAGAGCAGATCGATTAGCCGATGTGGTGGAACAGGCCGAAAGAAATCTGAAACTTCACGGAGCCGCGTTTGGAATCACGTCCTCGCCAAAAATACGGTCGCATGGAAATTCTCCGAGGAAAAATGATCAAAAGACGACTTCCACCAGCATGACGACGACATCGTCCGGAACTGATTTTGGTTTGCAAACGGAATCGCCCAGGATCATCAAGGGGACCATTGAACCACCAGGGGCAGAGTTTGAATTTGTATCAGATATGAGTTACACGGATCAATTAATGCTGAAAAAGCTGAGGGGTTTGAAGTCCTCGTGGGGTGAAAGTTAATTAGTTTGTAGATAGATTTTCGCACACAAAACAACTTTAATGAATGCTGCATAAAGACAATAAAAGTTTACTAATGGACCACGACCAACCAGTCGCATGTTTATTTAGTCGACTTAACGATTGTGGACAGCGACACTGACATATTAAATTTGCTAATCGATTCACTTCTGTTTCGAGCACCTATTGATTTTTTCAAGGTCATGCGTAGGTATGCACTTAGGTTTTTTTAGGTGTACTCAATTCTGTAGCGGTACATACATTATATTTGTAAATTATAAAATTGGTGTCCAACTAACTAACTGAAGATTTTCATAATTTAAATATTATGTAAATTATTTAAGTAACTTACACTAATCGATACTGACGTATTAAATTTAGGAATCGATACACTTGTGTTTCGAACACCTCACGTGTACATATGTTTAGACTGGGGTACTCAATTTTCGGATTTTTGTCTTTTTTTATAAAAAAATTTTGTAATTAAACACAAAATGGGTATCTCACTTACTGAACTTGTTTACAATTTATGCAAATTAAGTAACAATACAAATCTACTGTTTTTTGTCGTCTTCATGACCTCCATCTATTAATAAAGTTCATCTAGTGAATTGCACAATTTCTACCCAATTTGGCCATGCATACGCCGAAACTTCATTCCTGCAAAGACAAACGATCTTCTACAAAGGGGGAATATGTAGTTTTCGAAATTGCTTCCAACCTCCGATATTTGATCTCTCTCACTCATGAAAGTCAAAAGGTAATTGCTTTTTAACGGCGTGGAGCAAGGCCTGGGATGAAAATATCAACGGTCTGGTTGGACCAGGAGTACTTTCACTTCAAGGACTTCACTTTCACAGCCAACTATCTAGTAAAAAGCAACACGGACGAATAAACCCAACACAGAAATGGAAGGACCAACCGATGAATGCAATGATGTGCACGTTATATTCGCATTTCATCACCTCATGCAGAGCTGGAATCATAAATACGAAGTGCACCTTTGGGAGGAAAACTATTTCGCAAAAACTCATCAACATCACGCCATAACAGTTCAAAAAGAGGAAGGATATGATGCAGATGGTGGGTGACCAGTGGCCGCGGAAGGGTGTGTGGGGACAGAAGGACAATGTCCCCAGGGTTGTTCGATGTCCGCATCATCTACCCATGTTATATAAACCCCTCCTTCCCCTATGGTACAATGTTAATGTCCCCCCCCACAGCTTCCGCGGCCACCTAAAAGATGTTATATTTGCTAAGAGATACAGTCGCCGCGGAAGGGTGTGGACAGAGGGACAATGTCCCCAGGGTTGTTCGATGTCCGCATCATCTCCCCATCTTATATGGCCATCTTAAACCCCTCCCTCCCCCTTTTTCTGCAATGTTAATGTCCCCTGGTGTCCCACTGCTTCCGCGGCCACTGATGGTGACCTTTTATAATTAATCTCTTGTACCAGGGTTCGGAAAAACCCAGGGTTTTATTCAAAAAGTAACGACCCAGGGGTTTTAATGGGTTTTAATGGGTTTTTTGGGTTTTAATGGGTTTTATGGGTTTTATTGGGTTTTATTAGGTTTTACATAAGTAATACATTGAACAACAATTTTCACAACTATTGCAATCCAATTTCAGTTAATATGCAAATCCTCCTTGTCCATGTTAGAATTTGTATCCGTTTCGAAAGGGTCCTATTTAACTGATCATAGTTTAATACTTTATGAGACCATAATTACCAGAGGGCGGATATGTATGTATTTCTAACTTTTTCATTCCCAATCAGATCTTACTAAAACTTCGTATACTCACATCCCATCGAAGCATGATTTCAAAAATTCAGACATGGTTTTCCATATTTTCCATATTTTAGAGTTTTCGTACATATATATATTTTCGTACATATACATATTTTCATACATATTTTGAGGTTATTTCGTAAATACACATATTTTCGTACATATTTCGAGCCCTTTTCTAAATATCAATATTTTAATGCATATTTCAGGATTTCCTGAGGAAAAAATATTTTTCTTCTTTCAGACGTTAGAGTTGGATAAAAATTGTACTTTCATGATAACGGAGTTTAATTCGTGTGAACGACTAGCAAATCCATTTTGCCCCATTTTTCAAGTCATAAAATTACCCCTGAAAATCTCTAAATACGGCTAATGTCGTTTTATGAGTCATTACATGAATATTAAAATACTATACATAATAATTCATTAATAAGAGTGTTACAAATTTGAAACTTTTCGAAAATTAAATGTAAATATAGTAGAAAATTTCGGTTGAAAAATATGTTTTACGTGCATATTTTCGCGTCTTTTAAGTACATATTACATACATATTTTGAGGAACATAAGTACATACATATCCGCCCTATGATAATTACATATATTACCTTTTTCTCGAATACTTCCTCTCATCATAATGAAATGCAAGTTGTTTAAAGGTTTTTAAAATTTAATGTTTCAATGCGATCTTAACGTGTATTATAAATTCTGGAAAAAATCGAGTACTTATGAACAACGAAAGCACAAAGCACGTATGTATTACGATCGAGAATATAATAAGTGTTTTTTTTTACAGATATACTCTTTTGCTCATAATAAAGTACTTCGTTGTCCATAAGTACTCGATTTTTCAAGAGGTGATAATTAAGATCGCTTTGAAACATTTTAAAAAACTTTACAAATTAAAAACATACTATAGTATTTTGTTTAATTTATTCGCTGAGATGAGAGGAAGTATTCGGGAAAAAAAGTATTAATTATGATGGCAGAATGTATTAAATTATGTATGATCAGTTAAACATACCTCGTTCCGAAATTAATTTTGTGTATTTTTTGTCACTTGAAACCTGTAATGGTAAGGGATGTCCCTGATTTATTCCTGGTTTTCAAAACTTACAGTATTAATCAAAGAAACTACTTAGCTCTCATCAAACAACTTCGTCTAATGTATGACAGCTGTTTTCAGCTTTTAGAATATAGTTTTAAGCTAAAACACAGTTAAAACCCATTAAAACCCTAATAAAACCCATTAAAACCCAAATAAAACCCATTTAACATGGTAAAACTCGTTGGGTTTTATTCATTAACAACCCATTAAAACCCATTAAAACCCAAAAAACCCAACCCAATAAAACCCTGGGTCGGAATACCCTGTCTTGTACACCCATCAGTGCGATACGTAGGTTCAATATCGGATTAGCTTATTGGTGGAGGAATCGTCATATGAAGTTCATTTCTCTTACGAAACTAACCCAATTAAAGTGATCGAACTAAAGAAATAAGAGCTTCTTGCATAAGTTCAAAATTCTTTTACGACTCGAGCGAGGAGAAAGTGCAACCTGATTGCGTCACGTTTCAGTAGTTGACATTTGCAAGTTGAAAAAAAGAAACTGGAGGACTTTCTAATGAGAGATGTGCTGGTGGGGTGAAACTCTAAGCGAAGACTTTATTAGTTGGTCTGTCTGTCTGTCTGTCTCTCTGTCTGTCTGTCCGTCGGTCAGAAGGGTAACGGGAGATCTAGATAATCCAGATCGATTTGCGGCATTATACATCTGACCCCAGGGGGAGGATCTTATTAAATTTCGGGGTGAATTCGACCACCCCCCTCGGAGTCGGTCACTATCTTTGGGGGGGAATTACGTGTTTCACCCCATCGCTACATTTCGTTTCCTCCGGTTTATTTCATGTTAGTCATTTTTTCATCCGTAAAATCTTCTTACCCGATTTAGAAGAGGATTTCGTATCCACACGATTTTCGCTTGCACATGGAAAATAGGAACGTAAATTGGTATTAAACTTGAAAAGATTGTCCTTTCGTGTCCATCACTAAGCTCTTAATTCAATTTACATTGACTTTGAACAACAAAATTGCTCTTCGAACCGTTAATGGTGATGTACGAAACCGGACCACAGAGCTGGACGAGCATTGACATGTCTTTCACTCCTCTGAAAGTGTCCTCCATGGAACAGTGGCCGCGGAAAGTGTCGGGACATGTGGGGACATTAACATTGTAGGATAGGGGAGGGAGGGGTTTATATAAGATGGGGAGATGATGCGGACATCGAATAACCGTGGGGAAATTGTCCCTCGGTCCCCCACACCATTCCGCGGCCACTGTTTTGATACAAAATCACCATCAGAAGCACTATCTATGTAGTTACCCTCTCGCATCTCTCCTAGCACGACAAGCCCAGGCCTTGACACTGACCAAATTGCAAAGTCAACTAGCTATCACTCAACGTGCGCTAAATTGTTAATTGTCAACAAACGAGAGAGAGCTTCTATCCCAACACATCAATCAATTTGCCACCTTTGCCTCGTGCATTGGTTTTCGATCCATAGGACAAAAAAACATACTTCTGTTTCTGCATGTATATTTACTCTGCAAATTGTTCTGGTGGGTGGGTGGTGGGAGTCGCATGAAAAAAGTAAACAGAATGATTACAGATATTTTTTTTATCGTGGGAAAGGAAAATTACTTCTGATCGGAGGTTATCTAGACTTATCGGGATTAGTCCAACAACAGAATGGACGTACGTATTTATGTTACAGGCTGGCTATGTTATGGGTTCAGTGGCCGCGGAAGGGTGTGGACAGAGGGGCAAGGTACCCACGGTTATTAGATGCCCCCATTATTCCCCCGTCTTATATAAACCCCACCCTCCCCTATCCTCCCTTCAATGTTAATGTCCCCACGGCTTCCGCGGCCACTGTCTACAGGTTTATTATTACGTCCTCATTACACGCCCATCTAGAACCACGCCAAGTTTCATTTGTTTAGCAACAGGAACACTTCCCGACGGGTGGTTAATTGACGAGAGGAAAATGAAACGTCGCGTACATCCATACACGCAGACAAATATGTACTTAGGTAGCTCTCTTATAAGAAAAAATACTAGGAAATAACCAGAAAACAAGGGTGACATATCCTTCCATATTATTGACACTGGTATGACGCAAATCTGAAAATCTTTCCTAGTTTTTACACCAAACAAAAACAACAACAACAACGATTACGAACACTTTGATAAAAGCACGCACGAAAGTGACTCAACTAATATAACAAAATTTGGCATGCATGCAAGTGCAGTAATGCACTCTTAGCAAACTGGTATTAAATCATTACTGATCGGAGTACGTATACATATATATGACTCCACTGGCACGGTAATAACGGGCATTACCGTGCAGTAATGTTGTAGTAATGAAAAATTTACCATTAAAAAACAAACTGCTACAAATCCGGTGGGAAGTTATTACCAAATCAATACCGGTACAGAGTAAATGTGTGACTTCACCACATTGTTAACATTGGTAATAAAACATTTTCCACTAAGAAACAAACTATTACCAAGCCGGTAAGAAGTTATTACCAAATCAATACCAGTACGGAGTCTGCATGTATGTGACTTCACAACATTTTTAGCAGGGCAATGTTGCGATAACGAAAAATTTACCATTAAAAAACTAACTATTACCAATCCGGTAGGAAGATATTACCAAATCAATACCAGTCCAGAGTATAAATGTAACTCTACCAGATTCTTGCCATTTTATGAACATGTACACATTTATTTATATACATACACAACATAAATTTCCTGGAAATGATGATGCCCAGAATAAGACAATTTCCAGCCAGCCAGGTGAATGTGAGCGTGATAAAAACGGGATCAATACGGAAGACTACGTGTGTCTGTTGACAGGAGGGATGAATCACTCCATAAGACGACTAAGGATAAGATGGGATCCGTAACTGTCTCACTAATTGAAACCTAAACCCACCAGCAACCACAAAAGCTTTCTCCGATCCTTTCACATACACGAGTGACTCTTCTTCTGCCCTCATGCTTCCTGCCTGCCTGCCCTCGCTCCGATAACGTCATTACATCGCACCGCCTTGACAGAACAATGGACAAGTTTAGGCCGTTTTCTTCTTCACTGTGTCTTCTCCTTACAAGAACGGTGGTAGGCTAAAAAAGGTGCAGAATCGGTAGAGCGTTAAGCTGGATAGATAGGTTGCAATAACAAAATATGTACTGATAAGGGAGGTCTCCCAGCGTATGCGCTCAGATTTTGGGCAAACTAGTGTCAATCGATGACAAGTTTAATTAGTATGAAATTTGGAAACGACACGATCTCCCAATGGGCACGTTTGGTAGAGATATTTGCATCCGAAGAGGAGAAAACGTGCAGTAAATTTGGAAAGTGTAAAATTTGTCGCCTTTAAGGCGCGTTTTCTCCTCTTCGGATGCAAATATCTCTGCCAAACGTGCCCATTGGGAGATCGTGTCTTTCGCAAATTTCATACTAATTAAATTTGTCATCGATTGACACTAATTTGCTCAAAATCTGAGAGCATACGCTGGGAGACCTCCATTGCCAGCTTGAAGGGTCAGCTATCTGGCAAAGGTGCATCAGCACAGAAGTGGTTGGTTACTGTATATACATGTGTAAGTCCTGGGAGAAAGTGTGCTCGATGTTGTGTGCGCATCATCTCCAGGCACAAAAAGGAGAACCCAACTAAACTAAACTGGGAGAAGTTTGAGAACAAATTTCACTCCGAAATCATCTCTCCGCTTGCTCACTTCTCTCCTTTTCCTCAGCAGAGCGAATAGTTCCGAGTTTTCCTCGTAGCCAAGTCACTTATTGAGTCAGCCAACTTTCTCCAAGAGAGAAGTAGGGCGAAGAGAAAGAAAAGTAACTTTCGTAAGAAAGATATCAAGCAAGTTGACCGCATAAAAGTTGCACGGGGAAAATATTCTGAACTAGATCTGTCCAGTCGATTCATCCTCTTTTTCAGCCCAGAGAGAGTGAGTCGAGTCTCTGGTGGTCTTTTTATTGCACCAATCGACCCCAATTCATACATTACTTGTTGCCACTACGGACTTCCTGGAAGTAAAAGTTTTGTGCGTCGTTTCCTTGCATGTCTCACCGTGATTTGTGCATATTTATCGTGGGAGTGAGAGTTTAGGAGTAAATTGGTGTCATAAATTGCGTGTTTGAGAGGAGAAAGTACTATATATTGGGCTGATTTAGTATTACTTTGTGTACATTTTGGCACAGTATGTAAATGAGGCAAGAATTACTGCTAAATACATTTACAAACAGATTGATTAATAACGCATTTTGAATAGTTACTACTTTGTCCATATTTTGACACGGTATGTAAATTACGACATTTAAGAAAGCAAATTGATTAGTTAGAATTCAGTAAAAACAACTTAAGAAAACGAATTGATTAAAGATACCCTTAGAATTCCGGATAAGATCTTATCAATGAAAAATATGGAGCGAATCAGAGCCCGACCGATTGTTAAACAGTTTCGGCGAGGGTTTAGAAAGCCGTCGATAAAAATCACCGTTTCGGCCGACACTCCTCCCGAACTTTATAATAATTCGTCCCCGGCAAGGACACCTTCTCCACAAACGGTTATCAAAAGGGTGTTGACCTTTGGCCCGGGTCCGGACGGGATTCAGTACGACGACGAGAATAATGACGAGGCTTTCACTCGAATCACGGTGGATGACTCGGTCGTGGACTTTCCGAATTGTGTAGACTTTGGGATCAAGGACTTTCTCTGTTATAAAGATGAGGTAAGGATTTTGTGGAGTGGGTGCACGTACGTACGTAGCGTACAAATGCAAATAAACAGGAATGACGACACGTAATAAATAAATACGCATTTGTATGTACATAAAAACGTACAAGAGTTTACAATCTCAAAGTATGTATACACTCTTAGAAATTCGGTATTAAACTAATACCAAGCGGTATTCATAATGTATATGACTCTACCAAATATCTAAGTAATACCCTGTAAGAATGGCTCATCGGTATTAAAATTTTGCCGTATCAGAAGCAAATTTTTACAGACCTGTATAATTTTAGTATCAAGCGGTAGCAACTTTAATACCGAGAAATGGATACCTGCCTGACTATACCAGATTTATAACAGTGTAGAAATCCAGAATTAACCTAATACCAAGTGGTATTCATATATTTATGACTCTACCAAAGTGGTATTGATTGATAAGTAATACCCTGTAGGAATTGCTCGGTATTAAAGTTTTACCATTTCGGTAGGGAATTTTTACGGACCAGTATACACAATTTTAATACCAAAGGGTAGCAACATTAATACCTAGAAATCAATGCCTTCCTAATTTTACCAGATTTCTAACAGAGTGCACGTTACAGCTACATAAGTTCGCTCCTGTCAACTTATCCTTTCTAACTTTCTCAAAATACGGCCCGATAAGCTTTGTCCGCACAGACACCGACAAAGCTTATCATTCCTGTCCTACACATATTTTGATAATACTAACTTATCTCTCTTCCCTATTCCGCAGATCGACCTCGAACTCTCCAGCGACGACACGAGCTTCCTCGAAGCCACGCCACCCCATCGCTTTTCCGATTCCGAGCTAGAAAGTCAAATCGAGATTATGTCCATCACTCTGGACAACGTGTTAAACCTCTACCCAAAAAGATCGAGCTTCTCCAAAGACGACAACTTCACCTTTGACCTTCTCCGCCTGGAGAATCAAATGATATCCGACATCGACCAGGACGACACGCGGCGTCGTTTTGAGGATGAAAACGCGGCCAGAATTCGAAATTTCAGTATCACCACGACCACCACCAGCGCCGCCGGGGGGAGACGGTTGCCCCCACCGCCGCGCCCCTTCCGCCGCAACATTTCCCTACCCGCCTCCATCTTCATGTCGTATCTCATGGCGGAACAGAATTTCAAAAATAAAGAAAAACGCACCAGTCTCCAACAGCAGCCCAAAGAATTCTTCACCAATGAACGATTCAGTTCGAGAAAATTGACCAAAATTGATGGAAGTTATTCCTCCAATGAATCCACCGAGGCGGAAGAATCAACCAGTCCGATAAATGATACCGGAAATAACGAGGAAATTGATTCTTCCTCCATGGCGGAGGAGAGTGAAAGTGGCGATTCAAGAAGGGGGGGAGGAGCGGATACCCCCCTTTCCGCGCAGAATGCCGACCTGGGCGCGATGATTATGAGTGGCGCGGAATCCGGGGAGGAGGAATTGGACCGGGAGGATGAACAGGCTCAACAAGCTTTCACTTCGGATATTGAGAGAAAGTCGTTGGTCTTGAGGTACATGAGGAAACTCGTGAGGCAAGATACCTCAGGGAATTTTGCTCCGCCGGATTATTGCATTTGAATGAAAACCTGGATATTTTTATGATTGGATGTGTCTAATGGGTGATGGAACGAGGAATCAGGTTTTGGAGTTTACACTCTTAAAAAAAATGTTACTATTTTGAAAAGTGAATCCACTCCGAATTCGGAATTTAAGCAAATTATGTATACTAAATCTAGAGGAAACTTTACTCTTTATTAACAATGCGATGGTGTGAAGTGTAACCCTCCGATTTGGTTGAAATTTCGAAGTTATGTGGTCCATGTCAATACAACCAACGTTTCTTCAGGCAGTTTGTGCGATGGTCAGAATTTGGCAAAATATTTGAGGTTAAAGTTGAAAAATGTGCAATTTTTAGCACGGGAAGAGGATGGAAGTTGAGTTTGCTTCATCCGCCTGTTAAAAATCGCCCGTTTTTCAACTTTGACCTCAAATATTTAGCCAAATTTTGACCATCGCAGAAACTGCCTGAAGAAACGTTGGTTGTATTGACATGGACCACATAACTTCGAAATTTCAACCAAATCGGAGGGTTACACTTCACACCATCGCATTGTAAGTTAAAGTTACTCTGGATTTAGTATAACTAGTTTAATTAATTCAGATTTTAGAGGGAATTTACCTTCCAAAAAGGTAAACTTATTTTTAAGAGTGGTCTGAGTAAACGAAATTGCGAGAATAAGTGTATCGAATGATCGACTTATTTATTTCTTGATTAAATTGAATGTGTACCTCGACAACGTGTAGATATTTTTGTGTGATATGTAAGCAACCAGATTGAAAATGTGTATACATATTTAAACCCAGGATAAGTTTGCAATATTGTATTATCGAAATACATATATATCAGGTTACGGATTTGCACCAGAGATTTGCACCCAGTATTTAATACATACTTAATATGACCCAATTTATTACACTGTTAACAATAATGTTACTTTTTTGAAAAATATGTAAATGCACTCTTAATTTTATATTAAGAGAACTGTACAAAATCCAGACTAAACTTTACTCTTTATCAAGTTAACGTTATACTCTGGGTTTTGTATAGTTTGATTAATATTGAATTTAGAGTATAAATTTTAGACTAGAGATTTAAGTTAATTAATTTTTAATACCATACATTAATGGACGGCATGACTGATCAAAGCACTTTGAATAACTGCAACCATGTACCGAATTGTTATTCAGATAAGATGAATAAATACACAAGTTTTGTTAACATTATTTGTAAATTTGGTGGTTTGATTTTTGTTAAAACAATGTTGTAAATGTTTATGAAAATGTATAACTAGAACTTGATTTGATGTTTTCCTACCTACGTATGTACTTATCTAAATATAAGCGTTAAATATTCTGTACACAACAGGGTTCAGATTTTGTCATCTCCGATTAATTAATTTGCTTACCGAATAAAAAAGAGATGAATGAAAATGAAAATTCTATCGTTTTTCCCCTCTGAATTATGCAACTGATTCCATATGATTAAAATTCAGAAGATGAGGCGAAGATTCAAATTTTGTAAGAGTTGGTATTTTAGACGTGCATCCATAAGATCTTCATGACCCACTTCCGACGCCCACCACCACGGAATGAATATGAATTTCTGACTTTGTTGTTATCTTGCAGGTGCAGAAATGTCATAACTTTTTATTCACGAGAGTATTATTGTGAGCCAGAGAAAATTTTTTTTTATTTCCGTTGAAATAAGATTGAGATTTCCGGAGACGTGGTTAAATAATTAATTAAAGGAGAAATGCAGTGGAAGATGTGCACACGAGACATTTTGCCAAATTGGTTTTTCATAAGACGCTTACTTAGCTTATTACATTAGGAAGGCTTACCTTTCAACCTACGCTACCAGTGGCCGCGGAAGGTGTGGGGACATGTGGGGACATTAACATTGTAGGATAGGGGAGGGATGGGTTTATATAAGATGGGGAGACAAATGAGGACATCGAACAACCGTGGGGACATTGTCCCTACTACGCTTCCGCGGCCACTGGTAACCAGGACAGTTACTGCTACTGCTACTATAAAGAAAATGAGTCCCAACTTCATCGTATCTGTGAAAAAATATAATTTTTTTATACATTTTTTTGACCCAAAAGTCCATAATCCTCGTTGAATGGGGGGCGGGGGGATTACGTGTCAACCTTGACGACTCGATAAGAATTACATCCATGTCTCTGACATTTGATATAATCTTAGATAAGTCTCTCTCTCTCTCGAAATACTTATTTTGAAATGAGTGACCTTTCTTTAATGACATTTGAAAAAATGTGTGTCCTGGTAAAAGCAACCAAGTTAAGTATTACATCACTAATGAAAATCTGACGTTGACAAGGTGGGTTGACTGACTCTGATAAAAGTAAAAGTTTGTTGTTGTAAAAGAAAGTCCTTCTCGTGGGCACTCTAAATCTTGAGTTACATAAGAGGAAGAAAAAGCTAATTGGATTAAGCGATAGTTTTCGTAGAAAAAAAGAACGAGGAAAAGTTTCGTCTTAATGTTTGGACTTTAGGTATTTGTCACTATTTGAAATTCAAATTTTGAATGCAATTCATTATCAAGAAAAACGTGTAAAAACATTTTTTTTTAAATTGGTCGTTAATTTTTGAAAAATCTGAAGATTTTCTCTCATACTATTTGCATGAAATACATATTGCATGAAAAATCGTACGAAAACTGGGAGGAAATGGAAAGTTTGAGTAGGTCTTATCTTACATTTCTGTAGTAGTGAGACTAATTTTAGTTGTTTTTATTTGCGTCTAATTCTTATTTTATGCAATTTATTGGCACATTTAGGAAAAGTAATTTTATGGATTTTCGAAAGGAAAATTATGGTTTGATCGTGCCGAATTTTTGAACTTGGAATCTGCAAAATTAAATTTTTTTATTAATTTTAAAAATAAAAAAATAGTTCTAAAAAAGTTGCATTTATTTTGTATGTAAACTCATTTATTTCATGAAATAGGTGATTTTTACTCTAACAATACATACATAAATGTCAATAATAATTTAAAGATTTGTCAGTGTGTGAGAGGAGGAGTGAGTCAAAAATCGTTCATAAGTAATTGTACATACATTCTTAAATATTTAAAACTAGGGTTAAATGTAATTACAACGTTTTCGTACCTAATATTTTAATTATTTGATCTATCTATAATATAATATGTACTTAATATTCTTCAGGAGATTTTTATTTTATATACATACATTTTTTATTTAGTAGTGAATCACAATGTAAAGGATTATCTGCTAGAAAACCCTTTCCTTTAATTAATTATTATGTAAATATTTAGAAATTGTACATATAATAATTTATTTAATTTGCATTTTTATTATATTGATGTATGTAGCATGTATAAAAGTTTGATTAAGAGACTTATGAACGCATTATGTAAATGCGTACAAACTAACATGGATAAGACAAAACATTCCTTATGTCAGTATTTAGTAACGCTTGATTTTTTTTGCTTATCAAGATTATGTGTTATCATAAAGTGTAGCACATGGTATTTCTATGTATTTTATTAAATTGTGTAATATATGTATTCTTATTTATTTTACATGATATCAAATTGTCGTATTAGTCACGTTTTTATGAAATTGAACTTTATCGAAAAACTTTTCCACTCTTGTATTTTGATGGCACGCTGAAGTTTCTTTTCCAAATTAAGTAATTAAATATAGAATAAAGTTGATAAAATATACCGTAAATCGAATAATTATTACAGTTTGGCAGCTCTTCTAAATAATAATAATAATATGCGTGTTTACATACAATCAATCTCTCTCAGCTCTTTACAAAAAAACTCAATCTACGACAAAAATTATGCTTTCTTCGTTAATATATTAACAAATAAAAATTTCTAAAATTAAGTAACAACAGGGCAAAATATGTAAATCTGCGTGAGAGAAAGTCTTTCTATAAAATTTTACTAAACTATAAAACTCCAAAAAAATAAAATAATGTAAATTTTAAACTTCTGTCCCATCATCGCCCGCAATTGCGGTTGAGGGATCATTAATTTTTTCGGGGGGTGTAGTAGTGACGACCCCATTTGAAATTTCTGCAGGATTTGCATTTACATTTTTCTTCACCGGCTTTGGAGGCGGTTTGGGTGGAACTTTCTTCCCCTTCGTGGGACTAGATCCCCTACTGCCGCTCGGCGTCGGAGTCCTATCAGTCTTAGTGCTGGGTTTATGCTTATCAGAGGGTGTGCTTATCGGTGCTTCCTCATCATTGTCCACCTCCACCGGCGAAGAGATGTGTTCCACCTCCTGAATCGGAGCAAAGTGGGAGATCGGTTGGCCTAACATGGATGGCGTGGGGGTTGACCTGAGGACATTGTGGCGCCCCAAAGTTCCCCCGATTAAACCCGGATGCGGGTGAAAATTGGGCGTCGAGGTGCCACCATTACCCGGTAAATTATCCAGGGAAAGTCTCGAACTCCCATCCGCCGTTGTTCTCGGTCCTAAATTATCATATTTCGGTCTCGCCTTCACAAACGGGAGGGAAATCGTGGCCGCGGAACCGGTCGGACTTGGAGGCCCCATTGGACTAGAAGCTGGGTCAAAGTTGGACGACGGACCGGGCGACCAACTCGGAACTCTGTGTCGTCTTGGCAGCGTCACATACCCGGGTCGCATCCCCGCCGGGACGAAGGCGGGTTGTTCCGCGGGAGAAAAGGGAAGTCCGAACGAGGGGCGGCCGCCACCCCCATTTGAATATATCGCTTGCGGGTGATTATACCCGAGACGGCTGGGATTTACGACGATTGACGGGTTTAATCCTTGCGGCGTTATCAACATCCGGGTAGAATCGGGCAGCGTTGATGTCGTCGAGGGTGCCGGGGATTCTTGAAATCGGGTGTGAGGAAGGTCCAACAAGTCGGGATATTCGGAGGACGGGCCGCCCCCGTGAGGTCCGCCGGTCAGCGCGTGTGACGGCGGGGGTGGGGCCATCATCTGAGCGGAGGAGGGGCGGTAGACGGACCCGTTTTCACCCGGGTAGGGGGACGAAGTGATGATATCCACCGATTGGGATCGCGCATCCGGTCCGACAAGATATTTTTCTTTCATTAAGAGCATCGTGGTTCCATCTTCGTCACCAACTTTTCCGGAACCCGGACTTCGGGATGAAGGCGTCAGGAGGAGTTGGCGTTGGTTCGGCTGGTCTTCGCCCTGTCGATAATTATTAAAATAATTATTAGATTGTGGGAATCATCATGGTCACAGAGAAAGTAAAAATAGTGGAGAAAGTTGCTTAAATTCTGGGCATGCAGAAAGACACAAAGAAAGAAAATAAGTACGTAATGAGGAGCAAGAGAACGAAATGAAAGCATTCATATATTCATTAAAGTGGCATCAATGAACTTCTCAAGGTTCGCAATCAATTATGCAGCACAAGACACATAACACGTGTACAGAACAAAATGAGGCTTTCTGGTCGAAAAACCGTCAGTAGCCGCGGAAGGTGTGGGGACATTAATATTGTAGGATGATAGGGGAGGGAGGGGTTTATATAAGATGGGGAGATGATGCGGACATCGAACAACCGTGGGGACATTGTCCCTCTGTCCTCACCCTTCCGCGGCCACTGGTCACTGATTGAATACATAAAACCATAAACTTAATAACACCCAATTTCGACTATTTCGAGTCATGCAAGGCAACGAAATCATCATCAACTAATTTAGTCCGCATTATTACTTGCAAAATAAGGGTCGTGTTATTATTAATCTTTTGCAAATGAATGAATACATAAAACCAAATATTTGAGGTGAGTTACACAGCAAAACCATAAACTTGTATATTAGCAAATCTTATAAATAGCGGTGGTATTATGTGTATCATAATTTCAATCTCACATCCAATCGAAGGCGGCCTCCCGTAACAGAGCTGACTCCAATTTTGTCTAATTAGAGGATTAATATTTAACTGGCCCTGTATCGATTTCACCCCCAAATTGTTCCTCAAATGTGTTGATGAAAAAAGTGAAAAAGCCGATTTTTCAACTCCACTCCCTCCACGTGTCAAGTTGTCAACTGAGGAAATATCCATCCATCCCGTCAACTCAACCTGTCATCATTCCTCTTCCCCCCTCCCTCCTGTCCCGGAAATGGAGAAAGTAGCAACAGAAATTTCGCCTGTTGGGCAATATTTGTGTGTATATTGAATAAAGGTTTTTATCGTCATTAAACCGGACCTGGTTTTGGAATCTTGATCGTTTTAGATGAGGTTGTGATGTGTGTTTGGTAAACAAGCAACATAGCAATTAAGTTAATCACATAGTCCGCATTCCGTTTCTCAACTCTCCTCCACCCCTCCCCCTCCGCCCGTCTGGGTTTCCTTTGTTATCTGATTTTGTGTCAAAATTGGCTGCTGACTGCTCCTTGACTCCTCTTGATCCCCGCATTTCATTGAATTATTTTCCCTTTCTGAACAATTATTATGTTTTTGTTGTTGTTGCTCAAAAGCACGCGTATTGTACGATGAACTTGAGCCACTTGGCGACTGCTGCTGTTGTGCCGATGATAAATGAGCTGCCTTGTCGACGAGCGGGTTATAATTGCAGGAGAGGGTTGCATACGTCGTCAAATCGCGTTGCGGCGGTGGGGGCGGGACTTTCTCCGGTAATCGCATGCTTCTCGAGATCGAGGCGTAATTACTGGGACAGAAGGAGTGCACTGGAACCAGGGAGGAAGGCGGGGAGGGAATTTGACACTCGGTCGTGCGACTCATAACGACGAGATTGTCGTTTTCGAAGCGGGTGGATTTTTCATTGTTTTGGGGGTAGGGGGAATTATTATTGTGGGGGTGGACGTGGGGGTGATGGTGGTGACCATGATTTTGTTGTACATAACCCCCACAACAATGCTCGTATTGTTGCTGCATGTTTGTACAGCAGGCCGTATTTCTTGACGGTCCAAACTGCAACGGGGGTGGTAGCACGATCTCTTTTTCGTCTGCCTGCTGCGACACGAGAATCATCTCTGCCGAGGGATTATTGTAAGGCGAAGGATGATGGTGGTGATGGTGAAAGTATGTTGTTCCCGAGTTCTGTGAAGATGGTGTTACCGGGTCTAAAACCCCGATTCGGGAGCCCGGCGAGGAATTAGAGGGAGGATGCAGTTCTATCATTTCATGGTGAAAGATGGGTTGATATTGACCAGAAGAATCACAAAATGTGGAAGACGACGAAGGACCATTCGAGGTGGAGTTGGAGGAATCTTCCCGTTGAAACGTGCACCTGGTCGGCCTTCGGGTGTAAGTTCCCCCCATTCCGCCCCCGCCCCCACTATTCGCCGGGGAATTATTTGTACAATGCATCGGATTAATGCGATATGTGAGCTCGACATCGGCGGAACACGGGACCGTGACGGATTTCCCGTGCCGCCCAGTCTGCGCCAGGGAGGAAGTGGGGCACGGGGGATGAGTTTGCGACTGTTGGTGATGCTGCTGCTGGTGGGATGAGGGACTGGAGGATGCGGAGTTTCTCAAGTGCTGAAGGGATGAGGGGGGAGGGTCTCCGCCCGAAGAAAATCGGGGCGTGGGGGCTGAGGACGTGGGGGAATCGCGAATTTTTGTGAGTTGGGGGTCCAACTTGGAGGATTTCGAGGATGTGGACGAGGACAGGTTGGGGCACTCGATGTACCCCGATCCTCCACCGTTCAGCTTGCCATCATTCTAGAAAAAAGGGAATGACAGGATAAAAACATCCCTGGAGAGAGAATTCCGCCGCTCTTAGCTTTTCCATTAGAACACAACTCTTCTGTCTCCTCTGTGTCGTGATGTGAAGTCTGTGCGCCAATCAAGGATGGGGGGGGGAGAGAAGCAAAAACAAAGCGGTATACGTATTATGGGGGGCTTTCTTCACCTTTTTTGAGCTATTATGGAGGGAAATATAGGGTACAAAGTGAAACTAGGAGGACATTGTTTCGGATTTGCTACATTTCTTGCACCAATGTAAGAAAGGTTGGGTTACCAATGTAAGAAATAAGCACCATCTAGCCATGCGCCGCATCAAGTATGCGCGGCGGAGAATAGCATAGTTTTTGCAGGTCAAAATACCTGCTAGAAACCACTTTCTTTTCATTGTTTCTTGCATTCAGTGTTTCGTTTCTTGCAGATTTGATACATTTCTTGCAGTGCAAAGCAATAAAATGCAAGAAACTGGGAGAAAGTGCAAGAAATATGCGCCATTTAGCCATGTGCCGTATGAAGTATTTACAGCAGCGGGGCGTCATTTCTTGCGCCTAGCATTTCCTGCAGGTCAAAATATTCCCCTGCAAGAAACCACTTTCTCTCCGTTATTTCTTGCAAACGGTTACTTTCACCTGAACGAAACACTGACAACTCGGACAAGAAATCATGTCATTAAACTTGACAAACTCGGTTACAAAAGTTAGCCTATATCCACTCCACTCCTGCCCTGGATTGGACTGGATGTCCCGAGACAAAACGGTTAAGCAGGTATGTAGGTAATATATCTAATAACCCGCTTTAGAGTGTATCACATTACGGCATGATTGCGTTACGTTGAACGAACGTCCATCTGAATCTTTCAAGTGTTCGGGAATGGGACGATGGGACTGGAAAAGTTTTACTTACAGATCAATCGCCACTGCTGCTCCGGATGGGTGAATGCTTTGAACTTTCACCCACTTCAACTTCATGCACATTACTCATTCTCTCAATATGCTAACAACCATATTTATTAGGATGAAGATCAAAGTGCCAAATCCAAACTGTGCTACACCGTACTCAGAATCGTCTCCTTTCTCCCAGAAGGGGTGACGTTACAGAAGTGGCCGCGGAAGCTGTGGGGACATTAGCATTCCAGGGGTTTGTACAAGATCGAATCGAATAACCGTGGGAACATTGTCCCCCCCTGTCCACAGCTTTCCGCGGCCACTGTGTCACTCTGACGAGAGCTTGTCTGCTGTCCGTGTGACGGTGTCATTGCGAATAAGTGGGTGCACACATGCTCATGATCGTGCATTGATTTTGCGTCTCTAGCTAAAATATTTACTCTGCATAATCCCCTCGTTCCTTGGTCACATGCTTCCTTTCCCCACGCGCTGCACTGCCTGAGATAATCGCCCTTTGGAATGTGCATGCATCGATATTTAGCTAAAAATACCAACCTGCTGAACTTTTCTGGGTGGTGTGGGAACGTCCACGTATTACGTTAGAAGAAAAAAAAAGATTTTTAGACTACCCTTCCACCCCTTTCCTATCAGACTCCTTTTAAACTGGACATGAGCACGTGACTACGAAAGCCGTGGGGACAGGTGGGGACCTTAACATTGTAGGATAGGGGAGGGCGGGGTTTCTATAACATGGGGAGACGATGGGGATATCGAATAACCGTGGGGACATTGGTTGTCTGTTCACTCGCTTCCGCGGCCACTGAACACTAGTAAGATACACGACCCTAAACCACCCTCCCACCTTTTTGATAACGTAATATATGGACGTCCCCTTTACGCAAATATGAATCTTAACCGAATCACGTTTTTTTTAAATGAGGGAAATACTAATACATCAACTTAAAACTTAAATCATGCCAACAATTCCGTTCTACAGCGAAAACCATAAGAGAAAGTAAAACAAAAGGAAAAGCGTGTTTTTGTGACATGACACTGGGCATTTGGTGATTGAGAAGAAGGGGAAAGACGAGTTTATAACAGATTTTTAGCCGAGATATTGAAGATTTTGTGGAGATTTACCTTGAGATCTTGTGCTCTGGTTGTTTTCACGCGTCTTCTCCGCGAACAAAAGCAGACGAGAGTGATCAGCGTGGTGGCAAATACGAGAACGGCGAGGGTAGTGATGAGAATCCAGATCCTGTGGAGGTTTCATGTGTGATAAGTATACTATCTTTTTATTACTAACAATGGAGGTCTCCCAACGTATGCTCTCCGATTTTTTTGGAAAATTAGTGTCAATCGATCAAAAATTTAATAAACCGTAGTAACGTTAGAAGTAGCTCACCCTGCAATAATTTGAATATCACTTTGCACCAATGGTGCCGAATTAGCCGACAAAATATGTGCATAAGCATTTGCAGGGTGAGCTAATATAGTTTTGATTTAAATTCGGACCAAAGGTGCTGAATAACCGCAAGTATAAAATTTATATGTTTTAGCATCAATGGTGCAGAATAATGGAACAAATAGATGTAGAATTTTCAAAAAATTTTGCAACAATGGTGCAGGATAATCAGGTAGAATACCTAAATACAGGTCATGTAGTTTTGCACCAATGGTGTAGAATAAGGCGACAAAATAAATATCCAATTTTGACATAATTTAAATTTTTAGCCCGAGTCAGGGCTTATGGAACCATCATGTCCGTCCGTCCGTCCGTCCGTCTGTCCGTCTTACGATAACTCTCGTTAAACTCATCCTATCGACTTGAAATTTGCTACACATGTAGTATGGGGCAAATGAGGAGTTAAGTTCGAAGATGGGCGAAATCGGTCAAGTGGTTGACCAGTGGGGGTCATATAGGTGGATGGGGTATTATGCATCAAAATTTCAAAATTGTCATAGAAGGCAGAAATTTGGCACTGAGGTTGCTAATGGTGTCTAATGAAAGAGTATGAATTTAAGTTTTAAAAAATTTTATTTTGAAAGACCCTAGGGGGTGACCCATACTGATTTGTCAAAATCGTCATATCGAGTTGAAATTTGGTAGATAGGTTGCGTATGGGGTTTAAGGAAGAACATTAAATGAAATTGGTCAAATTTTTTATCTGGAGGGACCCGAGGGGGTGACCCATATCGATTTTTGAAAATCATTTAATTGAGCTGAAATTTACCATTGACGTTTCTAATAGCTCCTAATGAAATAATATGAAGTTAAATTAGTAAAATTTTTATGTGGAGCGATCCTAGGGGGTGGCCCATACCGATTTTTATAAATTGTCTTAAAAAGATGAAATTCGGTATGGTGATACTTAATGGTCTCGTATGGAAGTATATCAAGTTAAAAGCGAACAAAGTGGAACTAGAGTAGCCTAGGGGGTGACCCATAAGCTATTTTAAAAATTGGTAACTGATATTCGAGAAATTGGTCATACTTGAATTGGCGAGATGAGAAGAAATAAAATTAAAGTGAAAGCTATTCATTGCGTTTTCTATACAGTTCAAAAAGGCACGCAAAAAGGCAAATAGGCAAATAGGAACAAATAGCAACAAGGCTGACTTTTTGCACACACTGGTCACCCCCATTGGTTTGGAAAACGGGCGTAGACGACTAAAAGTTGGCATGGTCCTGCAGGGTTAGATTAGCTTAATAAATGTAAAGTAAACTTTAAGATTTTTTTGCCAGGAGGACCCAGTGGGGTTTTTGGAATTGGTTAAAGAAGCTGCAATTTTGCAGCGACGATTGCGAATAATTCGCAATCGACAAAAATTTCCCCATAATGACCGGTACCAACTACTATTAGTAGTTGGTTTGTACCGGTCACTTGACAAACATTTGGAAGAGGACTCTGTCCCTGACTCGGGCTATATAAACACTGCACACTGTAGGTTTTTGTCAAGAAATCATGATTCCGTAGTGTCAAATTTTTGTTACTATTTTCATCAGTTATTCTGCAGTTTTGGTGCGGTTCGCATCGATTCCCCCAATTGTTTCGCATCAGTTTAAATAACCGATTGTTCGGTACCAACGGTGCTACCTATTCCAAAATTGTAGTCCTTTCTCGATCTATTTTGCACAATTAATTCGCACCATTTGCGCCACGGATTGTTCGACCCCAATGGTGCGTCTAATTTATTCAATAATGGTCATGGGGATTATTAATTAGCATCAATTGATGCAAAAAACTCGTGAACACACAGACAGACGGACGGACGGACAGGAGGAATTCAATAGCTCTCGTGCTACGCAGTGTGAGCTAATAAGTATGAAATTTGCGAAAGACGCGATCTCCCAATGGGCACGTTTGGCAGAGATATTTGCATCCGAAGAGGAGAAAACACGCCTTAAAGTTTACAAATTTTACACTTTCCAAATTTACTGTGCGCTTTCTCCTCTTCGGATGCAAATATCTCAGCCAAACGTGCCCATTGGAAGATCGTGTATAGTGGAATCACTTGTGCGTGTCACCTCATTTGCATAATTTGACGCATTCGCGAGAGACATAAAGTTTATTCAACATGGAAAGCCCGCATTGCAAAAAATTGGCACAGTGAGATTTATATATGCAAATGAGGTGACAAGCCTAAGTAAGAGCAAAGTATTTTGCAAATTCGTATCCATCAACTTTCAAATTTGTGATCCATTGACACAAGTTTGCCCAAAATCTGAGGGCATCCTCTAGGAACCCTCCCTTGTACGAGAATAATGTGAAAAATAGCCCTAAATCTGTTCCCCGTACCATCCCGTGTCTCGATAAGCTCCAGCGGCAAGTCCACCTAATCCGTGACCAACTCCAGCTCCGGAAGGCACATCTTGAAAATTGAGTGTGAGATTTTTCTCCACCACGCCTCCCGAATTGCTTCCGACACACGTGTATTCCCCCGCATCCTCTGGATCCGTTTTCTGTATCGTCAAATTTACCCACCGGCCCCGATAGTCGTCCGTATTCGAGTATGGATCCTCCAATTCCCACCCTTCCTCTCCGCCAATGTGAAGGTAGTATGATTTCCCGTAAGAGCTATGTAAATGTAAATTCGAACTTAAATTTCCTAAAAACTTTTGGAAATTTTTTTAGCTGGAAATTTTTTTTTTGAAAATTCTTACCGTGAGTTATTGGTCAGCACTTGACCGTCTCTGACCCACTGAAGGTTAAATAAAAATTAAATATTAATTAAATATGTAACAAGGACCAATCAAAAGCATGCATGAATTATTGCATTCCCTGGTAGAAATTTTTGACCATTTTCTTCAGAAATTTTACATAAGTTTCTGGACAAAAACTGTAGCGATTTGTGCATAAAACTTAGCTAATCTAAATTTGGACCCAGTCCCTGCAGAAATTTGGCCAGATTTTCTGCAGAAAAATTGTACATCTACAGACAACTATGCACGCAAAATTTAGCAATACGGTTCTGCAGAATAAAACGCACAGAAATTTTCGCCAGGATTATGTAAAAAAAAAATATGCAGAATACAATATGCACCGAGATTTTGTAAATTACTCGATACGGTAATTTCTACCAGGATTATTCAACAACTATTTTATGAGCAGGTATCATTAATTGTTTGTCACCTTGAGGTCGGGGGGAGGATTTCCCCGTACGAGACACTGGAGCGTTATGTCGCTTCCAATATCGGTATGCACGAGGAGAGCATCCGTAGGCTTCCCGTTAATTTGTACGCTGAAAAAAAAAATCATGAGTTAACGCCTTATTTACCTTTGTTCTACGCATTTAGGCACAATTATAATCATAATTAATAAAACTAACTATACTATTTCATACCTAACAATTTCCGGTCTACAAGAAAAATCAAGTGAAACAAGTTGATCCCACGCGAAATTTGAGACAATTGCAGGTTCCGCACATCGGGTGTGATGTTGGAACAAGTTTTTCTGAAATTAATGAAATAGATAAATGAAATTATGAAAACTACTTAATAATTTCCCCATTGAAAAACCACTTGAAACTATTTCATACCTGGATAACCCAATCGCGCAGGGTTTTAAGACGACCTGTTTTAAGAAGTTCGTAAAAGTTTAATACGATAATTAAAACACTTATCAAAAGTAATAATGAGCTTACAATCACACTTCCACGGGTTTCCGGCGAGTTGTAAACTTTTTAATTTAGTCAGGGGTTTGAGTAGCTCCTTAAAAATAATCATAAGTCATTATGCAAATTAGTTATGTATTTATACTGACTGAAAAAGTATGCAAGTAGCTGTTAAATAATTACGAGTTGTGATGCAAATTAGTCATAAAGTACTTACTCTGGAAAGATAAGTGAAGCGATTCCCGGATAAGGAGAGACTTTCTAAAACGCTCAATTTTTCAAACGCCTTCTTCGGCAGGGTGGACAATTGGCAATCTGATAAGTTGATAAGTTAGATAACCAGTTATCTAAATGTGCTATTAAGCATGAAATATTAAATACAATTTTGGTACATATTTACCTGATAGGTCGAGTAGCTTAAGGTACATTAGCGGCTAAAAGTATGAAATTATGGATTAATTAATGTCATTTTTATCAATTAAATGTATGTCGTCAATGCTTAATTTACCGGAAATGAGGATCCAGTCAACTTTGTTAAAGGATTCTTCGATAACTTCAACTCACGCAGTCTTACATTCGACTCAAAAGTTTCCATCTCGATTCCAGATACGAGATTACCACTCAAATCTAACTGTAATTCGGTAATAGATTAGGTTAGACCATCATCGTTCTAATTATTAAGGGTCCATTGTATGAGGGCTTTGAATTGAAATTTTGTGTCGTGTCTCAACTTTCCCTTGTTCCATGAATTCAAATAGTGATTTTGAAACCGGTTCATCTCGTTTTAAAAAAATGAAGATTTTATTCCATCCAAAAGTCGATAAATTTTAGATTTGTAAAGCTTGGAAGTTAGAATTTTGATTTTTTTCTCATTATTTTGTAGAGTAATGCACAATAGTGAGAAAATAGGAATTATAGTTTTTCCGTGATAACTTGTTTCATACTTAACATAGCTCAGAGATTAATGCATGAATAGAAAGATGAGAAGTTGCCACATTTCGATACTGTATCATTTTCATTCCGAACGATAATTCAAAAGACCGATTTTCCATGTAAAGTCTGATACAGTTTGTGTCGAGCAGGGAATTTTGGGTAGGCAAAGATTCTCACAAGCAATCTGGGCTTCTGTACGACCAATGTACAGAAGACAGGGCTATCTCGCCTACACTACACTCGATACACGGTGTTTACCATACCACAGGTAGCATCTCACGGTAACCGGAACCGCTTATACTAAGTGACATATCTTCGTGTCAGATAGAGGACTGATCTCTACTGATTGCGGGTTACCATGCCCTGTACACATTAGTGATACTGCTATAGCGTGAGTATTATTTCCATTAGTAATTCGTACCGAAATTCCTATAGCTTGTTCTTATCCAAATTCTTCTACATACTTAATTAGATTATCTCTGAAACTGATTATTGTGCTGAGCTCTACGGAATCTCTCCTGTTAGCTTTAAACCATAAATCGTTTCGGTCTTATAATTGGCACTCATTCTAAATCATCATATCTCTTTCCTATATCACTCTCGCACGTAGCTCCAATCTAGGATCACGAACCTATTCCAATGGTAATGCATGTATTTTATACAGAGTATTTGCAGTAGGTGCATAATTAAGTACACTTAGCATATACCACTATATATACATATATCCATCACGTAATAATGTATTATTCTATACGTATTTACACGCATAATCCATTACAATTTTTTATCTATTTTATATTTATTTTGTGATGGAAGAAAAAAATCAAAATTTTAACCTAACTTTTCCAATCTAAAATTTATTAATTTTTGGAGGCAATAAAATCTTCATTTTTTGGACAGGAACAGGTTTCAAGATCACCATTTGAATACATGGAACAGGGGAAAGTTGAGACACAAAAATTTAAATTCAAAACCCGTATACAATGGAACCTTAAAAAATTGTTCATGAATGATTTTTGTCACTTACTTCTATCATAATCGTCAAGTCACGAAAAGCATCGCGATCGATTCGTTCGATCCGACAATTCTGAAAAATTAAGGTTAAAATTCATTCAGTGTTTTAATTCATAAACGGGAAACAATTCAATCAATCGATAAGTCCTTACCTGTAGAAACACTTTTTGTAGATTAACAAGCCCAACTTGTTTGAACGCGTCCTTCGGTAAATATTTTATTGTAATCCCACCCATTTCAAGCACTTGTACTTCTGCACTCAACCCAGAAGGGATCGAGGTCCAGTGAGAACCTCGGCAATCTAGGGCACGCAGGATAAAAAATGGATGAAAATCATGGAAATGTCACAACACTCATTTATTAACTATTTTCCTTAATTGGTTTACAAGAAGGAAAATTCTTCTCAATCAATGTTACTCAAACTGACAATGGAACCTTTTTTCAAGCTACACCGTGATCGACTAGCGAGTTACGTCAAAAAATCAAGCCAAAAATTAGGAGTCACGTGATACTTATCCTTCCGTTGAATGGCCCCTTTGAAGACAAATATTAGGGGTCAAAGTTCGCATTCCTCCCTGGTTTTCGCCCCGTTTAGGAAAAATCAAGAGAAAATTTGCTCAAAATTGAACTAAACCGCTAATATTTTTCTTCAAATGGGCCATTCAACGGAAAGATGTGTCACGTGACTCCTAATTTTTGGCTCGATTTTTTAACATAACTCGCTAGTGGATACAGGTGTAGCTTGAAAAAAGGTCCCATTTTGAGTCATATTTTATGATAAAAATTTCCAGTGTTTCGTTTCTTGCAGGTTTGGTTCAAGAAATTCGGAGAAAGTGCTCGAAATATGCGCGCACAGTCACTCGCCCTAAGAATTATAGCGGCGGGGCGCAATTTCTTGCGCCTTGCATTTCTTCCAGGTCAAAATATGTACCTACAAAAAAAACACTTTCTCCGTTATTTCTTGCCCGTGGTTAAACCACCCGAAACACCGAAAACTGCATGCAATTCAACAATCTGACCAAGATTTAAGCCCAGAATTTCCTCCCCACTCGAACAACATTCTTTTAGAATTAATTTGTGCAAAAATACCCACCTGCAGTTTTCTTCCCCGACACCCACGTACACTTGCAGCCCGTGGGACATTGTAACGTCCAGTCTTCCGTGCCTCCCACACTGCCCAAACAAAAAACCAATAGAAAGGCAACCACGACCAGTCCGGGCCATAAAGTCCGCCAAGATGTTAATGATCTCGGCAGCATTCCTCCTCCTCCTCCTCTGCCAAGTGGGAATTTCACTGGGGATGGTGGCGGCCCTGACAATGGCGGCGATTTCATTATGGCACCAGCACAACAACTTTCAGAGTGCGGGTGCCAAATTCTTTTATGAGAGCTAGCTTTCTTTTTCAGCTTGGTCGCATCCCCACTTTCTCCATCACGACCACCAAGTTGATGCTCATTGTTCCTCATATCTCACCATTTCCACTGTACAATTCTTTCCAATAAACTTCTTTCCGCGGCTGCTTTCTCCGAATATTATAAATGTCTGTTTGCGAGTTCACTTTCACTTTCACTCACATTCCTAAAACTGTTTTAGAATTACATTACATCACTTTCTGGACAAGGGGGGGAGCGTATTTTTTTGAAGAATTATTTATTTATGAGGGGAACTGCTAAGCTCTTAGTTCATGGTGGTTCCACTTTGTTAAAATTACTGCTTTCTCCTCCACGTCTGACTTTCTCTTTTTAGTGTGATGAGGTTATCGTGGTGGTGAAGAAGAAATTCAGGGTTGTGGGAACCTTTGGTCTGACCTGGATTGGATTTCCGGAAAGCTGACCTTTCTCTCTGCTTGTGGTCTGGTTATCTGAAAAATGCCAAAGAAAATTTCCCGTTAGCACAAGCTGATTGATTTTCTTTGGGGGCAAAAGTAAATAAAAATGAGAATTGTTGCAACATTAAAGCAAACAAACGAAACGACGCTAGCTCTTCAATTATTTGAGACAGCGTGACGTGACCAATTCACCCACATATTTACGACAAATGACGTACATATGTATGTACACAGATAGGTATGCCTGCCCCCTAACACGGACACTAATCATCGGGGGTACATTCAACATTTAGGAGACAATCAATGCAATAATTATTTCCGTCTGGTTTGTTTTTGAGAACGCGACGCTGTCCAAGTCGTTAAAATTAAACCCTTTTGGGGGCAATGCTTACATAAATAAAGAAACGTTTAATTGGTTCAGATCGATGTGGGGATGCTAAGCGTGTTTGTAGCCCGACTGACGATGTACTAACAACAACGCTACGTGCTACATATGTATGTATGTATGGGCAGTGGCCGCGGAAGGTGTGGGGACATGGGGGGACGTTAACATTGTAGGATGGGGGAGGCAGAAGTTTATATAAGATGGGGACATCGAATAACCGTGGGGACGAGATTGTCCCTCTGTCCTAACACTTCCGCGGCAACTGTTCGTTTGGCATTATCATCACTATTTATCATGTACAAACAGTGGCCGTGGAAGCCGTGGGGACATCTGGGGGCATTAAAATTGCATATAGGATAGGGGAGAAAGGGGTTTATATAACATGGGGAGATGATGGAAGCCTTGAACAACCTTGGGGACATTGTCCCTCTGTCCCCACACCCTTCCGCGGCCACTGTGCATATGTATGAGTCACGATGTCATTCATACTTCGTTTGAGAGATACTCTGATAAGTAAGCATCAATTTTTGTTTGGGTTGCTTTTAGCTTGGTCAAAACATAATCTCGTATGTATCTCGTAGGCTGGCTGGCTGGCTCGACAGACGGTAAATAAAGGTGATGTAACAATGAGCAAATCCAATTTCACCCATGAGCCCACACGACGATTGGAAAATACACGGGGGAAGAGTAGTAAGTCATTTCAGGTCCGCTTTAATATCATCATCAGCATCGCTGTGTAATTGTTTCTGTGATGTAACATTATTGCATCTAGAGAGATCCGTGTGTGTATGTGTTCAGTGGTTGCGGAAGGGCTGTGGCGGCATTAAAATTGTAGGATGGGGGAGGGACAAGTTTGTAGAAGATGGGGACATCCCATAACTGGGGGGACATTGTCCCTCTGTCCCCCCTCACGCTTCCGCGGCCACTGTTTCTAGAGAGCTGAAACTTCTAGAGACCTGTGTGTATGTTGTGTATTCAGTGGCCGCGGATGCTGTGGGGACATCAAAATTGTAGGATGGGGGAGGGAGGGGTTTATATAAGATGGGGAGATGATGGGGACATCGAACAACCCTGGGGACATTGCCCCTCTGTCCCCACCAACACTCTTCCGCGGCCACTTTCCCTAGAGAGCTGAAACTACGTACCAAATCTTTCTGCAACGTCGTATACTAACAAGTATTTTGACAGGTGGGGCGGAAAATGATACATGAGCAGGTAATTTGGACAAGGTGAAAATGGACAATTACTTCCCTCCAACAACATCCAATCCACCCATCAAACCTTACTCAGCCAAAGCAAACATAATCATTTCCGCTTTCACGACGTGATCATCAACCACAGAGAGCGAGAGAGTTGTGTAATAACAATCATAGCCTACTAACCCGCTTAAATATTGACTTAATATTGCTTTTTATTCGGATAAAAATTGCATTTCCGCGTTATATATTTCTCCATCGGGACGATAATTTCTTTGTATTTGGACATATTTAGTACAGAGGTGCACAATGAAATAGTGTTTTTTTCGCGCTGTAAGAAATTTGCTGCTTGATGGCTTAAAATTTGCATAACGAATTTGCAATAATTTTGGGGTGGTCCATTGATGGTTTTCGCGATACAAGCCAAAATGTGCGAATTTCTGACTAATTTTTAAAAATTTGACTTAAAATAGTCCAAACTTGATCAAATACTACTGCGGAAATAATTCCAGAAACTTATTTTTTTAGACACATTATAAAAATCCACACGCAACGAAACAATAATTACTTACAATGGAGGCGCAAACTATGTTCAGCGCAGATAATTTTTTGACCATGTTAGTTTGGAAGACCAAGTCTTTTGAAACAACATTTGGTTTGGCTCTTGAGCAGATGCGCAAAATTCGCCACTTTATAGGCGCCGCAAGTTCGCAAAAACGCTTGATTTTTCAATGTACGGTCGAGCGCGAGCTCAGCTTTTTTCCGTCTCTGTCGCTCACTCTCTCACTTCCACGCGAGGGCATTTACCCCGCAACCCTTCATCCGCATTTTTCATCAATAATTCCGAATTGTTATATTTTTAACTATAAATTTCCCCCAATTTCGTAATGTTATAAACAAAATTTATCTTAATAGAAAGTATCAACACTCTGTTGTCAAATAATTTTTATACCTTGTTCAGAAAAGTTTTGACTGTGACGATAAAGACCCTATGCAGACCAGAGGATTGCAGAAATTCTTGTCCAAAAATCTTATCAAATTACGAAATTCCGGGTGAATTAATTTCAAAATTTATAGTTAAAAATATAACAATTCGGAATTATTGGTGAAAAATGGGGATGATGAAGGATTACGACGTCAATTGTCGTCAATATCTTCGCGTCGGAGCGAGAGAGTGAGCGACAGAGACGGAAAAAATGAGCTCGCGCTCGACCGTGCATTGAAAAATCAAGCATTTTTGCGAACTTGCGGCGCCTATAAAGTGGCGAATTTTGCGCATCTGCTCAAGTGCCAAACCAAATGTTGTTTCTAAAGACTTGGTCTTCCAAACTAACATGGTCAAAAAGTTATCTGCGCTGAACATGGTTTGCGCCTCCATTGTTAGAACTCATCCAGAAAATACCAGATTGCATTTCCGCATTATATATAAAAAAATATTCCTTTATATTTTTAGACAAAATCCAATCCAATCCACACCCAACCCAAGCAAATAAAATAATTAAGCTCATCCAGAAAAATGGGGACTTGTCACATCAATTATTGAACCACACATTGAACTGAATCAAGTCACAGACTCATTATCCACTTCCTGTCCAATACAAGATCACCCTCACAACAAATGAACGTACGCGTTTCCTCCTCCTCCCGTATAATTTCACAGATTAAATTAAATTACTGTCAGTTGAATTCGATGCGATGAATTGGAGTGAATTTGTGTCTCTCTTTCTCGTACATAAAAGTGGTGGTTTTGGAAAGGGTATGTAGCAGATATGTCATGGCGTAAAAGTAGAATAGTTTAGATTGGATTAGATTCAATTAGATTGGACAAAACGAAATTAGATTTCCGTCTTCGCGTTCCTTTCCTCCTATTCAATCAATGAATGAAGGATCCATTTTCTTAGAGAGGCCAGCATTACGTCCCGTCACGGGCTTATAGTATGTCTTTTGTAGTTTTACTTCTGATCTTTTAGGCTTATAGAAGTATACATTCCAACAATTAAGTGTTACGTGGCTGGCAGTGGCCGCGGAAGGGTGTGGGGACAGAAGGGGGACAATGTCCCCACGGTTGTTAGATGTCACCATCACCTCCCCATGTTATGTACACCCCCTCCCCTATAATAGCAGTGTCCCCACACCTTCCGCGGCCACTGATTCTACTTCTGATCTTCGTGACTTGTATAAGTATACATTCCAACAATTAAGTGTTACGTCGCTGTCAGTGTCCTCGGAAGGGTGTGGGGACAGAACAGGGACAATGTCCCCATGGTTATTCGATGTCACCATCATCTCCCCATCTTATATAAACCCCTCCCTCCCCTATCCCACAATGTTAATGTCCCCACATGTCCCCACACCTTCCGCGGCCACTGGTAATGATCAAGCCGGATGGGGACCAGGACGAAGGATACGACAAGCTGATAGTAAAGCTGTCACCAATCTTAGTCCGAGGATAATGAAATAAGTGCAAACTTTCCAAATATCTAATCAGATCGGGAACCATATCTAATTTGTAGCACTAACAGAAAACAATTCCAATATTTTGCATGATTTTCGCACAAATATTTAGCAAGCAAGATAGACGATTATTTATGTATCCTGGCATTTGGCATGCCAGGAAAACAGTCATGTAGACGCAGACCACTAACAATAAATAGTTTTCGGGACTTGTTTTACAAGAACTCACTTTGTTTTGTTAGGAGAAAGCAGCGAGAGATAGTGGAAAATTGGGAAAGTGGAAATCCACCCAACGTCCGAACCAGACGGGGAGAAAGTCGAGAAAAAAAACAAATAGAATTTGGACAGTTTACTAGATCACTTTATTCTGGTTTCGATATAATAATATTCCATTCGAGGTTAAGGATTCTGTTCAGACTTTCACCATTTTTTCTGCACTACTTGTTCTCCCAAAAACAGAACAGAACAGAACACACATCCGCATTGGAAAAAAAATCGTTCCTGCTTCCTATTTCGTTTAATCGATAACTTCCTTGTCAGTGGTCGCGGAAGTGTGGGTGGGGACAGACAGAGGGACAAGGTTCCCACGGTTATTCGATATCGGCATCTTTTGCCCATCTTATATAAACCCTTCCCTATCCTATAATAGCAATGTCCCCACATGTCCCCATGGCTTCCGCGGCCACTGAGTATACAAGCATAACATACTTTTATGCAGTGGCCGCGGAAACGTGTGGACAGAGGGACAATGCCCCACAGTTATTCGATGTCCCCATCATCCCCCCATGTTATATAAACCCGTCCCTCGCCTATCATACAATGGCAATGTCCCCACATGTCCCCACACCTTCCGCGGCCACTGTCTCTTCCCTTCTACCTGCTAGAGTATTTCTTCCCTTTATGTATAACCGGATGATTTCCTTCGCAATGATTGCAATTGATTTTGATCAGAGTTTGTTTGGTTTGTCGTCCTACATATATTTGACTGCGAAGACTTG